GGTCAATTTTGACCACTTTTTCAACTTTTTAAAAAGTGTCTAGAAATGCTCTAAAATGATAGATATTAGTCTTAGGGAGCCATTTTTAGCATTTAAAGACAGTTTCTGAATAGTTCAAAAAGTCGTCAAAATTGACCAAAATGGTAAGGGGTAAGGCCTTACCATTCTGGTCAATTTTGACCACTTTTTCAACTTTTTAAAAAGTGTCTAGAAATGCTCTAAAATGATAGATATTAGTCTTAGGAAGCCATTTTTAGCATTTTAAGACAGTTTCTGAATAGTTCAAAAAGTCGTCAAAATTGACCAAAATGGTAAGGGGTAAGCCTTACCATTCTGGTCAATTTTGAACATTTTTTCACCTTTTTAAAAAGTGTCTAGAAATGCTCTAAAATGAAAGATATTAGTCTTAGGAAGCCATTTTTAGCATTTTAAGACAGTTTCTGAATAGTTCAAAAAGTCGTCAAAATTGACCAAAATGGTAAGGGGTAAGCCTTACCATTTTGGTCAATTTTGACCACTTTTTCAACTTTTTAAAAAGTGTCTAGAAATGCTCTAAAATGATAGATATTAGTCTTAGGGAGCCATTTTTAGCATTTTAAGACAGTTTCTGAATAGTTCAAAAAGTCGTCAAAATTGACCAAAATGGTAAGGGGTAAGGCCTTACCATTTTGGTCAATTTTGACCACTTTTTCAACTTTTAAAAAAGTGTCTAGAAATGCTCTAAAATAATAGATATTAGTCTTAGGAAGCCATTTTTAGCATTTTAAGACAGTTTCTGAATAGTTCAAAAAGTCGTCAAAATTGACCAAAATGGTAAGGGGTAAGCCTTACCATTCTGGTCAATTTTGACCATTTTTTCACCTTTTTAAAAAGTGTCTAGAAATGCTCTAAAATGAAAGATATTAGTCTTAGGAAGCCATTTTTAGCATTTTAAGACAGTTTCTGAATAGTTCAAAAAGTCGTCAAAATTGACCAAAATGGTAAGGGGTAAGCCTTACCATTTGGTCAATTTTGACCACTTTTTCAACTTTTTAAAAAGTGTCTAGAAATGCTCTAAAATGATAGATATTAGTCTTAGGGAGCCATTTTTAGCATTTTAAGACAGTTTCTGAATAGTTCAAAAAGTCGTCAAAATTGACCAAAATGGTAAGGGGTAAGGCCTTACCATTTTGGTCAATTTTGACCACTTTTTCAACTTTTTAAAAAGTGTCTAGAAATGCTCTAAAATAATAGATATTAGTCTTAGGAAGCCATTTTTAGCATTTTAAGACAGTTTCTGAATAGTTCAAAAAGTCGTCAAAATTGACCAAAATGGTAAGGGGTAAGCCTTACCATTCTGGTCAATTTTGACCATTTTTTCACCTTTTTAAAAAGTGTCTAGAAATGCTCTAAAATGAAAGATATTAGTCTTAGGAAGCCATTTTTAGCATTTTAAGACAGTTTCTGAATAGTTCAAAAAGTCGTCAAAATTGACCAAAATGGTAAGGGGTAAGCCTTACCATTTTGGTCAATTTTGACCACTTTTTCAACTTTTTAAAAAGTGTCTAGAAATGCTCTAAAATGATAGATATTAGTCTTAGGGAGCCATTTTAGCATTTTAAGACAGTTTCTGAATAGTTCAAAAAGTCGTCAAAATTGACCAAAATGGTAAGGGGTAAGGCCTTACCATTTTGGTCAATTTTGACCACTTTTTCAACTTTTTAAAAAGTGTCTAGAAATGCTCTAAAATAATAGATATTAGTCTTAGGAAGCCATTTTTAGCATTTTAAGACAGTTTCTGAATAGTTCAAAAAGTCGTCAAAATTGACCAAAATGGTAAGGGGTAAGCCTTACCATTCTGGTCAATTTTGACCATTTTTTCACCTTTTTAAAAAGTGTCTAGAAATGCTCTAAAATGAAAGATATTAGTCTTAGGAAGCCATTTTTAGCATTTTAAGACAGTTTCTGAATAGTTCAAAAAGTCGTCAAAATTGACCAAAATGGTAAGGGGTAAGCCTTACCATTCTGGTCAATTTTGACCATTTTTTCACCTTTTTAAAAAGTGTCTAGAAATGCTCTAAAATGAAAGATATTAGTCTTAGGAAGCCATTTTTAGCATTTTAAGACAGTTTCTGAATAGTTCAAAAAGTCGTCAAAATTGACCAAAATGGTAAGGGGTAAGCCTTACCATTCTGGTCAATTTTGACCACTTTTTCAACTTTTTAAAAAGTGTCTAGAAATGCTCTAAAATGATAGATATTAGTCTTAGGAAGCTATTTTTAGCATTTTAAGACAGTTTCTGAATAGTTCAAAAAGTCGTCAAAATTGACCAAAATGGTAAGGGGTAAGCCTTACCATTTTGGTCAATTTTGACCACTTTTTCAACTTTTTAAAAAAGTGTCTAGAAATGCTCTAAAATGATAGATATTAGTCTTAGGGAGCCATTTTTAGCATTTTAAGACAGTTTCTGAATAGTTCAAAAAGTCGTCAAAATTGACCAAAATGGTAAGGGGTAAGGCCTTACCATTCTGGTCAATTTTGACCACTTTTTCAACTTTTTAAAAAGTGTCTAGAAATGCTCTAAAATGATAGATATTAGTCTTAGGAAGCCATTTTTAGCATTTTAAGACAGTTTCTGAATAGTTCAAAAAGTCGTCAAAATTGACCAAAATGGTAAGGGGTAAGCCTTACCATTCTGGTCAATTTTGACCATTTTTCACCTTTTTAAAAAGTGTCTAGAAATGCTCTAAAATGAAAGATATTAGTCTTAGGAAGCCATTTTTAGCATTTTAAGACAGTTTCTGAATAGTTCAAAAAGTCGTCAAAATTGACCAAAATGGTAAGGGGTAAGCCTTACCATTTTGGTCAATTTTGACCACTTTTTCAACTTTTTAAAAAGTGTCTAGAAATGCTCTAAAATGATAGATATTAGTCTTAGGGAACCATTTTTAGCATTTTAAGACAGTTTCTGAATAGTTCAAAAAGTCGTCAAAATTGACCAAAATGGTAAGGGGTAAGGCCTTACCATTCTGGTCAATTTTGACCACTTTTTCAACTTTTTAAAAAGTGTCTAGAAATGCTCTAAAATGAAAGATATTAGTCTTAGGAAGCCATTTTTAGCATTTTAAAACAGTTTCTGAATAGTTCAAAAAGTCGTCAAAATTGACCAAAATGGTAAGGGGTAAGCCTTACCATTTTGGTCAATTTTGACCACTTTTTCAACTGTTTAAAAAGTGTCTAGAAATGCTCTAAAATGATAGATATTAGTCTTAGGAAGCCATTTTTAGCATTTTAAAACAGTTTCTGAATAGTTCAAAAAGTCGTCAAAATTCACCAAAATGGTAAGGGGTAAGGCCTTACTATTCTGGTCAATTTTGACCACTTTTTCAACTTTTTAAAAAGTGTCTAGAAATGCTCTAAAATGAAAGATATTAGTCTTAGGAAGCCATTTTTAGCATTTTAAGACAGTTTTTGAATAGTTCAAAAAGTCGTGAAAATTGACCAAAATAGTAAGGGGTAATACGGCTTACCTTTTTTGTCAAAATTGAAATATGCTCTAAAATGAAAGATATTAGTCTTAGTAAAACATTTTTAGCATTTTAAAACAGTTTTTGAACAGTTCAAAAAGTCTTCAAAATTGAGCAAAATGGTAAGGGGTAAGCCTTACCATTTTGGTCAATTTTGACGATTTTTCAATGTTGCAAAAACCAACTAAATATGCTCTAAATTGAAAGATATTAGTCTTAGGAAGCAATTTTTAGCATTTTAAGACAGTTTTTGAAAAGTTCAAAAAGTCGTCAAAATTGACCAAAATGGTAAGGGGTAAGCCTTACCATTCTGGTCAATTTTGACCACTTTTAGTAAAACATTTTTAGTAATGTCTTAGTAAAACATTTTTAGCATTTTAAAACAGTTTTTGAACAGTTGAAAAAGTCATCAAAATTGACCAAAATGGTAAGGGGTAAGCCTTACCATTTTGGTCAAAATTGATGACTTTTTCAATGTTCCAAAAACCAATCAAATATTCTCTAAAATGAAAGATATTAGTCTTAGCAGCCATTTTTAGCATTTTAAGACAGTTTTTGAATTGTTCAGAAAGTTGTCAAAATTGACCAAAATGGTAAGGGGTAAACGTTACCATTTTGGTCAATTTTGACAATTTTTCAATGTTCCAAAAACCAACCAAATATGCTCTAAAATGAAAGATATTAGTCTTAGGAAGTCATTTTTAGCATTTTAAGACAGTTTTTGAACAGTTTAATAAGTCGTCAAAATTGATCATTGCTAAAAATTGCTTCCTAAGACTAATATCTTTCATTTTAGAGCATATTTGGTTGCTTTTTGAAACATTGAAAAATCGTCAAAATTGACCAAAATGGTAAGGCTTAGCCCTTTTTTCAGTGTTCCAAAAACCTACAAATTTGCTCAAAGATGAATGATATTAGTCTTAGGAAGCCATTTTTAACATTTTAAGACTAAGTTTTTGAACAGTTCAAAAAGTCATGCAGGACGCGTGTCTGTGAGTTTTAATTAGCATAATAAGTCCTGAAAATGACCACACCCAGAAACAGCATAGCCAACATTCTAAATAATCAAAACTACAGTCTTTCTGAATTGTTTATATGGTTCAGAATGGTTGCTTTTTGGGGTGGTCACTTCATATAAGTTTCATATTTTACAAGAAAATGAATGTTTACCATATGAATTTCCCAAGAAATAACAAGGTTTTGTTGCGATACGACATATTTCATTTCACTTACCCCCCGGCAGTCGGCAGAACACGGTTTCAGCCATATTTTGCAAATTTGACGCCCTTTGTTTTTCGTCGTCCGTCGCAAGCACCATCCAAACATTTTACTTTAACACGATTCTAGTTGATTTTATTCAACCTATTTTCGACGGGTTTTGAAGTAGTGCAATGTATTGTAATATTTTTCATTTTTGTGTATCATTGGCTTGACTTTTTTACCCCTTACGTCATTATTTTAATTCTAGAAATTACGTCATTATTGCCCAGTTTTTTTTCCGCACGCACGCGGCTGGCTTCCGACAGTCCGACTCTAAATTCCACGAAATCGAAAATAAAAGTGAATATTCACTTTCAACTCAGTTCGAAGCTAAAAAATCTGTGTTTGATTCATTAAACGAAGATGAAAGGTCTGAAAAAGACGTAAATGTAGCTGGTATCTTGTCTATTTCTTCTTTTTTCCGCGGAAATATAAAGACAAGGCTCCGCTCACACAAGAGTATGTACATATTACCGTGGAAAACTTTACTAAAACATCGCAGAAGTTTAGTGACGACAAAGCTGTGATATTTACAATCGATACCATTTTACGAACTTTGCGGAATGGCTCAAGCAACACCAACATCGGGATTACTTGCTTCGTGTAGAGGAACAGTTTATTTGCTCAAGAACAAGAGATGGGATGCATTGTTTGGAATGAATGTTTACAGGTTGCATTTGGTTCGACAAGCAGGAAATTTTATTTTGTTGATTGTTGATGATCAACGAAATCTCGCGGTAAGACTTCTGGTTGGTCCATGCAAGATATGTCGCTATGGTGGAGTTATTTATTAACTACCTTGGGGTCTTCCCATTTTGTATCTAAATGACACATACCTGCCTGCCTATGCATAAACCTGCCTGCCTATGCATAATCCCCAACATTCAATAATAACACTTAATCCTACTATAAAACTCTTGAGTTATAACTAGTATCACCACAAAGGAGGGACAAGTGCATGTTGATTAAATTAGGTCTCAGTTCTATCTCAGTATATGAGTAACCAGATGTGCTGGCCTTCCATAACCACAACCCCCCTGAATTAAGTCAATTAACCACAGAAATCACATTAAACAGAAGTAATTTCAGTTCACATTGCAAGTAATGTGACATACTGATACATTCCTTTGCTTTTCACCTAATATGAGAGTTGTGCCCTACCCTCTATTATTATTCCCTTTTTATCAAATGGCCAAGTTTATTATTTATTCTATACAAATAGAAGAGCTACCTGTTTATTTTACACAGACGAAGGCGAAAATCTTGCTACGTTTTAATACAGTGATGAAAATGATAAAGCAGAACTTCTTTAGTTTGCTTGATAATGGTGTGTTGGTATGGGGCTTTGAAATTTCATCCCAATCAACGGGGTCACAAACCTTCTCAATTGTCCTTCAGAACACCCTGACGTCCTTGAAAGGTACACTTAAAACAAGCAAAATTTGAACATAATTTCATGAATGTTCTGAAGCCTTGCTCCATTAAGATGAACACTAACTAATTCGTGAATTCTGATGAAATTTACAAATATTTAGAGTCTCATGTCAATCCATCATCAAACGTAACTGTTGGAAACATCCAGCAAAGTTCAGCAGCGAAACTTCCAGAGGGCAGAGGAAAACAGGATTACTTGAGTATGTTTTTTCTTCACCAGTGTATGACACTGAAGCCATTTTCAATTAATTTTATTGTATGGTTCTCTTTTATTTCAGATAATATATGTATGACACTGAGTGATGCAATAAGTCAAGGCAATGAACAGTTTGCAAGCAATCTTGCACAACAATTAGCAGCCCAGAAGGCAGCTGTTAAGATCAAAATTAATGATCCTACGAATGATGAAAATATAACTGGTGGAGACAATAAGATTAAGTTTGTATTTGTTTATTTGCATCTGATAAAGCACATTGCATGTTCGTATAGAACACTTTCTTTGAAAGATCTTTGATGACTATGTTTATGCAACTATTGAGTCTGGAGCAATGGACCCAATATAATGTTAGGATCTTCTCAAGCAGCCCCCTTTGAGTAGGGCAAATATGTCTTCATTAAAAATCAGGAATAAGTGAATTACAGAAAGGAAAATGTTTCATTAGCATGAGAGTTGGAATGCACATGTGCCTACTACCACACCAAGTACCTACCCCACCCAGTTTCTGCCTTCCTTATTGTTATTTTATTTCACTTAAATGAGACAGTGATTAAGTGATATATTTGGGTGCGTTCAAACATCCAAAAATGCATAAGCCGTATAATGAAATAACTGCAAAAGCATTGAATCAAAAAAACTGAACTTTGTGCAAGATTGCAGTTGAGCAAAATTAGTCCTAATGAAGAAGCTGGTAGTATTTCATTGAAGGACATTGAAACACAATATATGGCACATGTGGAAGTAAAAAAAGCGCCTGGGAGCACGTACAAGCGAATAACAGCACGTAGAAGTGAATAACAGCACGAATAAGTGGATGACAGCACGTAGAAGCCAATAACAGCACGTAGAAGCAAATAACAGCACGAATAAGTATATGACAGTACGTAGAAGCGAATAACAGCACGAATAAGTGGATGATAGCACGTAGAAGCGAATAACAGCACGTAGAAGTGAATAACAGCACGAATAAGTGGATGATAGCACGTAGAAGCGAATAACAGCACGTAGAAGCGAGTAACAGCACGAATAAGTGGATGACAGTACGTAGAAGCGAATAACAGCGCAACAGAGCACATTGAAGCACATTGATTAAATCACAAACATGTAGAATATTCTGTAGGGAAATGTCAATGACCTCTGGTCAATACCAGACAGGAACTTCGGGTTATAACAAAAAGGTCAAAGATATTCTCCTCAATCCTTAGTCCTTTACCGTGCATGATATTGTGTAATTACATTCTGCTATTTTTAGAGTTCAGATATTTCTAAAGTCTGAGACACGAATTCTGTATTGCAGAGACATTTTCTCGGCGGTTTTTAAAAGACCAAAGGACGCGCTCTTATGCAATATAACTTGCGTCGCCAACTGACCTAGTTCAATGGCAACACGCTAGAGCCTAGCTACGCGATGTAGTCGGTCAAGGAGGTTATATTTCGGAAGTGTTCTAGTTCCTTTAATTAACATCGACGCTTCCGTGATTTTGGTCCGCCGTTTTACCATAAAGTAGAAATGTCATTGATATTTTTAAGCGGAGAAATGATACACTGTCTTTCAATGTAAATCTGTCTGGCTGTAGGTCAATAGTTGAAGTGCATTGCAACTTCGTGGATTTTAATGAAAAATTCATTTGCTGAGATGCGCTGATTCCCGCTGACACGTCCTGAAATGCGTTGTATCGAGCTCCTTTGCGCTTTCACGCGCTTCAATGAACTTCCATGTAAATTTGGTGCATTTAATAAGAGTTACACAAATACAAGTGATAATTTGTCATTCTAATTCAAATATTTTTGTTTCAGTATCAAAGTACAAGTCGAGGACAAAGAGTCGGCCCCATGTAGCTTCAGGTTCGACGTTGCACCGCAAACGACCATAGACCAGCTGAAAAAAATGGTAATGAAGATTTTTTGACGCTTGGCAAGAGTTTAAATCAATCAAAAAAAAAGCAGTAACGATCAATAATGTCCTAACTCGAGGATTGGTTAATGGGACCCCACAAGCATTATATCATGACATCAAATGCCAGTAATGATAAATAATTCATTAATAAAGCTTCTAAGTACTATACAGATTCAAAGATTGTAAGAGTTCCGTCTTTCATTTGAAGCACTCGAAACCTGTTTCCTGTGGTGTCCCGCAAACGACGCATGCAAAATGAAATGCATTTAAATATTCATTGGTTTCTCTCGTCAAATGAAGCAGTGAAAACCTGTTTCCACTGCGGTGTCCCGCAAACAAGACGCATGCAAAATGAAATGCATTCAAATATTCATTAGTCTCTCTTGCATTCTAGGTGCAAACGCAGTACAATTTTCCCGCTGAAATTCAATACTGGATTATCGAAAAACGTTTATCAAAACCGCACGACAGTCTTGCGGATTGTGGAATCCGAGAATCGGGCCATACCGTCTACTTGTATCTCAAATCTCATGACTCAGCAAATTTTAACGACGGAGCCATGCAGGCCTGGGGAGAGAGACGCGAACCTGCTGTTGTCAATCAGGGACTAAACCGAGCCAATAGCGCCAGCGATGTCACGGCTCAAGCATATCAGAGACCACACAATGATCCTCGGAGCTTGCCGGATATGAATTCGCAGAGAATTCGTGAAGCTCCGGCACCTCCCGCGCCTCCTCCTGTAGGATGGAAATGTCCCATGTGTACCTTCGTGAACTCTCCGTCGAGGCCTGGATGCGAGATGTGTTCGACGGACAGACCACAAGACTATCAGGTACCTGATGGGTATGTACCGGATGAAAGAGAACGAGAAAGGCTGGAACGAGTACAAGCTGGAGAGATACTGCTATTTGAGGTAGGATATCACTATCAGAGTCTTCATTTAGCAAGTCAGGCCTCCCTGGCTTTCTTCAGATATCACCTTTACTGGGGCTTAAAAATGCTTACTGTGCAATAGGTTAATGAGTGCAGAGGTAATGTAGAAAGAAGATAGTTTCATTTCTTCGTAGGTAGACGAGTTTCAACGTTTCTTCTTTTCAGACTTAACGAGTTACTCGAAGGTCACCTGCGCTAGGTTCTTGCTGGCCTCAAAGATCCAATCGTTTTGAGCAAAATCCTTGTGAAAAATCTCTGGCACTCTGGCGTGTATTCTGAGCACACACTGCATAGAACTAATCGCGTATTTGCTTGTTCCTTGCAGGGTGGAATGAGCTCGCAAGAACCTCTCGCAACGGACCAAACACTTCTAGCTGAATAAAAACACATCTGCATGAGTTAGAATGAAACTTCTAGCAAAGCCACGTATTGTTATAAGATTAAAATAGAAATAAAACTTTGATAAAAGTTTTGATAAATAATTTTTTGTTTTTTTCATGTAATATGTATAATCTTATGAAATAATAATATTTGTCATGGAATATATGCTATTGTAGAAAAATTGCATTCAGATTTTGATTTTGTTTTTGGAAATAAGAAACCATTAAGTTTACGGTGACACTTAGTGTTTTATCATAAATATTTCCAAGCGTGGTGTTGTTGTTTTAGGCTGAGGAGAAGCGGAAACGTTTAGCTATGGAAGAGAGAGATCGTAATTACCAGACAATCATGTCAGTTGTCCTGCGTCAACCATTGATTGAGAATCAAGAAGAAATTGAATGTCCTATTTGTTTCGATACGATACCAGTTGGAGAAGGAGTAGTTTTGAGAGAATGTCTGCACAGTTTCTGCAGGTATGTAATTGTATCGTGTAGCTGAGAGGTAAAATGAATCATGAACTGTGAAATGGTAAAAAAAAGAAAAGAAATGAATTTAGTTCCAACCAAAGGCAACCAGTTGAGTTTGTTAGTTTCGCCTGTGTAACCTTTTATGCAGATCTTAATAAACCTTCCACATCGTAATAATGTTAGGTATATTCCACTACACTAGGGAATGTCTTATTGGACACATTAATGCATTAACTGACGCTGAGGTTCAGTGTCCGTATGATAACGGAGACTTTCAATGTCACGATGTTATCACAACTCAAGAAATACAAGAGGTAAGACGATGAAACTGCTGTAGATTTCTGTAAGCATAGAAGCAATAGAAAGCACATAGCAATTGATAACAGCACGAAAAAGCGGATGACAGCGCGTAGGAGGAAATCCAAGCACGCAGAAGTTGATAACAGCACGAGAATGCAGATGACAGCGCGTAGCAGGAAATCCTAGCACGTAGAAGTTGATAACAGGACGAATAAGCGAATCAGGTTGACAGCACGTAGAAGCGAATACAAGCACGTATAAGTTGATAACAGCACGAATAAGCAAATGACAGCACGTAGGAGAAAATCCAAAGCACGTAGAAACTGCTGTCAGTAAATTTCTATAATTGATGAACATTCTCTCCCCGTTTAAAGCATAGCCGTTGGACTGTGCATGAAATGTTTGGTACGCCCGTCATGGCTTTACATTCTACATCATTCTCAATACATTTCACTCTTTCCAATTCAAGCTTTTGAGTGAGGAGGATTTCCAGAAATACCTTCAACGTAGTTTGTCAACAGCTGAGAGCCAAGCTGCGAATAGTTTTCACTGTCGAACGCCGAACTGTCATGGTTGGTGTATTTATGATGATGAAGTAAATGATTTTGATTGTCCTGTGTGTCAGAAGAGAAACTGCCTGACCTGCAAAGCTATCCATTTCCCTGTCAACTGCAAGGAATACCAGGATGATTTGAAGAGAAACGCAGCGAATGACGAGGCCGCTAGAAAGACACAAGAATATCTCCAGGTGAGTGAGGGGGGGTGAAAGAATACCTCCAGGTGAGTGAGGGGGGGGTGAATACCTCCAGGTGAGTGAGGGGAGGGGGTGAATAAGGGTGGAGTAGTTTGGATCTGGGATCTCTCTAATCGAAAACGAACGACACATCTCGGGGTGGGAGGGTGATGAAATCGAGGTGGGGTAACATGTAGGTGTGGGTGAAGAATAGAGGTTAGATTGATCCGAGGTTGCCAGAAAAAATATCTGAGATGAGAGGGGATGTGACGAATGATTGGGGGGGGGGTAAGGTAAATTTTCATGCGGTTTGAAGGCGCCGCTCATATCTGATCCACTTTTTTCCGACAGGAGATGTTAAGGACAAACGACGGTATGAATTGTCCAACGTGCGGAATTATTCTTGTCAAAAAGGATGGCTGTGATTGGATGAAATGTTCAATGTGTAAGACTGAAATATGCTGGGCTGTCCGTGGACCAAGATGGGGGCCTGGGGTAAGTCCTCACCTGTTGTTTTTTAAATTATAATTTTAATTATAGTCTGATTTTTAAGATCTAAATTTTGGGATGTTTAATTTCCAATGAAAGCAATTTGTAGGTAGATGGCTGACGAATTACGAAACTGTGATTTGAAACTGATATTTAGTTCACAGTGTGATCGGATTTCCTGTGGTTATGAAGTCATTTCTTTTCGTGCGATGATTGTGATGATGATGATGACATGGTTGTTTTATTTCTTTTAATTTCAGGGTCCTGGTGATACAAGCGGAGGTTGCAAATGCCGCGTCAACAACGTACGCTGTCATCCAAAATGTGGAAACTGTCATTAATGGCCGGCGTTGCATAATATGTTTAAACTACCGCCATCGACTTAGTTTCAACTCATGCAAACATTAGTTATGAAATTTTTGTTACGTTTAGTTATAAATAAATTTCCCTTTCATTATTGTCTTGTGAAATTGATTGAGGTCTTCCGACTATCTGGGATACGCACGGTAATTTTTCAATGACTTCATTTCCTAAATGGTCGAACACGTACCTCTGAAGATATCAATAAACGATATAGTGTTGATAACCAGCCTCCTTATTGTGCGAAGTCAGACATATATGGACATACAAAGGTGAATCAATTACATGACGATAGTGTTTTACAAAAAAAATAAATAAGAAGACCTTGGAATATTCCGAGTTCCGATGGCTGAGTAATGGATAATGTTGGTTAAAATAAAAGACTAAAAGCTAAAAGAAAATGTACGATTTTCTACGAGTAACAAACATTAAATACAAAGATAGATAGCCTTCTTCCAAACTCGAAAAGTTGCAATTCTGGAACTTTCCTAATTAGAATAGTATTAATAGTTTACCCGGGATCGAGGCTCGGGATTTCCCCAGCAATAGCGTAACTATAAATTACGTCATTTTAAACTGTAACGAAACATTCATATAAGCGAAAGATGTTGCGATTTCTGGAAATACAAAACCTTGTAAAATATATTCCTTTCATTTTGTTATCGTGGAATTAATGGTAATACCTATGGAGATATACTGTTGCTTTATTCTTGAACTGAATGGGTAATTTTCTTGTGTTTTTGACAATATTCTCAACGTTTACTAAAAGTGAAACAGCATTTATAATAACACAAGATGGCGGAAATGCAAAACTTAAATGAAAAGGACGCTCTTATGCATAAATATTATATTCTCATGAAAGAGAGACAAGCAAAAAAGGAACATACAAAAGCCTACTCTTCGAGTCATGGTCAGAAAGGATTACTTAAAGGGGAAATATTGGTTGGAAATGTGAAAACATGTGTTGACTCTACAAAGGGAACAATAAGACTACATCCTTACGATAAAACAACATATTTCTCAGACTGTCCTGTGGGAGAAGTGCATTCACTTGAAGATGAAGAAGCGAGATTATTACTTTCCTTCAAATCCAACGATGAACGATATAAATTCTTTGTAGATAGTTCTTTACACATTGGAAAAAAGATGACTATTGGCACTCATGTTTTTGTGAAAGTTCGATCTTCTTTTGGTGGAAGTAGTCAGGAGGTGCGGGGTATAATTAGGTACAAAGGACCTTTACCAGGAGAGCATGGTACAATGTTTGGTGTTGAGCTTCTAGTAAGTACATACCAACGAATATGACAAAGATATAGGATAAAGCTTTGCAAAGCAACTAAACTGAATAATATCTGCAACTACATAGCTCACAGTTACTGGTTGGAATAAAAGGAAAGTGAATTAATTAAATGCGAAGCAAGATTATCTTTGTTGCAATCACTCCATATTTGTTTTTTTATATATTTTGCAAATACAGCATCACTTAAAATTTACTTTATACAAATTGTTGTTAAATTCACTTGTGTGAAATACCTATTTTTTATTTGTAGGAAGGCCGAGGAAGAGGCACAACTAATGGATATTTTAAAGCACAAAGATTTTTTATGTGTGATAATGATTGTGGAATCTTTGTATCATTAGAAAAACTTAGGTTGTGTGAAGACAAAAAAGATATGAATGCAAGTGAAGACAAAAAAGATATGAATGCAAGTGAAGACAAAAAAGATATCAATGCAAGTGATGACAACTTACTTATCAGAATGAAAAATAAAGTTGTAGAAGGTTTTACCAACATTTTTCCAATGGGTGAGCTGTCAGATGAAAAATCCTTGGCAATACAGGACAGTTACATGGGTCATAAACCTGGAGATATTGTATGGGTATTTATAAATGATAAAAAACCACATCCTGGGATTATTAGATATATTGGTAGGGTACCAGGTGAAGATGGAATTTATGCAGGCATTGAAATGGTAGGTACTGTTTTAAATGCATATTTAATTGGAATGGCTTCAGCTGAAATTGTTTATTGACTTTTTCACAATGTGACATACATATTTTTAGGGCAAACCAATTGGCCAAGGTAATGGAGAGTACAATGGTAAACAATTATTTAAATGTCACATGGACCATGCTCATTTTACACCTGTTGAATTTGTGATGTTTGAAGAAAATTATTTAGAACTTTATGAACATGAACAAAATTCTAAAGGGACTAGCGATTCAAGTGGTAAGTGATTACAAATTGCCCCATACCATCAACACCACAAGCCATAACAATTTGTGATAAATACGACAAAACTTTGAGTTCAAATTTTTCGTAGCATCTCCTGTATACTGTAGCATGTTGTAAAAATAAGATTTTCTTGCAGAATCAACGGCAAAACCGTCATCTACACCTCCAAAAACATCTAAGGACATTCTAAAAATGGAGTCAGATTTTGCAAAGGAGTCAGAAGATGCCATCATTAACCAACAGGAAAAAATCTTGAAGCAAATTGAAAAACAGAAATTAGCTGAGAAAAAACAAGTAGAGAAGAATGGGTTTGGTGGTGGAGAAAAACCACTTGATGAACAGTGGAAGAAAGAAAATCGATCTAAAGTCAACAATCATGTTTCCCAGCTCACTCTGGAAATGAATAAACAATATATTAAAGGTGAATTTTCTTCCACCAGAGCTGATTTCCATTTTTGTGCTGATGTAATTACATGTTACCTTCTCTTAGAACCACAAATTTCAGCATCTACAAACCAATTTAAGAGAGAGAGTGGAGGTATTTCTTCACAAAATGAACTAGATATTGGTTCAATGGTTGAGGTACTTAGCAAAAATACAAAAGCCAAATATGGTGTGATTCGATGGGTAGGATTTGCTGCAAATAGCGAGAAGAAAATTGCAGGACTAGAACTGGTAAGGAGCTTTCATACCACATATAATTAAAACACATAACACTATGTCAATAAGATGAACAAGAAGCAAAATACCAAATATCTTCTGATCTTTTACACTTACACAACTCCATTAGTTGACTTTGATTTTTTCCCACTTTCACTAGGAAGAGGAAATGGAAGCATGCACAGATGGAACATTTCTTGGCAAACGTTATTTCACTTGTCCACCCAGGCGTGGCTTCTTCGTTCATCTTCACAACTGTTTACCAGACTCAAGATTTCAGACAAATTCCATGGAGAAACATGTCAACAAACGTTTGACAGGAACAGGTAATCACTAGTAAAAATTCCCAATCTCAGTGAGGTGTTTAAGAACTGTGTTCCAAAGTCTCATATCATTATAAATCTCTCCTTTAGACTTTGGACCTTATAAATCACCAAAAATACCAGATGACCGGTTCATCCCTCCTCCAGAAACACTGGATATCTACATTTCTAAAGAAGCTCGAGGGATACAAGGACATCACAATTCTTGTTATTTGGATGCAACATTGTTCGCTGCATTTGCCTTCTCATCTGTAATGGACGCAATATTATTACGACCGAGAAACGATGATGATATTAATGATTATGAGAAAGTACAGACAGTTCTAAGAAATAATATAATTTATCCTTTAAGACAGTAAGTGCTGTATATCACTTGCGCGAAATATTTCCCTTTCTACCAGAGACATATTTTAACTTCATCTCAATCAAACAACCATATCTTACTAAGATACTTTGATGAAATCCCAGGACTCCCAGAGGGATACTGCATGGTTTAAAAACCACCACATCTTTACTCTATTTATTTCAATGTAGTTATGGATTCGTTCGTGCAGATCGTGTTTTTGAACTACGAGAGCATCTGGACAGACTAGGAACTGTCACAGGATTGGTTGGAGAGGAGAAAGGTATGTGTACTGGAGTGAAAATCCATTTATCGTTTGAATGCTTGAAGATCACGGCTGTCTGATGATGCACTGTTTGATTTCCTTGCAGATCCTGAGGAGTTTTTATCAACTCTTTTTCGGCAAGTCCTGAAAACGGAGCCATTTTTAAAATTAAAGTAAGAATACAACCCGAACTAGATCCATACAATAAAACGACATCAAAATCACGTTTCGCAGATTGTCGATGATGAGGATTGTATGTTAGAGAATGATGCAAAAGCACAAACGCAATTAATAAACACAACTGTGTGTTTTTCAGGTCAGGAAATGAAGTCCACAACGAATATTTGTATCAAGTCCTGGCAGTCAAAGATGCTGAACGTGTTCTACCATCTGTGGAGGAAATTCTCAAAAGATCATTTCATCAAAATAATTTAAAACTTGCGGAGGTTAGTTTCCTTATCTTACAGTCGTTCACTGCTCCAAATCTGAAATACAACTATCGTAGCAAAGTTGAATATTATTATCATCGTCGATCTTGGCAGGTACCGTCATGTTTAATCGTGCAGATGCCTCGATTTGGAAAACAATACAAAATGTACGGAAGAATATTACCATCGCTCACGATCAACATTGGAGAATTGGTTGACAACGGTAAGTGTGATTGTTGAAACCTGACCGGATCCAGGTAACCTTGGCTAACTAAAAACGGTTGGTATGGGACCAACGTGAACGTGAATGAAATCAATTTATTTTTTTCCAAAGCTCCCCAGGACTGCGCGGTGTGTGGAAGACTAGCGAAATACCATTGTAGAGAATGCTTCAGCATAACTGGTTTTGACGACAATGATAGCTCTGGGAACTTTTGCTTGGATTGCAACAAACGACAACACTCGCATGTGAAAAGAACAGGCCACAAGTTTCAACCTTTGAACATGTCTCGCGAGATTTGTCAAACGTATATGGACAGGGCGGTGGAACATCGAGACATGGAACTGTTTGCAATCATTTGTATCGAGACAAGTCATTACGTCACATTTGCCAAATGTCAAGAACCAGATGGTGAAGTGAAGTGGTGTTTCTTTGATAGTATGGCTGACAGAGTAGGTAAGAACGACTCTCTCTCTCCGGGCCGATTTCGGCTATAGCCTGATGTTAATCATGTCTTGACTATATTTATGATGTCATCATGATGATGATGCACGATTAAATAACATCACTGTGGATCCGATGCTAGTTTGGTAGGCCAGGCCAGAATTAGGATTCAGTTATATATATCAAGGTCTTTGACACATGCGTACTATAATGTATGTATGTTATATCTGCTACCTAGCAATCATTGTAAGTACCCGAGGTTAGGAAGGAACTATGATTGTCATATTAAAATCATTTATAATTTTAAATGCGAATTTTTCTAGGTACAAAGAACGGGTATAATGTTCCGTCAGTGACAGAGTGTCCTGAGGTGATCGAATGGTTGTCCTCAGAGAAACAAAACAGAGAAAGAATTATCAACACGAACGACAAGGATTTGCCGGACAGAGTTCGTAGGATTCTTGGAGATGCCTACGTCTGTCTGTACCAAAGCAAGGAGATGTCTATGTACAAATGAGTGTAATGATCTATGTCGATATATGAAATAATGGCTAGTGTGGCTATAATCTGTTAGTAAAAGGATGTGTAACATGGGAATCTCAAACTAATTAAGGCTGTTAATATGTTTGTACCATATCATAAAACCAAGGTTTAATTAAATTAACATAAAACAATTTCCTTTCAAATTTATGTGTAGAATTGTACTGTAAAGGTCGATCAATGTGCGTTTAATAGTCTTTAAAACTTTTATTTAAGTCTGCCTTTTCCACAGCAACGAATAATATATGTTTTACGTTATTACGGTAAGTAACCAGTTTGTATTTTTGATATTTACTCTAAATGTGCAGAGAGCAATATTTTTTTGAATCATTGGATCATTGCAGGTCCACAATGCTTAACCATGTTAAACATTGCTGGCTGGCACGACCAGGAGTCGAGCAAGCACTGGATGGTCAATTCACACGGTCTTTCCCACCCATTCTTGTCCCCAGAGCTAAGACTTTTTAATCAATCATAATGCTACGCTTGTTAAAATAAGTTTGTTTTTGCTTATCTGATCATCCTGTAGTGACATTCCACCATGGTCCAACACTCTACACTGTACAACATTTTTTGTTTAGTCCTCATCGTCTGAGTCATCCAGTCTTCTTCTGTTAAACTAAAATGATGAAACAAGATGATCTCAGAATGTATCCTGGGAACTCAAAGGGTTTCATTTAGACTTGTAAGAAATGTTCATATCAGTTACTAGGCAGATATATGATAGAACAAGGCCTAAACAATGCTTGCCCTATATGCTTGACCTATATCCTTATTCACTGAACTCAAATACCGAATCACTTCGCATTATTTTCCTGCCAGGAGGCCTGTGTCCTAAAAAATCCCCCCCCCCTCTGTCGTAAAATAATACTTTACCTTGACTGTTGATTTTTTGGGATTGCTTTCCTGGAAGCGTTCCAGTAAACTAACAAGTTGTGTATCACCAATCTAGCAACAAAAAACTTTCTTTATATGTCATGAAACTAAAACTTTCTGATGAAAGCTGTCAGCTTGTAACAAACAGATTTCATATGCATGTAATACATGTGGATTGTGGACACTACCCATGTTGAAAGAGCTACCCTGTTTAAATAAAGTTTTTCCATTTCATCCCATTCTTGGGTAGGATCCTAATCTTTTACATGACTGAGTGTGGTTGCCAAATTTTGACACAAAAAATTACCCACCTTCCCTCCAAGTTGACCAGTAGATGCCATCTGTATCAACATTCCTTCAACCATTTTTGCTTTCTCTGGCTTTACCAAAGCAATGCTGTTCACTAAGGTAAAGGTTAACATGATTCAGTGACAAAGCTATTTGTTTTTTGTATAAACACTTGATTGACTGGCACCGTTGGTATATGCTGACCAGTATGCAGAAGTTTTAGGGCAGGTAACAAGTAGTTCTACGGGTGCAAATATCCAGTGCGCAAATAATAAACTTTCTTTATAATTCATAATTACATACATCTTGCCCTGGCTTGTTGGTCCAGGATCTGGGAGAGCATTTGATTTTTCATCTCATCCTGTCGTCTACATAATGAAAATAATGTGAAATTATAGACAAAGAAGATCATTGGCGTTAAACATCTTGAACTTTTGACGTACTTTTTCATTTCTTCCTGTTGTTCATGACGTTGCGCAGCTTGACCACCGCCCTAAAACACAGACAAACAAGTCTTAGACAACTAGACATGAGATCTATGAACGTAAAGGCCAATTTAAGGCCGTTTAAATTTAAAACCAGCCAAAAAAAATCGCAGAAACTATGGCCCAACAACAGACTAGTTATTTTAAAGATACAAGAGGAGATTTCGTACCATTTGCTGCTGTAATTCAGCCATTCTTTTAGCTCTTATCGCTTCTAACTCATCATCCGCCATCTTTTTTTCAATAACCACTTCGCCATCGACGTCTTACCGCATTTTTGCAATTTGACGTTTTATTTGACTTTTTTAACCGGTATTATTGACAGAAATCGCCTGAAATATCCGCTTTTTGGGGAAACAGCGACAAAAATTACTGTTAAAGTTATTCCACTGATCTCAACATAGAGAAAAATTTTCATTCCAATGACTATTTGCTTGTATTTTTGTCAGAATGACACTAGGAAAGTTGACAACAACTCTAGTCTTTTGATAAGTTAATTACTACGGATAAGTCAACATCATACATAACTGGTTGGCTAAACTACATTATTTTATACATTTATTTTACAACATGCATGATTTCCCTAAAATTAATCATCCTCTGTGCGCTTTCTTTTCTTTTGATTAATAACAGTTTTTGAAGTTATCAACTTGGATATAACCCCATGTTTCCATTGTTCAAACCGCCTTAAACTTTCTTGAGAGTGAGAGAAAATATTGCGTTCATTATGATCAAGTTTTGGTAGCAATGTTTTTGATTCTGTGCTGCCATCAAGTCTGTTTATGGACAAATCCATGATTCGTCTCATTCGATTCATGTATGTCTAAAATTATCAAAAAAGAGGGTGGGTAAAAGGATAAATTTGCATTGATTGGTTGGTAACAAGATGTTAAAAAAGAAGGTGATATTGAATGAGAGTGAATATTTTAATAATGACCCTTCATCAGTCATACCTACCATCAGGAGGGACTCTGCAATTCTTGGATTTTCTGCATTACCAAACTCAAGTAACTTTTCACCAAACTGGTAAAAATATGGACCCAGCTTATTGAGATCTACCACAGTTGCATCAGCCTCAAAGATCTGTCTGTATGCCTCTCGATACACCTTGGGCAGCTCCACAGAGACAATTCTTCCTTGTCTCATTGAAATCTCCTTTGCAAGCCAAAAAGGAAGCTCCATTTTAGTTCCTTGTTCAATGTGTTCAGAATCAGAGCCATGATCAAGAAATCCAAGATCTTTCACTTGTGATTCAAATGTGCATGGTACTCTTTCTTGACACACTAGAATGTCGTCTATTTCAAAATATTCCCATCCGCTAGGGCGAACTTGAAGCGAAGCGTAGAGTGGATTATCCTCCATTAGCTCCCGTATAAATATAACTCAAATTTCTGGTGTAAAAATTCAAATTACAAGACATAAAAACGTCTTATTTAATTTGTTTTATCATCTTTAATACAGCAGCTTTTCAACGATGGCTTGTTAGGGTCTTTTCATACTGTTTTACTGTTTCAAATTTAAAAAAAATATTCTGAAATCTGAAATTTTGATTCAAATATGGCGCCCATTTACGACACAGTTGATTTAACCTGATTTAACTTGATAAGCATGATTAGCATCAATCCTTGATTAAAATTAATCAGCGTGGTTCCCGATGTGGCAAAGGAGTACTGATGAATTAAGTCGCTCGCGAAATAATTGGTTTTCTAATTTATTCTTTTTAAGAAAAAAAGGTGTTTTCATCTTACAATATTATTATACATGTTGCACTATAAAAAAGCCGCTAATGTACATTTAGCATCCATATATTTCCACTCTCATACATATCCCCTCATAGTATTTGATTGGATGAAATTTAACTAAACGTGCGTATATAGATTCGTTTAAGATGTTTAAAACGGGCGAACCATGATCACAATTGCCTTTGAATACCTGTTGAACAAAAAAGACAATTACAACGAGATGAAGCAGGAAGAAATGGATTTTGTTTGATCTGACAGCAAATTATCAATTCTTTATATCTTTTTACCTTATCTTTCTCATTTTCCTGAATGTATTTCCATTTTTTGCCCTTTCTACTGTACGATAATTTGAATGTCTTCACATGCTCGTAAAAACGATATCTTCCTGGAAAAAAACAATAGTAACAGCTTGTAGCTCCTCTTGCTATCATTTGAACTGATGATGCCACAATGTTTGAATAAAACGCCTCCAGTCAAAACTCAATAACAAGAAACGTACACAAGGATCTTATCTAAGCTACGTACCTTGGGTAGCAACTGCTGTGATTGTCCTTGGCCTTCCCAAATCAATCTGCAGCCATTCTCCACTCTTGGGAGGATAGTCTGCACACCATGATCCAATTCGAAAGTTTATGAAATCATCTTCCATGTAGAGTCTTGCGTTCTCTGCACTGGCGTTCCACTGACCTTGAGGAACATTGCAAAACAAGAAGATATGTTAAAACCGCAGCATTTCAACAAAATCCCGCCCTTTTCATTATGTACTTCATTCATGCAATTTATGAGTACACTATCTTTTCGTAATGGTTCAATAATTCAAGCTAATGTAAATACCTGTTACATAAAACGATGATGCAGTAAAGGCGTTGTCGCTCACTTTCTGGTCCCAGCCAATATTGAAAGAATTCGAACAAGTTCCTGGAGAAAATATTTTATACTATTACAACCATGAAACTACCTAAAAGAGTGTTTTCATGCACGAGATCTATATTGTGTTCACAGAATTTTGGGATAGTGAATCTGTCATGAAAATCAGCAAATGAATTATTATTTTGGGAACCTTACCTTCAGGTTTTATTTCTTGTCGATCACAAGTACCTTTGACATTACAACTGATCAAACAATTCTTTTGTACCCAAGAATCGGTTTTGCAGCGGCCGGCCTTTGCCCAGAAAGGACACGATTCACTTTTGTCGCTGCATCTCGTACCTTAGAAACGATTTACATTTTAGCGCGAGTTGTGTAAGCAATGTTTACTGATTAGATGAAGGTCTTGAAGATCTGATACATTAATAACCAGGGCATGGGAAAGAAATTTGGAGGAACCAGGCTTCCATGGTTAGTATAAAAGAGTCCCTTTCTTTTAGTGGCAGAAAAACGCTCCAGTTTAATTTCATTTCAAATCAGGGCGTTTTAATATTACCTATCGCTCTTCCATCGTATTCATCTTCATCAACGTCGTTATCGTCAGCAACAATTCTTCTTACTATCTTGTTATCGTCACCAACCACGACAATTTTACGTCTCCTGCGCCGAGAGCTATTTCCTTTTGCTTTTATTCTCGCAGGTAAAGCTGAAAAACACACAAAATGACGATGATGTCTTGCCAGTGATTGGGACAATATGTTGTACGACAATTGCAGTATAGAATTAAAATCATCTCTTTGGGTTTAAGAGAATGAACTTCAGTTCACTTCAATGGTTAACTCACGTCGAGGATTAGAAGAAAGGATAGACGTTTCCTGACTCACCTTTTCGACAGATCTTACAACTGACTTTACAGTATTTCAACATATAAGCTGGATGTGAACGACAATATCGCTTTTTCGCCCATTCCTCGCATTTTGGATTTTCGTCTTGACACGGTTGACCTGTGAATAACAGTATGAAAATATTGCTTCCAGAACTTTTCTGCGGGCCTGTGGCGTGTCAAACTTATATTGTACGTATAACACACGTAACGCACCTTTTGTGCAAGAACTGCAGGCTTTCTGACAAGCCCTAAGATAGAATTCTGGTCTCCCTTGACATCTTCCTTGCGTCGCCCAAAAACTACATCTTTGAGCATCGTTTTGACAATTGTAATCTAAGAGGTAAATTCAGCAATTCAGGAAGAAGTCCTTCGGCGCATGGATACACGAAATTGAGATTGAGGTTTATTTCACTTTCCGTCTATCCCAAAGTGGCAACATCTCTAGTAGCTAGAGTGAATAACCATATCCTAGCAACGCTGTGTTGTTGACTTTAGCTTAAGCAAGAAACCTCACCTGATGGGAGCGTAATATTCATTGATAAGAAAGAAGCTTTCTCCTCTGGAGAACCAATGACGAACTTCACCGGGACATCCTCTCTTCCTTTGTAACCAATGATACACAAGGAACTTCCAGGAGTAATGTTCCTAGGTAATCTTATTCCGATATTTTTCAGAGCTAATCTAGCCTCTTTTAGATACGTGAAGTTAGGCACTTTACTCACAATTAAGAAGTAATTCCTAAATAAAAGTAAAATGAAGATTATCACTGATCGAGTATGGGATCGTTCCAGTCCTTCTTCATACCTTCGTGGTGTGGCCTGGATGTGTTCTGAAAAAACCTCGCCGGCCCTTTGGGTTGTAATACTATAAGTGTCAGATTTTACTTTTCTTCCTAAAATCAAAGAACGTGTGTGAATCCTTACAGATATGCAATAGATGTAATTTATTTGTATGGAGAAAACAAAATTACGACAGGAATTATCTAAAGCTTTGTGGACTAACCAGATAAGTAATTGAACACGACTATATTCATTCCAAATCTATTTCGTGCAAGTTCTTTTCCATTTACCATGATACTGGCAGTCCTCTCACGACCAGTGTTTGAGTACCAGCCTGAACTCATCATTGAGACTTCAGCAGCTGTATTTCAGAAACAAAGTAAATTAAAGAGTCGCCTGGTGTCAGGCGGTGCAGTGTTTGAGTTCTAAGAATGGTAATATGATACCTTCAACTATTTCAAACTCTGGTGTTATATTCTTTGCTTTCAATTTCTCTTTTATGTCTTCTTCTACTAGATGAAAAAAATTCGGAAATATTATCAGGCACTATGTACGGACTGAATGTCTCCATTCTCGATTCTTATTAGGCTTGCTCCAAACGTCTCCTTTTTCCCGCAACGAACGCAAAGCAAAACATATGAGCAGATTGATTTTATTGTTTCAAAAGCAAGTTACGAACCATTCTTTTCTTCCGTGTTCGTTGTGTTTGTCTTCGTTGTGTTAGTTTCATTCTTCTGTGCTTCAACTGATAATAAAAATACATTAGATAGACTCGTCTGGTTCACCTTCACAGTATTATCCATGCTTAAAATTAAGTTGTGGAAGTAATTTATGTTGAAGAATTATTTCTTGCAAAAAGAGACAGAAGAGTTATACATACCGTCAGGACAATTGTACATCTCCCTTGTCTTCAGCACGTCAAGATCAGTGATATATCTGTATGGCGTTGGTTCCTCGGTGGAGTTCTTGTCTCTCAGTAATATCGTGCTCATCGAGATGTTCTTCCCAAACGCTTTAAACTTATAGTGCATTATGCTGGAGTGATCGTAATCCAGGCCAGTGTCCATATTATCGTCTTCTGGACGTTTGTAGAATTGTTTCCACATAGCTGTAAAACGATAAATGAAAAATAATGTTCACGGTTTATTCAGGTTGGATAAAAGATAGCTATAAAAATATCATATAAAAATATCATATTCAGTCTTACTTTGTGAGAAGAACATTTTAGAGCAATGAAGAGTTATCTTACATTAATATCAACATATTTTCTTACAATTCAGAATGTTGTCCCAAAGGATTTCAACAAACTCATCTCTATCGCTGCGCTGATGCTCATGGTAAAAGCCAATCACGTGACCGAGTTCATGCGTCATCACATATTTATATTCACAACCATCGCCCATGGAAAGTATTGACATCTTTCCTTTATAACCAACCTGACCCCAGCATCTGAAAAATTTACGTGCAAACATTTAGACTCGCTACTGAAATAAATGATGATCTCACGTTCTTTATTGCTTACCCTTTTTGCCTTCGTATCAGCAGATAACCTTTCTGATTTGTCCTTTTCACAAATCTTATGCATGTTCTGTTTTCCCAGGCTGCCATTGCTGCCTTTATGACTGCTTTTGCACCGACAACGTTTGCTGAAAGAAGAACAGTACAATTTAAAACCTGGCGCTTGAAAGATAGGAGAATGACATTCTCATCGCTCTTTAGCCTGTCAGATTCACCGCAGCCTGGTATCAACACATATCCACCTGGTATCAACACATATCAACCTGGTATCAACACATATCAACCTGGTATCAACACATATCAAAGCCTCTTACCGATGCTGCAATCGAGCATATAAGGTATGGTCGCATTTGGCCATGGATATCTTTTAGCTGAAAAGAGAAATCTTTCGATTATCTTTCAGTTGCAACAGAGCTATAAGAGTCTGATCTTTTGATGGTCAATGTTTGAACTAAACACACAGTTACGGGCTCCTTGCATCAGGCATTCGTCTCTCTTTTTTACTGATCACTGGATGACTGGAATATCCCTCCGCAGATAGTAAGAAATACTCCTGTACTCCTGGGAGCACAATTCTGAGATTAGTTGTGGGGCAATTAATCAAGAGAAACGCTACTTTGAGAATTTAAAACTTAATGGGTCTTCATGGGCTGCATGAAAACTACAGGTCGGTTGTAATTGAAAAGCGTACAAATATTTACCTAGATGCTGGGTTCTTCTTGCAAAAACGTGATATTCGATGTTTAACGAAAAACCATAGATCAAAAACAACAATGCAAGAACTACATCAATAAAAATAGAATAAATCCAATTACTTATGACATCTTTGCAATAAGCCCACTTACCTACCTCGCGTCTTATTAGCATAAAATACGTCATTGTTACGACGGTTTAAAAATCATTATTTGATTTATTGCTTAGAGCTCCTGCAGACTTATATCGCTTTGGTGGTATTACGGGCGTTCAGGAAATAGCTTATGCAGAAATCTTTATTTCCTGAAGGCAATATACCGAGTCTATCATTAAACAACCTTCCCCTTGTAACGTAACCAATTTCTAATAACCTTGACACATGATATAGGTATTAACAACAATTACGATAATTCCTTATGTCAATATCTTGAACACCATTCAAATTAATCCTGTTAAACTCCTTTATTACATTTCATGAATAGCATCGGAATAATAATCATAACACTGAAGGTTCTGCCAAGCGAGGTGCCTCGTTGCCAATTGGCAGCAATGCCGTACTGCTGAGGCAGTCAATATTTTCTAATGGTAACTAAGGATGCGTAAAAATTATCAACGGTAAATCTGTTATGGTGATACCAAGCAGTTTGTGGCTTGAACAATTAATGATTGATAAAAACACTACCTCCTTAAAGTTGTTCACTATTATGGCAACTGTTTTAAAGTCGCATGGATCAAAGAAGTCAATCCATCTCACATTGCTAAATACTGCCAATTTTGGAACCACTTTTAACGAGGATCAGTTTTATCAAAATAACATTTTATTTATTACGTCCTGACGAAAGATTAATCTCCGTAGACGACCTGCAATTAAATTAACTATGCATAAATGGTTGCCAGTATTTACAATATGATCTAAAACAACATATGATTTAATTCGCATTTGATACGACTGCGTGAAACCTGCCATTGTACCATTTCGAGTTAACATTACAACATTAGTGATAAATTTTACTTCAACTTGATTTTGCCGATTTTACAAAAAAAAAACATTCAACGCCGGCCAGCGAAGGTCGAATAAAAGGGCACTGTGTTGGGTCGAATATATTAACAAAACAAGGTACATGAATGGCTTATTGGCTACGAAGCAGCGACATCAATTAAACTCGTTCCATGCATTGATGCCCATCTTTTTTGCGCCGGGTTGCTGGAAACATTGTGTCCTAAACGAGTTCAGACCTCTCTAACTTTCCCATCTCAAGAGAGCTGGATATTTATAACTAATATTTCCATTCATACCACAAATATCACACGCACAAATGATCTCCTATTACAAGCATAATGCTTTGAGTCAACATACATTAGAGAAGAAAATTGCGTGCGTTGAAATATGGATTTAATTTATGACCATGCATACGCGAATAGCGAGCGCGCACCATACGCAAAATATGCCGGCAAAGATATTCAGAGCCAAGCTGTAGAACTTTAATAATATTCGCGCAAATGATTCTCACTAACCTCGAGATGACGTGAAGATATGATTGCGCGCAAGCCCCATGATTATTCTATGAAGACGCTCGACTTCTACCTTCTCTGTTTTATGTTATGTGTTGTACACCATCTATATATATTCCATTGGGCGCGACGCAGCGGTTTATGAAGCATATATGAAACACTCCTGTTGTTGACAGAGTGAAGAACAATACAACCTCAACGGATAACCCAATAAACCCCAAAGCGATATCCGGTCTTGATGATGCGGTTACTTGCAGGATAGAGTGAGGAATGGTTGCATGGTACATAACTCTCCCTATTTGAAAAACAAAAGTTGATTGGTTAAAATAGAAAGACTTGCTGTTCACATTTCCGAGCTCTGCCTTCCGTATTCATGGTGTTATTTTCCTCTTCAATTAGTTCACCTTTAATTTCCCAGTCAAGGGCAAACGTGAAATTATCTTATTTCATTTTGGCTCATGGGTAAGCCCATGACATATATCTTTTTTTTTCGCGGCATACGTTAAATTGATGTCGTATTTCTTGTAATTTCCTTGTCACAAAACACCACAACAAAGACGGTTTGGCTATTTCCTATAGTTGCGTTCTTGCCACCACAAAAGGCAAAGCAAAGATCAAAGGAAACGTCACGATCTTGACCATAAAATGACACTGCAGTTCAGGGACGTTGGAGTTTAACGAACAAAATATTCAATTGGACAGCGTACGTAGTTTGTAACATGATTTTATTTATTTCAACAAATATTCATAGATGAAAATACTACGAAACCATGCATATACCTAAGTTACTAAAACACGTTTTTTATGTTAATAAATTATCCGTCAGTATCCAATTTGACTACACAGACATAGTATATTATAGTAGAACTGATGCACAGCACTTGGACGGGATAGTTTGTTTTGAAATTGAAATAACAGCAAGAATAATTTCCTGAACTCGAGTATATAACAAATATAAATGGTACAGAATGCCTGAAACATCTCAAATTGGATAAAGAAGGACTAAAAACTACGCTGATAGAATACAGTTATGTACAAGTCTGCGATGCAAGACTGTTCCCACAAGTGAAATTGCCTTAGGTTGCCTTAGGTAGATCTGAAGCGAAAAGTTACACCAGGAGCAAAAATCGAACCCTGGGTACGAGGTTACATAACATGATTACATCTAAGGGGCAGAAGGGTGGGGAAGGGAGGGGTGGGGAAGGGAGGGGTGGGGGAAAGGCGAGAGGAGTGGGGAAAGGCTCGCATCGGGTACGTAACGGTATATTTAGATGGCAAAGAATAAAAGCTATATATGGATCAACCATGACGAAAATTCCTGTTTTCGTAGAAGACTATTAAAAATAAATACAAGATAACCGCATATTCTGGTATTATTAAAAACGAACTACTGTTAGAGACTAAAATTATTATACTTGGACAGTTCATACCGTTTGATTAAATTAAGTGACATATTTATGAAGCGAGGTAATTTTTGGTGCATCTTGAAATGCAATTTCTTTTGAATTTCAGTGATACGACCAAGCAATGAAATTGAGAGAAACATTAAACGACTGCAGTAAAGTAAAATCATGTAATGTTCACTGTTCTTGTTTACTGACATCTAGGCAGAAATTACCCTGCAAGTTACACCTAAAATTACCCGGAGGGTGCGTGGTTTTTTAACAGCGTGCATTTGCACTTAACCCCGGGTTTAACGGCCAACCACCCTCTGGTAAAATACGTCACTAATGATGGCAAAAAAAACAGTTACTGACAAGTCCGTTTATGAAACGAAGCCCAAAACTATACAATTTTATGGACGTTTGTTGATGGAAGAATGTTTCCTCAAATGGAGGTAAAATAATTAGATTTAGGAACATCAAAATATAATGCTGATTTAAAATTTCCTGACCGTCCAATTTTGAAATGATACAGCATCTTCTCTTTCACCACTGCCACACTTTTAAAACCCCAAAATATATCATCCATTTCTATTTCGTTTTCACAAAAGAAACCGCGCGTCGAAAATCAACGATAAACGATAAAAATTCGGTTCATAAATCAACCAAGGAACCGCCAAGGAAGAAACGATGGTTCTCTCCTGACGGTACAAATATATAGCAAGAGTTATGATGTTCAGTATAAGCCACATCTCATCAAATTCTTTGCAATAATTGTGTCCGTTACCGCGTTGAAAACAACGTCAATATTTTTTGTGTCTGTCGCACATGTTCTGTGGACGTAAATTTCTTTTCGATCGTTAAGATTCTTGTTTTCGAAATTCTTCTGAATGTAGTTGCACGTGTCCTCAAAGCTATGATCTCCTGTGAAATCAAGAATGGACGTCGTTCATGAGCAGTGAACTCTAAAAAGTCTTATTAGAGTTCACTGTTCATGAGGTGCGGGGATTTTGCGGAGAATTTCCGCATTCCAGCAAGATAAGAATGATGATTTGGCGAAAAACAGGAAATTTACAGGCTTACAAATGGTTTCAAATGTACAAGCTTCTTCCTGTTATGACTGATGATATGATTTATGTTCAACAGTATAAATAAACGATTACTTTTGTCAAACAGATCGGTTTTTTATCTGTGATCATCCCTAATTCTATAACGGCGCTACGACACAGGGTCTCACCTCAACCATACACTTCTCTTTGACAAAAAAATTAAAAAAATTCAGTAATGGTATCATCACTCACCAGAGTAACCTTTAAAACATTCTGTGATAGGCGAAAACACGATCTTTTTTTCAAACAAATCTTTCTTGTTTAAGAAAAGAATCATCGATGTATTTGCGAAGAAATCGTTGTTCACAATGGAATCAAACAGGTTAAGGCTCTCCGTCATGCGATTCTAACAGCAAAGATTGAAATAGAAGTGGTTTCTGGCCGCAATTTACAAGCGCGCAGGTAACAGTTAAAATTAACAAGAATCGTAAGTCGTTTGACCCGTTTTGAAAACTTGATGAATTGATAATGATAATTTGATTAATTTTTGTAACTTGATTAGCCAGTTAGGAAATCTAGTTTTACCGTAGTTTCATCCTCCTCCAGCATCATATCGTATTCATTTAATGCTGCAACAAATATTATCGCTGTAACATCATCAAAACAATGTATCCACTTTCTTCTTTCCGTTCTTTGACCCCCAACATCACATAATCTAAAACAGATAACATGTCTTAGCAGGAAGCTACAACATTCATGCACATTTGATCAGGTTTACAGGTCAAGACACAAGTCAATACAACCTTAAATGAATGAATGGCATTGATTACGTACTGCAGCAGTTGAATTTTGCTTTATTTATTGTTAATAGACACAACTAAAATATCAACCCATGACATAAAATAGATAGATAGATGATTAGATGATCCTCTTACTTAAAATGAAGTCTTTTAAAATGAAATTCAATCTCCACAATTCCAGTAGTTTTGTTTCTAACTCTCAAGAGATCTTCTTGTGTTGGACTGTAATTACTGCTCCCAATTCTTTCCAAAGACTCCAGGTAGCTATAAAATTAAAACAGCTGGTAAGGTACACCAAATCAGACAATTGGTATTGTATATGTGATATCTGGCGCTTGGAACACTCTAATCTTCACATTATCCTGGAAACGACCAAATTAATTGTATTCTAAATTGACCACCAATATTTAAGTGAGGTTAACCTATAGGAAATGTATCATGACACTCTGTTTATGAAGAAAAATCCGTACCATATAAATGGTTGCCAATGCATAGAACGGTCATAAAATATTGTATTTTAAATAAATGAAATTTAAGTTTTGGGTATACAATGTTTCTGGTTAAATTGGAAGTTCCCTCCCATAACTGTTACCTCCAAATCTATAGTTTTATTGTTTTAGATCATGTTTAAAATGGTTGAAAAATACCAAATAGTTATTTGGTGAATATGCATCTTTTGTACAACTAGCTGTAGGGCTGTTAAAGTATGCATGCTACACAGGAGTCCTTTGGTAAATCAGAAAAGAACAAATATATATAATTGAAAATACAATGAAAATGAAATGGATGCAGATTTTCCTAAGCACTTGCACAGGCATGAGTGTTAATGAATTAAATTGATAATAGCTATTATTAAATGTTTCTTTACATGCATATTTAAATTATCTCTTTAACTGCAAGTGTAAAATTTGCCTACAAACAGATGTTTTGACAATACACTAGTATTAACATACCTAATACCTAATACGAGTAAATACAAAAAATTATGTGATATGACAGATTAAGAACTTTTTTTCATCGTTAATGATTGTTGCATATTTTGTGACACTAATCATGTGCTTAGGGACGAAAATAGCTTGAATAGTGAAGTAAACAAGTCATAGGTTAAATATATTACTAGCAAAAACATTACTTACTATTCTGCTGAATCATTGAGCTGATAGGCTCTGGATCGTTCAAAACAATGTCTAACTCCTTCATCCTCCCAAAGACGTTTTAATGCTTCTGTAAGCTCAGGATAAAACGGTTCTCGTTCCTGATTCCTCGCCACCAATTCAAAAATGAGTTTGGCATCCGTCTAAGAATAAAAACAGACCTGTAAGCACATATTCACGGGGTGCCAATGAATTGATATAAAATGTATTTGCGTGTGAAATGTTGCACCAACTTACAAGTCTTCGTTCGTCGTCGAATTCAATTTTAAGCTTATCCATACCACGGATGATTTGCATCATACAGGTTATAATGTTGCTGTTTATCAGTGGCTTATAGTACATGTAGTCCTCAGGTGAAAAACCATTGTCGTGAATAATTCTAAATTGGAATTAGAACATAAATGTAGCAAATTAGTTACCTAAAGGGAGGTTTATATTTTACATTCTTTCCGTCGATTAGAGATCTCAAATCTACGAGGGATTTATGAAGGCTGTTGGAGTCAAATTTGCTTACTTCATTTGCTTTACGATTGTGCTTTTGCCCGAGTTTCCAGCACCTGTAAAGGAAATGTAATAATTTACAGTAGTTATTAGACCTCGAGGAATATTCCACCACGAGCTCAATTGCAACAGTACGGAATATTCGAATCGAGCGCTGACTAAATTTCAGTGTGGAAAACGCGTTGTTTACGTCCTAGTTTATGGGAGGGACTTCATCAATATGAGAACAACTTGATGTATAAATTTGGACTCAAATTGTTTACCAGAGAACGCCAAATACAGACCAATGAATGCCGTTTTGAGCGAGCGTTTTGAACTACAACGTTATATGCTGGTGTAGTACTCACCTAGTAGTAACAGTTTCACATCTTTTTCGGTTTTGATTCGATCCTGCCTTAGCTCTCGATCGATGGCCTTGCTGTGTGCTCTGGCGGCCCGAGCTTCAGCACTCATCCCACAACCCATACTGTTTAGGCAGTCCTTCATTTGAATACAAAACTTTTGATTGAACTTACATATCCTACGAGCATTCCAATAACCCCAAACCTGTCACATTTTTAGCACGAATTGAACCACCATTGCCTGAATTGAATCGCATAGCAAACGACAAACAACAGACGAATCTGGTTGAATATTAAAAGTCATCAACCAATCAGATTGCGACCTGCGAGAATAACAACGTCAAGATGATGTTTCGAGGGCGTTTTGAATATCCAACCCAAACAACAAAGACAAAAAGAAAGTGGACTCTCAAAATGATTCCTTTGAGCCAAAAAACGCAATATCCTGAGATTTCAGTTACCCAAACATGTTGTTAGAGTGTATTGAATATTGTTGTCGTTGGGTACAAACCTTAGCAACACGAAAAATATTTAAACCTGTAAAACCACATTGATTACATAAAGTACTACCTCGCTGGCCGTGAAATGCCAAAATGCATTTGCAATATTTATTCATGTCCGGTGACGATTACTTTAAACAAAGGCACGAATTGCTGCAGAAAGTGTCCACTTTAAGTCAAAGACGAGCAATTATTCCTGACGAGACTAACAATCTTTCAAATAATGTCATAAATTTAGCATCTTATTTTACCACAAAAATTACTCCTATTTTTGGAAGTCGGTAGACCACAGTCTACCATGAGGGGGGTAAAACAGTGAGGAGAGATAGTAAGATAGACGAGATAGCGTTCTTGAAGATTATACTCTGAGGGTCTGGGTACAACAGGAGGCCCCCACAAAACCAAACTCTGTACCCACGTCAATTTAGGAGAAAATGAATGATATTAATCTTCTTGTTAATCTTCTTAATCTTGTTATTATCTTCAGGAAAATCATCATGATATAGGAACAAAATATACCTCCCAATTCTATATTTGGATAAACGTGAATTATTCCCCCCTAGGCAAGGTGTCTTAGAGCCTCCCCTTCCTTCTCGTAACGATCCACCCTCTGATAGTTGCAATATTGGAAGAATTCAGTATGCAACAACTTTGCAGTGATATTAAGTAATTTACAGGAGGTATTCCTCTTTCAACAAGAATAGTTGAACACTTAATGTTAACCTGGACACAAATTCCTTAGATGCCCATATATTGCTTTGTGTCTAGGGACTTCTAAAACTCACTAACATTCCTTCTGTATTTGGAAATAATTTCGTAAATTTTTCCCACGGTTATTGAAACTTTTGGAGAACTCCTTTCGAGTTGAATTCTCATGTCGGCAGCAAGACAAATATCAAATTCTACGGTCTAGTGCTTGTCTAAGTATGAAGACCGTTAGGCATTCTTACTTTTCAAACTACGGTGATATGTGCGTGACTACTCAAGAAAGAGGAACATATCAACCGACCTGAAGATCAGTGAAAAGGAAACGTGTTTTTGGCATCGCAGTTTCTCCACCAGGTAATCTTGCGCTTATAATTTAGCCAATCAATGCTCAGGCTCAGGGGCCAGTTGTATAAAAGACTAGTTAACTTTTAACTGTAGTTAAGGACAGAATTGGCCAATCAGAGTCGTATATTTCTGAGTTAACTAGGATTCAACTATGCAAAATGTAGTTAAAGAGTTTTATACAACCAGCCCCAGAAAGTTTATGGAAATAGAAATCCACTCTCCAGTATTTGATCATCGCGATATCTTTTGTTTTCTTTATGAAACTTGTCGACAAAATTTTGTGGTAATATTTAGTTAAAGAACCATAGATCTGGCATAAATTTGAAACCGGAAGAAAATATATTTCAAGAGATATTAAGTTGTTTCCACTGAGAAATGGATTTTTATTTCACAAATAGTCAGCTCCCGATATTCTAGATCACCTGGTAAGGTAGTTCTTGAAATATTTATCACAGTATATAATCATTTTCCTTTTGGAGAATATTACGTTTTAAACTCCATGTGATGATCATATGATCATAATTATACACTTCCCACGGACGCTGTTTACCTCAGCTTCCCCTACGTGTCATCATGACGTCACGGAACGAAACTGATTTCCATGAAAGTCTAATTTTCTGAAGTGCGCTGGCGCGATTGAGACAAGCCATTGTGGATCCACGACAGCCACATGCCTCATGTAACACTTGGATGTATGAACGAGTTCTGTGAACACGACATAGGCTGGTTTAGCTTTGAATAAAGAGGACGATGGATGAATACTGGCGGTCATCTTTTGTCCAAAACATTTGTAGCTTCCATCCAACTGTAATTCAGCTGCATTCACAAAAAATCCCGTAGTTAGACACTCTCGTATCTTACTTGTATCTTTCCCACAAGACTGTAAAGGTATTTCCAGTTTTGTACAAATCTCTCGGAGCTGAGTTCTGATGTCTAGAACTGTCTTCATGGCCTTGCTGTTGATGAAATTATTTTCGCACCATTCTTTGTTTCCTAGAAAGATAAGCGATAAATTTAGTTGTACAGTATTAAAGCACAGATCAAATAGATAAACAAAAGGAATGCATTTACTACGACGTTCAAGTGATACTAACCTCTCACAGCTTTGAAAGCGCGGTAGATATTTAGCAACATGATGTGATCACCCTCAGCTGAACGATACTTCTGCAGCACAGCGTTGCAAGAATCTCTCCGGTTGGGAGGAGTATAGAAAATTGTGTCAACAGACAACAGTGCTATGATCGTCAGCACATCTTCACTGCAGTTAAAATCTCGTGACATTAAGAGGGTCTTCGAAAAACGAGGTTCTAACGGAAATCGCGCCATATTTCGTCCAAGCCCAGTAAGCTAAGAAATTGTATCATAAAAATTAGTCATCCTCTCAAAAAGATGAAATTCCAGCTCCCCCTTTTACTAACATCCTGGCCACGCCCCAGAGTGAATGCCTAGTTCTTCTCTTACCTCACCTCCATCCTCGCCCAGTGCCCCCAACAGAGTCAGTTGGTCAACTGCATTTTCAATGGCTTTTGATAAGGGAGAATCCAAAAACTCAAAGTGTCCAACATCTTTTATACCAAGTGCTTTAAGCTGCAGCACAACACTCGCTAAATTACATCTTTGAATTTCAGGTGTGGTTGAACTTTGTAAACTGTAGAACTGTTCTTCTGTATACAGCCTGTAACATTGACCAGGACTTTGCCGTCCTGCTCTGCCAAGTCTTTGCCGTGCTTGAGCCATCGATACTGGTTGAACTCTCAGAATATCTAGACCAGTGTTTGGGTTGTACTCTAGCAGTTCAAGAAGCAAATTAGATGAATGGATATAAAACTAAGTTAATATCAACTAATTTAATAAATATCAACCTTTCGCTTTTACAAAGCCAGTGTCAATCACATATTTCACGCCAGGGATTGTTATAGAGGTTTCCGCAATATTTGTGGCCAGAACGATTTTACGCACATTGCCTAGAGTTGGTTGCAATGCTTTCATTTGCAGCGCTGAGGGTAATCCTGCATACAATGGACATATTTCTACATTTAAATCTAAAACAATTTGAAAACAGTAGATATAAATAATAGGTAAATGTTATTTCTGATGAAGGCCTTTGGAGCAATGCAACAATTACCATTTAAACAATCTTTTAGCAGATTGGCCAGTAACTCAATTTCCTCTTGACCAGTAAGAAAAATAAGAATGTGACCACTACAAAACAGAATTACAGGAAGGTTAGATCAAAGAGTAGATAGGTGATACCACAGCTTGGTATGTATGGATAGCAGGATGATAGAGCAACAACCACTTACCCAAGAGGCTGTTCATTGTGCAACTGCACAGCCGCAGTGAGTGATGCATGAAGATAATCTGTTTGTTGCTCGGCAGCATAAAAAGTTTTGATTGGATGCTGCCGACCTTCGATGTACAAAATTTTAGCCCCACCAAAAAACTTGGAAAAAGGTTCAGCTTCTAGTGTTGCTGACATCACAATAACCTTCAATGGTTTTCCACCAGATTCATTTCTATTTCTTTGAGCTGTTTTAACAATGCCAAATAAGACGTCTGTATGAACTGTGCGTTCATGAGCTTCATCAAGGATAATAACTCCATATCGCTTCAACAACGGATCACTTATAGCTTCACGCAGTAGCATACCGTCAGTCATGTACTTTATTCTAGTATTGGGAGAGGAAACGTCCTCAAACCTTACACTATATCCTATTTTACCTCCTAGCTCTTCCTTCATTTCCCTTGCAACGCGCTCTGCGATGCTTATCGCGGCCACGCGCCTCGGCTGTGTACAGCCAATAACTCCTAACCTAGCAAAACCACTTCGGTATAAATACTGAGGTAATTGCGTCGACTTCCCTGAGGCTGTCTCTCCAATGATGATCAAACTTTGATGATGTTTTGCTTCTCTTACAAGAGCTTTCCTTGCTCTGGAGATTGGCAAACGTTCATCTTCTTGCTGTACGCCATTCGATGTGGAGTCCTCACAGGACATTGCCGCATCATGGTTTAGAAATCCATTCATATTCTCCACACAAAATTCGTAAAAACTTCTTGGCAAAAACTAAAATAAAACACGTGCGCTTCCATGTTTTCTTCCAAGAAAACAAACTGTTGAGAACTTTATGTAAGAAGCATATTTGGGTCAGTCAAGGCTCGGTCGATATTCGCCCTCACATCGGATATCTCCGAGAGATCTGAACTCCGAAGATGGTCAAGATAATAAATAACGGATGAAACAATAAAGTTACCCAACTCCAATCAATACCCCACGATGATGTTCACGAAAAGACTTTTGAAAACATTTAATTATTTAAGACAATTTACACATACTCTCTAGTACACGACAAGACGACAAATGTCATTTAGATCTATGTAAAATTAGCTACAGCCTACATGCAAAACATTTAAAGATTATCAGACTTCAAACGTCAAGAGCAAGCGGTAAAAACACCAAACCTGCAACTTGGCAACTACATCTAACACTCCAACTGAGATCTCCAGCAGGAATGAAACTTACACCTCTGCTGTTTCAAAATTTCATTAGGAAAAAACAGCCGGCGAGGTTGTTAAGCGTTGTATATTTAATGTGTTCATCTAATGAACTCTTACTAATGAGACTGCATGGTGGTCTTGAAAGGCCTTTTTCATTTTTATATCCCTTTATCTACAGAAACGAGTACTTATTTAAGACATTTATATCATCAGTTTATGGCTATAAGACTCAAGAACATCGCAGAAAGAATGAACACGAAGTTTTCCTTGGTTTTAAGCGCGACTGAGCCGGCGGCGATCTCCACAACATAGGCTTCGGCTTCGTAGACCATGACTTTGCAATTATTCAAATCATCTGCGGTGCTGTTGGACGACAAAGATGAGGTTGTATTCCTAGGGCTAGGCATAGTTGAATTCCATGGCGAAGCTAGAGTTGTGGTAGGTGACGGTGGTGAATTTGTCAAAATACTATTGTTGAAGGTTACGAGGATCCTGAAGTGGACAACATAATCGTCGAGGGCTTCCGCAGACACCGTCAGATTCGTTCGCTTCGGATCCGACATCTCAACCGGTTGAATAGTCTTCAAATCGCCAGTTACATTCTTTGCTCTCAGGTAGGTAATCTTTGTTGCGACGTTGAAGATGTCTGTTTCATTGTACTGAACCAATCTTGATGCATTACTACCGCAACGACTTCCATTTCTTGTTTGCACGTAGTATCTTTCTGTTTTCATCCTGAGTGCACGATCTTTCGGGATCTCGATATTGGATGAGTCATAATACGGACGATAACGTTTGCCATAAATTATATTTCGCTGAACAGTGTGGATAATAACTGCGCTAGCAGCAACGCTAGTGAATCGTTGATTAAAAGGCTTCTGCTTCGTAGTAATATCGCTGCGTTTGACACTTGAATGAAATGTCTTTACCTTTGGCTCCGTCCTTGACTTTGTTTTCGCTCCGTCTGACTTCGATGATTTTTTTGAAGTGGGTTTACGGCTTCGTGCGCGACTTGAAGTACGAGATCCTCTCGCCTCGACGTCGTGTACAGCTACCAGGATTAGGATTGCCAAAACTGAAACGCTCAAAATTATTCTCCGTAAATCCATGATCGCGACCTCTTCGCTTATACGATGGCAAATAACGGCAGCTGCGCTTAAAAAGGAGTTTTATGCAGTGCTCATGAATATTTTAGTGGAGTAGTGGATTATATTCTTGCTCGTACATCAAGAAGGAATATTAAGCGAATTTCGGCAAAAAAGATCTTGAGATAATACTAAAAGTTTTATACGGTAACTAATGATCTACGAGAACCACAACTGTGTTTATTGAGCAACTGTCGTGAGCGAAGAATCAGGCTAGGTCTATATAAGAATCAGGCTTGGTCTATATATTTTGTATCTCTGTGGATGATTTATTGTGAAAGACACTATTTTGTGGTCTGAAAATATGTTGCTGATTTGGACGTTCTAATTCAGTCCTAGTTACAATTAAACAAGCCTTCAGCTAGGCTCGACTGGAAATGAAAAAAGGACAAAATAAATAACAAATAAATGTTTAAAAAATGATAAAAAAAATTTCTGATCTGGACTGCGCGCAATTAGTGCGACAAAAAAGAAAAGAATGACCATATCATTCTATAAGTACTTTTCTCATTTCCATAAAAGCTATGTGCAAACTATTCTTTAAATTATGTAACAAAAATGCATTAAAAAGTCATTGAAATGTTTGTATGATAACGCTGCAGCGTCCCTCCCTGCTTTTAGGGTGGGCAATTCAATTTTATATCCAATAGCTGGCCACGTTGACAAAACCTTAATTGAAAAAAGAACATAAATAATAAATTATGTTGATAGTAAAAATGTACATCTATTGTACACGAACACATGTTGTAGAGACTTCGAGAACGATGAAAATAGGCTCACGTCTTACCTCCGGATGGGTGACTTCTGAAAGGACTAGTAACTAGTGATATTATTGCTTCGGTTGATTGATAGCGAGGGATAGGCAGGATACTCGGATCAATAGAGGATAAAGGACGGGGAGGATTCATACAGCAATGGCTGTAGATAAATGGTCTGTCCCGTCGATATCTAGGACAAAACCTTGACAGAAATTCTTCCATCGAAATTTGTTCATCGATGTCTGTAATCGAGACGCCGAGTTTGCGCTTAGTGTGTTCTTCCTGACCCAAGTGGGGGTGGGTGCGACGCTGAGAGGATTTGTCGCGAGTTAAATAGCGAAACAAACTACTTAAAGAGGATCTGCTCGGTGTGTTTCTCCTCATCTTGGAAGATGGTGTAGATTCATTGAGCTCTCCTTGTTCTTGATCTGACCATTCCTGAAATACGTCATCCTCCAATTCCTGGAAACCAAACATCATACACAAGTGTTGAGTTTCATGAAACACTGTTAATAAAGTCTGCTAGTTCCCAGGGCTCCGCATGCGTTCCACGGCGGAAGTCATGCGTGCTACAAGGAAAGCGTAGGCAGGTACACTGTTCGATACTCGATACTAACCTCGTTTTGCTTCATTGATATTTCAGTATGTTTAACACTTGAACTGAAACGAGGATATCTGATGTGTCGAAAACGACAGAGGCCAACAAAAGTGCACTAAAATTATACAAACAATTTTTAAACCAATAAAGCTAAGGAACTAGAAACCCGTCACAGTGCTCTTCAAACACGTCATATTTAAGGAGGGTCAAATTACTCTTTGTATTTTGAAGAGGAATACTCTCCTTAAAATCACCTTTTTGTACGTACGAGGAAGTGTAATGTACTATTATCTCAAAGATCAGTGCTCACGTGTGTTTAAACCAATGTCTTTATGCAGACTTGAACCATGTTTTTTACCGGTTAATGGGGGATATTTTCCGGCACTGGATCTTCACACATATAATATAATATAAGAGCTACAAACACAAACAAACCTCGATTTGTGAATAGTAAGAAACTCGTAATTCATCCAAGAGTTCAAGTGCATCGTTAAACTGCTTAAATGTTTTGTCTATTTCATACAATCTATCCGCAATCACTCGAAATAGTTGATCTGTATCGGAACATTTCTTTTCTTGTAAACTGCTAATTTGTAATTGAAGTGAATCTAATTTTCCTTGGATAATATCTTTATCCATCTTTTGTAGTTTACTCTGCATCTCTTGTGCCTCTTGCTCTTGAAAATCAGCGTTTTGTAGGCGTTCAACTTCCTGAACACGACCTTGGTAAAAATGCCAAGCATTTTGCAGTGTTCTTAAGGCCATCTTCTCTAGTTTCATCTTGCTTTTCTTTTGCAACTTCATGGCTCGCTCGCTGTCAGTCTGAAATTCATTGAAAATACTTGTATATCGAGTCTGAAAAAGTGGGTTTTTCAGCACAGGTTTGCCAGACACTAGTACGTCGGCTCACACATGATCGAATTTCCCACGAAAAGCGGAATATTTCTTTGTCTTTCTACTTCAAGTTGTGCTCAGAAACTCACAAAACAAATGTAAAAACCTTTTTGCAAGATACTTCTACATGAAATAGCATTTACTACAGGAGGCGGATTTCTTAAGAATGCATGCAGTCATGCATTCATTTCTACATTTTTCTACATAATGAAAAATTCGTATTCATCACATGAGCTTCCCTTTCAGGTTATTCCGATTCAAGTCACAAACTATGTCAACTGTAATATTCCAGATCCAGAAATCATTTGTACTATATTCTAACCACATCATGCAGTTATCTACGACCTATTCTAAATGAAAACATACAAAAATCCCATTTAAGTAGAAACGTACACAGACTGATCTCACTATACAAACCTTCTGACTCTCTGATAATGCGATTGCGTTTAACAAATCCTCTTCTCTAGCGTCGCTACCGCGACTACGGCTCCACCACAGCAGCATTTGATAAGCCCTCTCTCTTGTGCCATCGCAGGAATAGTCGTTTTCGATATTTTCAATGATGCATTCTTTCACATGTAAATTTCGACCAACCTGTTTCCAGATGCCAGAGATACGGTAGCTAAAATCACTCAATACTTTCGAATTGTTTGCAAGGCTGATGGTTTCATTACGAAGGTTGTGGGCAGTGGTAGCACTGGCTGGAACACTTGATTCGTCGTGCACCAAATCATCATCACTGCCACTGGAGTAACTGTCATAATCTGACCAATTTTCGCCGCAAGAATTGATGTCATTTCTTCTTTGTATGGTCGCCATTTTCGAGGCAAATTATTAGGAGTATTGGAAATGTATCAAAAGGATTCTGCCGAGGATTCTGCAAAAGATTATTTTATTTTTAAGCGGAACTCGATCTGAAACAATTTCCTGAAATATAACCCAGGCACGCAATTGACGTATGCAGTATGCTGACTGCGTTGACAAACTATTCACGAATTCAGGCAAGGATGAAAAGCACTTTGTTACCGTCTGTGTTATCTTAACAATTGATTTGTCTGTTACCGTGTTTAGCATGCACACAGTTAGAGATCTCCAGGAAGCGATGATTACAGATGACGATTTTTTGGCTAGATTCTTCGTGTTGTTATAAAGGTCAGGAAATGTCTGCGGCCAATATAAAACTCATTTGAAATAACCTTCTTCGGCTGATGTAGTCAAAACAAGAAAAAACTAAGACACATTTTGGCAGGCTAACAAGAATAGAAATATTTGCAGCATGAGCTGTATCACCCTGTATATATCTGTGCATTGCTGGAAATTGTTGACGTAGATCCGAATTTTGTCTTATACAAGGAAGTCGTAAGACAATGAACCCGACATCACTAATTTTCCTTTTCCTTTTGGTACAACTATACAAACTTCCAAAATCCAAAGCATCTCCACTGTGACTGGAAGCCTGGAAACACTAAAGCCTGGTTTCCATATGACGCCGACCTGTCGCCGACTCATTGTCTGTAATCATCCAAGGAGAAAATGATTTCAGAAAGACAAAAGATTTCACTCATCAGTAATCACCGACAATAATACTTTGCCGACGTCGGCGTCATATGGAAACCAGGCTTAAGTGAATGGTAGCTCTGCTGTAGTAACACGGCATTTGCGTAATTAGGATTTGGCACGCATTAGATATTCATATACATATCACTTAGTCTTAACGAATACAGAGAAACCATTAGACTATAAAATTTCTACATAAGGTCAGACTATATCCCAATTTGGTCAGCTGTGCTTCAAATAAGTACTTTCACAGAGAGCAAACACTTCTAAAATCTGCAAAATCTAAATTATATTGCAAACGAAAGTAGCTTAATCGACTGAGATTTAAACGACTAATATATATACACACACGTACGCAGCTAATATATTAATCTTCCACTCTGATAGCGTGTATTATTGTTGTAAAATATTTATAAATCGCAAAATCAAATACAAGGATTACTTACATTGGTTTCATTCGTAAATCTTTTCGTTCCTGGACAAATCTAGCGGGAGAAACAAGCTTGCAGATAGTAGTTTCGAAACTATAGCCTATTTCGCCAGAGGCGATGTGATATATGATAGTCAGTTTGTTCCAGCGAGGATACAGTACAAGGTCAAGGAGGAACTAATACCAATTACGTATATTTGCATAGACGTCATATCTAAAAAAAACTACACGAAACGGCAGGACAGCTCAGGAATTGGGTAAAAATGAGAAATGATTTACTCCAATCTTGAAAACTGACTAGCTTTGCACAATTTCGAATTAGAAAAACCCCTCCAGTGAGTGGCTTACGCAATCTTGCACGCAATTTATCGAGAATGGTCACAGTTTTAAACTAAAAATGATGGTTCAGCTCTAAAAGGAAAAACATAACCATGAAGTTAGAATACATTTATCGGGGATTCCTATACAACATGTTATAACTTGGCCCTTGTAACTCACGTCACGACTGGCAAACACTAAAAAAATGCAACCACACAACCACTATTTAAAATCTCCTCACTTGGAGATACGTTAAAAATCACACATATGTACATAATTCTTAAAATCTAATAAAATAATCTTCTACCAAATCTATATATGCGATACACTGAGCCTATTACGTGTACTTTGCGAGATCGTTCTTCCACGAAATGGCTTCCTCTTCGGATTCGGTTTTTAAAAAATATGTTCTTTCTGCCGTCACAATTTGAACCATACATTTATCATCTTCGCTAATGCTAACTGGAGCCCCCCGTAAGTAAATTGAGTCAATAACTTTGCCTTCTGCTTTTCTAAAGTAGTGTAAATAACCAGAGGGGTCCAACTCAAAATGGCGGAAATCCCATTTGGGCTGTTTGTGTTTCCCGCCACTGAGTTTCTGTAGAGTTCCTTGTCGAGTTGGTTTTGAAGGTGATTTTAAAGAGCCGGATCTCGATTTTGATTTTGTCATCGTGCTTGATTTTGCTGTTTCCGCGCTGGGAGATACACTACGTTTCAACGAAGCTTGTTTCTTTGTTACATCCTTTCCCTGAAACAAGCGATCATTCTTTTAGAAAAGTATTAACAAACACAACTTTATATACTCAAGGCAAGCAAATTCTTACCTCTATTTGGTCTAATTTGACTTGTTTTTCTTTTAACTCTCCCATCATCTGATTCATATTTAGTTGTTCTTTACTCGGGGTCTGAAAGAGAAAGAATGCCTTAACCCTTATCACCAAATACTGGTAAAATTACTCTACAAATCTATATTGATAAGATAAGCAATCTTCACTCAGAGTTGCAAAAAAGCTGCGGGTACGCGGGTGACACCCGGAGGAAGGTTTGCTTTGAATGAGGTTTGTGAGGAAGGTTCAAAGTTGGACACTCTAATTAATCACATGCATCTACCAAAAAACCAAATATTTCGTTATGCTGGCTGCCATTTGACTCAGTGTCGTAACGTAATTTTGAGGAAAGTTTTCAAAACTTGAAATCCTACCGGAGGAAGGTTGAACTCTTTTTGCAACTCTGTCTTCACTCAAAACAAAGTTAAACACGATTATTTACCTTGATACATTTTCGACCTTCCCTTATAGGGGAAGCAACATTGTTGTTGCTGTGAAGACAAAAAATATCTTTGTGTTAGGACTTTAGGTATTTTTTTACAACCCGACGATAATGGCCGACACTTACTTTTTACCCTTGCCTTTCGATTGGTCTTGGATAACGGATGAAAAGCTCGTCAAAAATTTATTCAAATTTCCAAATACTTCTTCAGAATTTTTCCCCGACGGTTCACCCAGCAACGTCTGGATAATTTAGGATAAAACTAGAACTGTCATAAACAGCGACATTTCAAGAACGAATTTGACGAAACGACGACTAGCAGTGAATAATATTCCAACCTACCAACATTTTTGTAAAGCTTTCCTTCATGTTGTCACAGCGACTGTTTAAGTCCAACAATTTAAGCTCATATTCACTTACAAATGTCTGCCGCAGAAGTCAAGAAAATCTCAGTATCAATATTCTTATGACAAACATCAATTCACACATACAGCATAAAGCTAGGCCTTCATGGAGGAAAGGATACGTTAATATCTTCGTGAAATCTACCACCTGCTTCGTCTAAGGTCTTTCGTTTCATCTGAAGATCAATGTTTAACTTTTTAATCTTTGCCAAACCTTTCCACAATACTAGACGAAAGAACAGGAATTGACGATGAAATGCTAACATAACCCGCCTTATTGACACAAGGAAGAAATTCTTAGAATACCTTCAACCTCTGCTGTCAGACCCTTCACGGATGCTGAAAATCACAGTTATTTCATTTAGAAAATATACAACTTCAATTCTTCTTAATAAAAAATCCAAAACAAACATGCGAGACAGAGACATGCAGCCTACCATCAACAGCAAACTTCATAGACGGGAAATCGTGTCCTAAAGATAGTGTTTCCTCCTCCTGAATTTTCAACATGTCCACCAAAAGATTTAACAAGGTGTAATTCTTTTGAGAGCCTCGGGTGTCAATAAGCTTTAGTAAGACGGATCACAATAATGATTTCAGTGAGATTTCAACTTGATCAATATACTTGGAAACACACAGCAATCCTACAGCCAAGTACCTTAGGAAGTGATGAAATTTGAAAGCCGTGAGCGGATCCTCTACTGGTTCCTCCATTGAGATAATTTCCAATAGCCAGAACATACTCCAAGACGGTCTGAAATTTCTTACTATGAATAATATCCGTACACGTCTGAAGCACCGATGACACTGTCTGCAAATTAAGACATCAGCTATACGTTAGAACTTGGGATGTTTGTGGTCGTACTGGTGTCATAGTTGGATAAAGAAGCGAGGTTTATATCACTCGATCATGGTCGTATTCGCCATTTTCCGACCAATTCGACCATGGTCGTATTCGCCATTTTCCGACCAATTCGACCATGGTCGTATTCGCCATTATCCGGCGGACTGGGGTTACTTATAGTCTTCATTTTCTCATGTGCTCACCGGGGAAAGTTCTTCATACTGAAGTGGAAACTCGAGGATAAACAACAATAGATCCAAGCGAGCATTCAGGTCACGAATTTCACAGAGCTGAAAACAACAACAGATACTCGAGTCAGTCGGATGCAGAAAGAAAAAAAAACTTTATATGATACAGATATAAATATGCTTAGGGTACCTTCATCATAAAAAGGTCTGTTTTTAAAAGATCTTCCCTCGTTCCTTTGTAATTTTTGTACATTTCTGCTTCTTCGGTGCTTGGCTGGAACCTTTATTAAAAATATATACAATAAGATACTCGACTAGCATGATTATATTTCAGAGAAATCCTAGAAAAGAATTTACCTTTTGAGAGAGATGACGATCTCTAGAGGAAGTCCACCATCACTCTCGTCAATGAAATTCAAACGCCTGTCAACATCTTCCGCAGTTAATTTAAATCCACTCAAGAAAATGCCTAAAATAAATTAGAATTCATCAGAAGACGGTTTATCCACCATTACCATTCATCCTTGATTCAAATACCTAAATTTTGCGCCCTTTTATTATCCAACAAACTCTTAGAAGCATTTTTCTTCGCAACTTGAGCTAAAGTCGAACAAATGAATAGAAATTTTAGTGTCAGTCTAAAATAAAATACGTTGAGCTGTTCAGAAACGTTATTCTGGAGGGGCCTCATAACTGCAGCAACAAAAGTTAAACATATTTAAAGAACTCAAATTGTTACTAACACAAATCAGGTGCATTTGCTTTCTCTTCAATCTGAAACAAATCTTCAATCATTTTCAAATCCAACTCATTCATTCTGTCTTGAGCTTTGACCCACATCGATGACATGAGCTGTGGAACAAAGGCAGATGAGAAAAAAACGTCTAAACACTGAGATTCACATCACAACAGGACCGCATCAGAAAGAAACAAGCACGTTTCATGCAATGGAGGAAGTTATAGGATAATACAACTTCATATATGTTATAGAGGATCGCTTCTTAAAAGTGTAAAGACGCGAGTCATTTCCTCACCAGGTTACTTGGAACTTTGGACCAGAAGAAGGGTCGAACTTTCACGTTAGGTTTTACCAAAGGTTTAGGGGGGAGCATCGAGGCTGGGCCTGCACCAAACGGAGGAGGTGGAGGTACACCCCCTCCTGGTGGAGGCGGGGGTGGTATGCCTATACCAGGGGATGGAGGTGGCGGGACAACAAAATCAGGTTGAGACAGGGAAGCGGGGGTACCCATGGGAGGAGGATCTACAGCCCTTGGGGAGTGCGGTGGGGAAACAGAATTCTGTGTTGTGGGTGTTAATGTTCCGTTAGTTGTAACAGGTTTTCCAGGAGATCGTTCATCTGAAATAGCAGAAAAATTAAGCAAAGCAGATTGGAGAAGACCCTGATTAACAGCATATATGCAATATACGTTGGTAACCAAACGGTTGTAATTGCCTGACGTTTTCACCGCAAAGGTAAGGGGTTATCTGGGGACATAATCCTAACAACATGGATAGAGTAAGGGTACATTACGGTACATTACCTTCAGTGATTGTGTGATTTGAAACAACATGATTGGATGGTTTGACATCGCTTCCTTGAGGAGTCGCATTCCCATTGTTCCCAGTCTTTATCGACCCGATGCCACCAGTCACGGGCGCAGCCATGTCGTCATTTGCGTTACCATAACCACCGCTGACGTCGACAATACCTCCGTTTTGCTCGGGTATTGCGTTTAACGAGTTTCCATGTCTTCTCTGTGTCGTGGAATCAGTGGAACTCCCGGGAGAGCAATTCATAGAAACTATTGATTTCCTACAAGTTAGCATGAAGTATTCAAACTACCTTTTAAAACATGAAGAATTGCTTTTTCTTCTTGTAAAAACAGTTTATCTTACATTGTCCACGCCAGAAGTCCAGTTTTAATCTGTGTGTCCAACGTTTTCACAATTTCTCCCACTTTTCTCATCTGTTAAGTAATCAAATGAGAATATTTCAAGGTACGAATGCAGGCTTTCTAAGCCCCTGAGTATCTCATTGATGAACACAAACCCACTCACCTGTTCTGTCGCTTGAATTGGAGCCTCTACCACGATCATGATCGACATTAATTGCTCCAATTCCTTGGATAAAGAGACTCAATATCAATTCTAAAATGCTCGCAACAACGCTCGTTGTTGACTCAAAGGTTCGTGCTCGCGTAAACCTGGGAACTACCTTTTGCAGACTCTCCACAGTGCGTCGAACAAATTCCTGTTGCTCCAAAGCTGTGTTGAGCAAATCTGAAATATAGTAAGAAAGACGTTATTCCTACTACAGGAGAATATAAACAATGCTTAGCTATGACTGGCCTGGCATGTAATCTATACATAATATAAGGTACCTACCTATAAAGATACGCAAAATACCTTGTTTTGGAAGTGTTGGAGATGTCACTAGAGGTATCTCTGAGACAAAAGGATTAGACGGCTGCAGAGCTTCTGAGAGGGCCTGAAGAGGAGATAATTTTGTATCACAAGCGATAAGAATATACTGTTTTGTCTCAGCTTAAAACAGCCGAAAATAACAAGGCTTTATCTGCATGAAAACGGTCCATCTTTCTTCCGTAATATGTCGATTGATTGATGCATGAAGATAATTGTAGAACGTACCGTAAACCACTCATCTCTTTCCTGCCTGATAGCCGTTACATCTTTCGAATTGTTTGTGTTTATAATCCGAAAACTGAAAAAGAAAAAAGAATCAACACAGTTTAACAAACTGCGCCAACACAACACAACACAACAAAACAAGACAACCGAATCAAATGTAGAAATTCAAAAAGAAACCTGTATTCCTTTTTTTGTGTTGATACAATAAACACGTTGTGCTCTGACTTCTTGATAAAGGCATGACCTGGACCAAGTTTAATGATATTCAGCGCGGTCTGCAGTAAAACACAAACAAGAAAGTGAAAACATATCACGTACTCAGGACAATTACGCGTGTTCCTCGTAACGATTGGACCGGAAGGGAAAAGGGAAATATTTGACTGCTGGTCATATATATTGCAAGTCAACAATCTATAAAACGTCCATCAGAAGTGAATAGCACACGACAAAACTGGATTGTGTAACTAGATGTTTTAGACTTGAATAATACCTACCATATTCTCCTCACCAACTTTGTAATACGCTAATTCACCTTCTCTGATCCTCAAGAATCGCCTAGCATGAAACATATGTTCATTACAGTAAGATTTACCACGAAAAAACATTCATTTCATTATCAATTTGGGGAGGATTTCAAAGAAAAGCCAATCCTGAAAGGCGAAGCAAAGTCGAAACAGCAATATATAAAATGTTTCATACTTGGACCACGTTAAAAAGGCTGCACTGTGTCCTCGTTTCTCAATCTGTCCTTCCTTGATCGCCCTTCTTATAGATAGAGTAGTTGCGGCCCTGGCTCTGGGCAATGAACTGAGTCGACCTGATCGAACGAGTAAATTAGTCGTAAAAGACGACAAAATAACGACATAAATAACGAGATATTTTTTACAACACTAACCAGACGCCGTCGTGTTTTTGTTGTCTGAAACGATCCCATCAAGAAGACTGCAGATCTTAAAATGAAATAGAATAAAAATATGGATGAACCTGGTTGAAAAATAGCGAAATAATTGAAGACAAACTGTAGCTAGCTGGTATTTTGATATCTAAAAATTGTACCTTAATCTTCTCCTCTGCTGAGTCAGCATCGTATTCAACATCACCATCGTCATAGTAAATGAAGAATCTGAGGTCATCCTGTAAACATGGATGAAAATAGTTATATCAAGTACATATATAGAAAATATACACTTGTATATCAAGAGTCGTAGGCCTGGCTATACACTGGTATAACCCGAGTTATTTTTGAAGAATAAACTATGTGTTATACCATGTTCCAAGACTATCAATGGAGAACTCACCTCGCTGTCATAATCACGGATTTCTTCAAACGGAATTTTCCTATCGAATTTTCCCTTCTGAATGGTTGATAAAGCTTGCTCGTTAAAATCAAACTGTAGGATGTATCGCTCAGTACGAGACCTGTCTTTAGTGTGTTTGTACACTCCAAAATTGTATGTCATCTCTGCTTCTTGATCCTTCACACTCGAGGTTAGACCTGTGGACTCAGCGAACGACATCGCCTCCTCGACTGAAAGCCTTCCAGCCTGAAAGAAAAATGTTTGGTTTATATTTTAAGCTTTCTGACGGATTATATGACATGTAAAAGTTTCTAGGACGATGTATAAAGTTAGTATTTAGTTTATGCAGGTTTCCCCCATTAGTAACATTGGCATTGGATCAATAAGAGCGTTGATGCTTAGCTGTGGTTCAATCTAGTCTAGAGACAGCAAGTTATATACAGGGTGTCCCAAAAAAAAGTCCCCGCTATTGAAATGAAGCTTTTGTTGGAATTTGAATGCATGATCAACGCAGTAGTGTGTAAATAGCATATTTATTAGGTTGAGGCATTCAAATAAAGCGTCTTGCTTTCAATTGGGTTTATCATAATATTAAGGCAATCAGATTCGAACAAAGGCTTGATTTCAATAGAGGGGACATTTTTTTGGGACACCCTGTATATTCAATTTTCAGAACTCACAATATAATTTAAGGTCAGCAGATTTCACCATACCTAGATTTAACACCATTACTTATGGTAAACATTGCATAAACTACTTGGGACCTAAATTGTGGAACAAACTAAGTTCGGAAATTAGAAACCTAACATCACTCGAGCAATTTAAAAAGACTATACGCAGTTTTGACATGCAGTCGATACTAGATGAAAATAATTGCACCAATTGCATACTTTGTAACACATGAAATATGTGTAATAAGATATATAGTACTACTTTTAATTTAAATTATTAGGTATAGGTATATCGTAGCAGATAGTTAAGTGTCCCCAATTAGTAGAGGAAATTTTCCTCAGCTAGATGTATACTGACACAGAAATAAAGTCTTTATTTATTATTTATTATTATTAACTTTACAGTCTTTGCTTCCTGTTGTAATCTGATAATTCTAAAGAAAACAAGTTCCTAGACTTCTGGGAAGACGTGTTACATTCGGACGGCAGCGGATGGCTTATAACCAGCGGATGGCTAGTTATGCGCTAATTGCGTTTATCAGTCTTATGGCTATGCGACGTTTGTTGTAAAAAGATCAACGGCTACATTTTCTGACATTGACATTTACCGTAATACCATCGTTGTCAAACAAACGTCGCTCGTTTGAAAACTTTTACTCATTTTGTTTACTCAATGTCGTTATATTAATGGATGGACCCGAAAGCGAAAGGGACCGCCGGATTTCCTCGAAGAGCGCAAATATTTCATGGTGGGGCTTGCCCTTTTCAAAGAAAACCTATTATTATGTTGTAACTATATTTACATTGTTGCAGACACCGTGAATATAATTAGCGCGCTTTGTTATTCATTATTTGCATTTTAGACATTCGACTTCCTAAATATGGTTGAACGTTGTTATTTTGTTATGAAGTGTTGTCGGAAGGACCTCACACACAACTGTAAGAACATCAAACAAATCGCGACTCGAAAAGAAAAGTTGTTAATACAAGGATAACCAACGCATTACAATGATGTTGAATCGTGGTATTAAAACTCTCGTATTTATCATTGTATTTGGTACAACTTTACCACACGTCCATGCTGTGCTAGCAAATAACCGGACGGAAGTTCAGAGCAATTTAACTTGCACATCCAAATGGCAAAAGCTAAACCTGATTTGGACGTTTACAGTGGATAATTCGTCCGTAATAGACAATTTTGATTCATTTTGGAGCGAATACGGGGCAGAATTCAAAAACCAAACGATCAACAGGTTATACCACGCGGTGATATATGCACACAATTTTACTAAAAACTTCTCATGTTACGGAAATGTTGCCGGTCTCGGAGGTTTCAGTGAAAACGTAGTCGAAGTACTTTTTCATGTAGAACTCCCTAGAGTTGGTCCAGAACTAGTTGGTGTTAGATGTATACGTCAATCCGTCGCTAAAAAGAGTTTAGAGTTTTATGTAAGATCGCCGGTCACCTTATCTCAAAATGAGTATAGCTTACATATCTGTCTCAAGGGGCCCTTCATCACGGGTCGCGAGCCCAACACGTGCCCTACAAAGCAACAAGTCATAAAATTTAACTGTTCATGGCGTGAAAATGATGTCTTTGGCATCCAAGACTCGGCTGGTTATATATGCCAAGCGCTGACTTCAAGTATAGATTTATACATTCATCAAACTGCAACGTATAAATTTCGTATTCGGTCAACAACAGCCCAAGACAAATCCATCTCAGTGAGTCACGACTTCATGTTGGAAGTCTTAAGTCGCTTTGATCAACCAGTACCACAGTATGGGTTCTTCACCCTAATACCCATGGCACGAAAGCTTCGGTACCTTATTACAACAAGAACATTAAAGGTAAATCCTATCACTAACTACAGTCAAAAGAACAACTGGTCTCTGAGTAAGGAAGGCATAGGAAAGAGTATTTGCATTCACTGTTGCTTATTAATATATCTATTTTCTAACCTCCCACAAAACGTAACCACACTTTTTTTTCCTGTAGCAAGTGGTATTGAAATGGGAAGACATCAAGTTTGATAATTATCAAATAACTTACAATTGCAGTAATGGTCTAAATTCAAGTCTAATCCATAAAAAAACAGCATTGGTTAAAATAAATGAGAATTTTGCACCATATTCTCAGTGCAAGTTTTGTATTTCAAGTTATAACTTTGGAGAATTGAGGTCCGAACCATTGTGTAATGTAACCAGTTTCCCTGAGATACAACCAAGCAAGCCCCCAAGAATAACCTGTGATTCAGATACATGTCCTACCATCAACAAGGAAGAATCACGGACAGTTACAATACAGTGCAAATTCCCAGAGGAAAGTTCAAGGAACGGCATATTAAACAAGTTGGTGGTTAATTACTGGACTGATACCAACAATAAGGTACAGAACAAGACAGTTCCAGTAAACCTAAGCTCATGTGAAGTCACACTTAATGGTCTCAGCAAAAACTCTATATATTATGCACAGATGCAAGTGTGTAATTCCAAAGGCTGTAGTCAGTACAGTGATACAGTTAAAATTGCAAAAACAGACCCAGGAAGTTTTCACTCGCCATCCCAGTCGTCACTATTGTGGATCACAGCTATACCAATACTCATCATCATCGTTTTAGTAATTATTTTGTACAACAAATTTTGCAAAAGTCCAAAGGAAACCACATCTTTGCCGGACATACAGGAGGAAAACAATTATAATGAAATAACAGACAAGGAACAAGCTCTTAATGACTATTCAGTATTACCAGAAGATACTAATGACAATAGCATTAATAATAGTTGTTAAAGCTTTTAGAAGAATTCTGAAGTTATTCATCTTATCAACCAATGCAAAACATCTCTATCATACAAATTCGTACAAAGAACTGTAATTTTTTAAAGCATCAAATGCTTTCACTTGAATATTCTTAAACATTCATCATCACTATGAATTACTTCACCCAAAGATGCAAATACTTTTATATTGTCAAACAAAAAAATTAAAAAGTGTATTATTTGAAATGTAGTTGTTTGTCTAGTCTTCCATGTCTGCCTTCTTTTTATCCTAATGTCATCTAATTTCTGCAATCAAACTTTACCATGTTATCATGAGTTATTTATGATACCTTGACAAGGTTTCCAATCATTATTCTTTGTTGTTCTGCCTCCTAAAAAACATAATTGTATTATGTCTGTTTTGTTGTATATTGTTTGTTGCAGCATTGATTACACCAGTAAATTATACCAATCCCTTTTATTACTTTATTCTGCCTATTAGCCAAACTATCTTACGAGAATGGCACCTGGAGAACCACAGTCCTAGGGCGTCTGGAATCTGTGGAGGGGGGGGGGCTGGTTGAACACTGGGAATGTAGGTTTCAACTATAGGATAACATGCTCACTGGAAATGTGAAATTTCAACAACATTTCAGAATCGCTTTAAGTTTAACTTTGTGTTGAGTTTGTAAATACTTCTCATAGCTATGATACACACCTATAATAAAGTCCAAGGCATTACGCATGATCATGACACTATCTAGTGTCCAGTCTTTTTAGTAAACTTATCAATCCCATGCATAATAAGACTTTCTAAACCAATACTGGTCACTTGTTGTTGATACTCCGCTACTCCAGTTACGGAACAAGCTCACAGCACTTATTTTCAAATACTGAGGTGCTGCAGGGACAACTATTAGCAACAAAATAATGCTCAAATGACCTGTACCACCTTTCATGGGCCCCTTGCAGTGTGTGAAAAACATTTTCTGGTTCTTTTGCTGCTTAACCAGCAGAAAATAACACCTCATCTCAAGTTCACATAATTTGTACATTTGTATAATAATTTTTTTTCCCGCATTTTTCCCTTGGGATTCTTATATCTCCCCAGGGTGTTAGCTATTTCCTTACCACCCAGTGATTCACTTAACAATATTGAAAGTCGCCTTTTCGGTTGTTTTTTTATATATTGGACCAAATTATACTATTCTTCTAGATGCATGGCCTATGCATAAGGTTGTGTTGAATAAACATTCTTTGTTAGATTCATGCATGACAATAATTGCCTGATTAAACTGTTGGAAACCTAGTATTGCCTTCGCGTAAAAAAAGGCGGCAGGTTTTATACAAAGAACCGACCATCAAATATTGGTCACATCATCAATATTGTACATTTGTATTTGAAAATTCAAATTGAGCAATGTACAATATTGGAAGTCACCTGCTAAAAATTTAATTAATTCAGATTTATCTTTGGCAAACACAGACACTTTGCATAATTTTGGTTAGAGCCTGTCAAACAAATAACTTCTCGCTTTCCCCACCCCCTCTTGAAAGAAATGTATAACCTGTTCATCACTAGAAAAATCAATTCAACCCAATACAGGCCGAAGTGGTAACTAACATGGTAACTAATAACAACTGTAACGACACAAGTATACTAAAGCAATTTAAGACGATTCGTAGGCGGGCAAAGCGGAGCTTGCGATATTTTGATATACAGCCGTGTAATTGTTACAAAACTACATACTTTGTATCAATTATAACAATTTCGAGTTTTCTATCGCATCTACCTCTAATTGTGAACCACTTGGACTTCTGCTTTCATCATTATCCACGACACGTCCTTGTTTTGGTTTTCTAGTTGAACCAGGTCCACGTCTGAATGAATCACTAATGTTCCTTAAAATCTGCCTCGTCGACATTTTGTTTAATAATTCTCACAAATCAGCGAAGCTAGTCACGAAAACTATTAACGTCAACTCTTTGGAAGTTCCTTCGAGACACCAGGCAAAGGTCACTTGAATGATTGAAGCCACATTTACATACTTGATTGCATTTGCACGCGAATTAAAACGTGTTGTAATATTGAATCGTTTCGGTTTTAAATACTACACAATGAATCACATAAAGACCACACTTCATAGATGCGAATACGATTTAAATTCATGAAGACTCTTAATAACGATGTGATACCAAAATAGCGAGTTATTTACCAACGGTTGTACTAATATTTTCTTCTAAAACTTTTCTGTTTGGTTGTGTCAGGGTTGTGTTTACTTTTCTAACGATTTATGGTAGGCTGGTTGAGTCGGGAAATGTTCGGATCACGAGGACTCCCGACGGCCTATGGTTCTGGCATAAACTGAGCATTACCATACTAACCTGTATTAACCATACAGGCCTCAAATCTCTACACTACACCAGTAAATAACCACATAACAGCATTCAGTAATGATAATCTATGTGTATTTATACATTTACATCTATCCTACAATATTTTTCCTATTACTTTACAATAAAATTCAATAAAGATTTATCAAGGCAGATTATTTTACCCAAATTTGCATACACCAAAGACGAGAAGCATTTTAAAATGTATATGTACATGAACAATATTCTATCGTAAGCAAGATATAATATAACAAACTGTATTAGTCTGGCAGTGTTCACTTGTCCACATGTATCTTTCCATGTAGATCTTCTAATATTATTACACTTTTTCAGACGCCAGTAATTATAGAGTCTTTTGCACTTTCCACTCAATTTGGTTACCGTTTCGGGTGTAAAAACTAAAAGTTTGTTAAATTGTCCAAAGTGAAACGCATCTGATGCGAGTTCCATAAAGACGAGTATTAGTTAACTTGAACAAAGCGTGAACAAAGGTTGTTGTTCATTTTCAAAGCCAAACACCCCTTATGACGAAAATCTCTCATCACATTCATTAAAGCGTATTTAAACGGTCATTATTTGAATACTGTCATTCGATCTTCGACCTGATGCGTACGTAGTATTACCAACACTTGCATAATATACAGTATAACCAGACGAACACACATTGAGCATCACGAGACTAAACAGTAAACACACGACCAAACCTTGTCAATATTTAGCCACATATTTCATACGAGATCTACGTCGTTGTATCTGAGATAGAAAGCTATTGGAAGGTTCACTGCTTGTTTCACAAACTTTATAATTATCATCTAAGAACTCGTTATCGCAGCCACGCCGTGGATTCTCCATTTGCTTCCAAGTTTTATCGCTATTTGGCGACCGAGATGGAGAGGTGGGCGGTGAAAAGTAGTTCTTCTTAGCAACTGGAGGCCTCCATTTCCCAGGGGAGAGCGGTGCGTCGTCCAGGTCGTCTTTTCGTTGAAAATGCGCAGCAACTTCTGCCGCATTCGCTGCTATTTGCGCACTTAAATCTACCTTAAAATCTACGGCCTTTCCAACCGTTCGTTGGTCGTGGAAACCAACACGTCTTAAATGCTGTACTGTTATGTCATTTCTATCGAATTTCTCCGCCTCGTTGTAGGAAATACTGCGCTTTGCAAAGTGCGTTCCATGAGAGCGGGAATTTGACATAGATTCACTGTTACTACGATGTGACCGGACATATTGGGACACGTATTGAGGATTCTCGTAGTATCCATCTGGATCACCTGGCATCCCCGATTCGTAAGGTACTACAGCTTCATAATGCCCACTGTCGTTGTCGTCATAAGGTGCATGAGCCAGCGGTGCTGAGGCTAACCTGTCCAGCGATGATGAATTACTTGAGTAAAATCCAGAATCAACTGTCCAAGACTTTTGACGAGCTCCCCCTGAAAATGATAACATACTGTTTAGTTTAGGTTTAACAACCTTGCTGTGAAGAAATCACTTCTGATATCACCTAAACCAATCTATCTTCATAGTATATTGTCACACAACGTACCTCGCAAGATTTCCTCCATGGGAGGGGGTGGGGGTAGACTCATCTCACTGGGGTTTGGACTTGGAGGTGCAGGTGGGATCACTGGAGCCGGGGGAGGTGGCAGGTAATCGACCGACTGAGAATCCAGTGATGACATGGATGAATAATAGGATTGATTTGTGGCTGAATCTTGTGATGATACTGACAGTCGCGACGATCCTAGATGTTTCTCCATGTAATTGTCACGTTGCGGGCTGAGAACGCTGGATCGACGTACGGGAGGCGCAGGTTTGTGCGATGCCGCTGACATACTCTTACTGCGCGTCAGTGTTCCTTTTTCAGGGGAGCTCACGCGCGATGAGGGGGAGCTGGACCGAGATGACGCACCAGAGGAAACGCTGTATGAATGCTGCCGGCGATGATGTGTAGGACTTCCTGGAGGAGTGAGCTGTGATGACAAGGGATAGAGAGGGAAATATGTGAGCATCAAGAGCAAACGGGAATGTAAAGCGATACACGTTGATACCTGTTCGTCTAGAAAGCCACTTTCCGATAGTTTAAAATCTTCAATCATCTGTTCCCCAGCGTCAGGCAAAGTGTTTGGTTTTTCACTTTGTCTTGCCGCTTCTTGTAACAACGCGGATAAATTCTCCGCATCGCCGAGAAGCGATACTTCTTGCTCCTAGAACATAACATAAACACAAATTCTTTTTCAAGATTTCTTTGACGTGAATAGTTAGGAAGAGAATGCCAGACATTCAGAATCATTAAACTTACCACAACAGGTTGAAACAAATTCAAAAGAATGCAATAGCGTGAACGTTCTTCGATTAAAACCTTTCTCAAAGCTCGTTTTTGATGCTCCTCAAACACACCAAACTGTGCACTTGCCATCTAAAATGTGTTTTCGGGAAAACCATTATTATTACCTAGCGAAGTTGCAAACATATTGGAGTGGTTTTTGAGGCTTAAACTGACCACCAGCACAAGAGCCGCTTGCGAAGAAAAAAAAGCTAGTGCTTTGACTGGATTAAACGGCGTAAAGTGAAATTATTGTGCAAACCTTCATGACAGCCTCAAGTCGTTCCTTCTGACCAAATTTTCCTACACAATTCAAGAATTATAAACGGTTACGTCCCATGCAGGGATAGAAACCAAAGCAAACGGTTACGTACGAGGGTTAGAAACTAAAGCAGCACTCATTAACCTTTTTTATTCACTTTTTTATGCAAACGAACTGTTTCCATGCCAACCTTCTTCAAATCCTGTTTTGCTTTCTTATATTCTAAGTATCAAGTAAAAAAAGGAGAATTAAGAACCTTAACAGGTGATAACCCGAAGAAAAAAAAAGGCTGTATTTTTAAATCCAGTGGTAAATCACTCTACATGTTATCACACATACCTTTCGAGTTTTCTTTATCAAAATGGTTTACAGATTTCTTCCATTCATCTATTTTCTCTTGCAGAGGCACAATGAGACTATCCCCAAACAAACTAAAGAATGAACATTGAGTTAGGTTTAAAAAGTCTAATATCTATCAGGCCTCATTTTATGGTAACTTAATACATAATGTGGAGTTTGCTCCCTAAAGTAACTGGCAGTACTCTTCAGCTGATGAGTTAAGACTCTCTGATGTTAGACAGACACAGGATTGAGGAGGTTTTGACAGTAAATGATGCAAGTAGAAGCTGGTAGATAAGATTTTGAAACCATACCCTGAAAGGACTCTCAACTTCTGTTCAATACTTCGGTGTCTTATTACCATCTTGGTCAAAGTAGCACCCACATCTTTTGAGGCACCTATTTTCAGTATAAAAAATGATCTGATTATTTGAGTAAACAGTAAACACTTACACAACAGTGGTAGATTGAAGGTGAAAGGTCTAGGATTAAGCAGCAGAAACTAACACACTAAGCTTTCATCAAAGACTTTGGAAAAACAAGCTCAATGATAATGAGTCCAAGGACAATGTCATTGAAATGGTTTTAAAACACATTAGTAGCTAACACAACCAGATATGAGTGCTTTTACATTTTACTTTCTATTATGCCAGATTATTTTAATCCCATCATTGGATTAATTCAACCCAAGGGTTTAATCCTGGCAAAGAATCAAATCCGTCACATGACCCTAGGGAAACAGACCTGCCTAATGGCAGATTTATCACTCTGAATAATCCTGTCATTTTTCTACCTCATAGATTTAAAACACTTGACTAGGTACTTAAGATTAAATACCAAAGAATTGCATATTCAAAAAATACAGCAGGATATCTTGAACAGGATTAAAACAAAATATGACTTGCCCAGATAAAATATCAAGGCTTTAAGTGTCAAAAGGTTTGTCAAAAACAGATCATTCATTTTAAAAATTCATTTACCTAGCAATGTAGTAATGTTTTCAATGAGGAAATAATCAATTTCAAAAAAACTGAACTGCCTCTTATGCTGAAAGCTCCCCTGGTCTGAAACAACTAGTCAGGCTGGTCAATACATTAGCACCTGCTTTAAAGTAATTAATGTGCGGACATTGTGTGGGATAATGAAGGCTAGAGTATTGTTTAGGACTATTGTTCTCTTTGACCAAAAGAAAATATGATCAGGTTACATCTAACTTTTACATATGATCATAAAGAATGTTGAAACCAATAGTATTTGTTCTGTGAAACATGGTAAACTAACCATAACATTCCACAAACTCAACCATTGAGATCTAGTTTTTCGATGAATAAATGTCAAAAGTTTATAGTTTTGTCTACCAACAAAGTTGGCAAAAGGACTAAACTTCGTATCAAGTTCAACAGATTACAATACCATCTGTTCAAAATATTTTTAAAAACATTATGGGCAGACAAATGAAAATATTAGTGAAAATGCATCCAGACGGAAACTATACAACAACACAGGTATTATCTAAAGTCAGGAAACGCTAATTGAATAAAAAAGATGCAAAGTCACGATAATTTCGTGCATTACATATTTGTCTGTATTCAAGCATCATCATGCGGTGAATCAATCAAGGATACGACAACTATATAAATCCAGTCATGTTTCAGCGAAACCCAACACCTTATATAAACTAAATATAGTTTAAAATAATAACCCACGCGGTTTTTGACTATGGTTTGCCAAAACGTGCAAAAGAATAATTTGAAATATTGTTTACATACTTTGACAGGATGGGTTAATGTCAACTCCCGTACGACTCCGTTCTCCCGTACAAGCAATTTGATGATAAATAATTCACATTGTTATATTTATGAATCATTTAGCATGTTTGCAATTAAGCTTTGAAAATTGAACGACTCTTGTGCAAATAGTTTTGAATGGCAAAGAACTCTATATTCACCCCGCCGTCTCACGCAGAACAAAAGCAATGAAATATTATTCTCGAAAAACTTGCCCAAAGCTTGAAAACTTGCTGTTTAATTGTAAGTAGCTAAATGGTGTACTAATTAGTTTGAAAGATTAACGGAATGATAAACGGCAAGCACGCTCTTCGAACAGCAAATGCTTTTTTGAAACGATCCCAATTTTGTGTTAATATATAGCAACACAGTTGTTGGTATTGCTGGACAATCGCAGATGAATTAGTTTGCTATTGTTTCGACATTGTATAAGCCTTTACAGCCAGGATTTCTATGCCAAAAAATGTTAATGAAACGGTCACGCATTCGCGATAATGGTGACCGGCTATTATGCTGGAAAAAATGTTTATATTTAACCCTAAAAGAAGCAGATCTTGGAGCAGATTTTTCGCACCGGTCTTTTCGTTGACAGATGCGTTGATGTAAGATGGTATTTAATGAAGATTGGCTGCTGTTTTTTATCGCAAAATACACATGACAACTCCGAAATTAGTTTCTGCTGTGGCGCTTCTAAAGCTTCTCAAAAATCACCGGGCGTGTTTTATTGGCGCTGATTTTGAATAGAAACAAAAAAAAGGATAGAAAACAGTCTCATTTGAATCCCACACTCTTAAAATCAAAATACATTGACAGTCTGCGAAAATCCGTTAAGCCTAATAGCCCAATATGACTAATATTTCAAGAAAGTAAAGTCAATGGGGGTTACAGTATTTGCATTGCACTAGTCTAGAGAATAAAATTATTACCAACGGATTGGAAATGAAAGAAAAAATCATTCAACTGTCAAGTAGACTCGCTAAAACACTATAAAATTTGATAAAGAAAGAGATAATCCTCACGCATGCTTTTGCCCGAGAGGTTTATTATTTATAAGTCAAGAAGTCAAAGACCAACATAACGCGACACACTTCGAATTATTTAGTATTTACTCCCATCTATTTTGTCACTGAAGGACACTCGATTTGATATGTTTTTGTGATTTTATCGGACACACACCAACTAACAATATTTGTACAACCAAATCGCCGAAACAAGATCACATTTCAACAATAAAATTGACAACTGACCCGCGTGAAACGGAAACGATTTGTTCCCAAAAAAAATACCGAGATTTCCTATTGCTCTCAAAATATTGCAGTTTCTTTTTATCGTCTCCACCAACCTTTTGAAGATGTTGCTGCATCGGCTATCTTCATCATTGAATCCAAAAATGCTTCTAGTGTCGCTGCTGTTGACCTGTTATATATAGTATGACAGAAGATAGTATTTCGCACAGGACATAGTAACGTTAATGTCATACTATAGTCATGATACAACAACGTGGAAATCATTATAAATAATTATACAATATCTTCGCCTACCTTAGCGATGCATGTAGTTTTAAACCTTTTGAAACAAAGTCTTCCCAAAGCGGTGAACTCCCCTGATAAATACAGAAAAAGTTTTATAATGTTGAACGTCTGCCGTCTAGCACGCGATCTTAAAAACAAAAGGCGGTCCAAAGTCGATATAACAGGCTAACCTTTAAGTCGTTTATTATTGATTGAATAATACTCGAATCTTCAGCCATTTCTCCTTCAGTCATTTCTTATACACAAACACATATAACCATGTCCCTAAATCGTCGATGTTGTTGTTCAGATTATTAAAAATCCACGAGAAAATGTCAAAGTGTGAGGTTCAATGTTCCCCGATGTCGATGAACGATCGAACACTTTGTCATTAACCGCAAAGGTCAATATTGGTGTTTCCACGTTGGAAGCGAGAATATTCCATAATTGGTTTGTAATTGGAAAATGGCATTCTTTCCGAGATTTGCGCAATACCAATTACCAAATACGGTATACGATTCCTAGAATTTGCAATTAAGTTATTAACTGAATATGTAAGAAGGTTCCGATGTCACATCTTCCTTTTTCCAATCTTTTTTAACTGATGAAGCTACTGATAAAATTATCGACCAGAATTTTTGCTTCGAAATCTGCTTTTGCTTCGAAATCTGCTAAAAAGTTGCCAGTAATTCGGAAAATTTGCTGTTAGCTTTAAAATTTCTAGTAATTATTGGTATCATGGATGTCTGAGAAAAGTATACTGAAAGTCGAGCAGCACGAGCAAGAACGATTTCTTTTACTATAGATACCAGTAAAACTGTAAACTGAATTTAAAGTCATAGAAATCATCGGTTTGTCACAGTTGAGACTCGAGTCTCGAGCTATATAGCACGTCTTGTGAGAAGAACTCCACCCAGTTTTAAGATACGAAACTAAAGAATTATACGTGAAAGTAACTTTAAGCCTTGTTATACTGTTACACTTCTTATCAAAAACTGTTTGTTGATTTCCCTGCTGCGATTGACTGACAAGGCGAGTGGATTTTTTTTTCTTTCCCAAACAGTTCAAAGATCCAATTGAACGGATAAAAATGATTACAATCTTCATCATTTCATGTACATATTACTTTGGCTGTTTTAAGGCCATCCTGAAACGCATTACAGTGGACAGATCTCTCTCGTTGGATATGAAAATTCCCAGGTACGAACGAACAATGACAATAGTATTGCCGAGATAAGGCAACATAAAAAACCGTCTAAACCGCAAGGATAATCCCTACTTCTAGATTTCCTTATCTTTCACACAGATGGACGAAAGTTATCATGCTTAGAAAGCACATGCAGTTGGTATGCTGGCTGTTCTGATCGAAAATGGGTGATTGCCTGCGAACCACACTATCTCACCTTCATATGATGAAAGACTTTTAATTAAGATGTGAATTTTGGATCAACGCAGGTGATCGCATAAAGAATTCATTTTACTGGGGGTTTGTTAATGGTTAACTTTTTTTTCGTTTCTAGGTATGGAAGCCGTTTGTTCGCCTTCAAACGCTTCACTGGCTATGTAACCCGAGAATTTTTTTATTTCACGATTAAAGATGATGAATGTATAACTAGATCAGTGTTACTAAACCTACCCCACCCCCACCCCCCACCCATATGCCCAATAAACCACCCATTACTTGCTAAGGTGTTAGACTGCAGTAATATGATTCCTAGTATTATCATCAATATTATCATTTTTCTTTGGTATGATATCATCATTCTCAATACAACTCTCTCCTGATTCTTTAGTATCATCTTCTTCACCCTTCCCAGTATTCCAACGTACAACCCAAGCAGAATCAATCAACAACAGAGCCAAATGCATCACAATAAGTGGCAAACTCATGAGTCCTGCATCACCAAGCTCCGGTGGTAGGAAGGTTATCACTGACAATGTGATTGCCAGGGTCTTTGTGCTCGCCAGGACAACCAAGGTTTTCCGTACCTTCAGACTAACTCTGATCAACCAAGCTCCAACATAGTTCACGACAATCATAACAAGATGTAATGCAAGGCCCCAAAAAAACACAATCACAAGATTAAGTATGGATACATTCCGAAAAGATCCATCCAACTTTGCTTTGCTGACTTTCATCCACGGTATACATACTAAAAATGTTATGCTTAAAATTTTCAAGAGTTTTGTGTGATCTTGTACAAATGTTTTAACATGAGTTATGCAAGTAGAAACCTTTCCAACCTACAACAAACAGAACAAAGTTATTTAAAAGTTAAGGATATTACTTGAACATACAGTAGCTTTAAAAATGTATCTGAAGGCATAAGTTTACTTACTACAAGTGGGATCAGAACTGTGATTGCAAGTTTTATAAGTAATGTGACAGCAGAGATTTTAACACCCTTTACAGACACCAGCCATGTTGCTAACAATGGCACGGTTACCACACCTAATATATTGGTGGTCACTGTTAGAAGCAATGCTATTGGTACATCACCACCTGCTAAAGATACCTGAAAATAAACAGAGTAAAAATGCAGCAATTAGGTAAACATCGAACTATGTTTTATGATCTTAGAAGATAAAGCTAACCCTGAGGGTTGAGACTGTTTGCATGGATAAAATTGTCCCTAGAACTGCCCCCAGGGTGCTTAAATGAGTTTAAAACTTCACATATAAACACTTGCATTTCTGGTGCTATATGAATTTACCTTTACCAGGCTGACTCATGGAGTATGGTGTACCTGGTACTTAAGATCATATCATAACACCAACTAAGAATTTAAACACTTACCAAAACTATCCCAGATGCCACAGCACAGGGTGAAATGTAATAAATTTCTAAACCAATAAGGAATTCTCTTGGTCCAACTATACTCTCTTCATTTTCTCCTGATGTTTCATTACTATGATTCTTATTCTCATAATTTGCAACACTTTCTCCAAATGGAAGCAGCTGAGTCAATTTGGTACCAATTATTGTTGTAATAAGAACAATACTTATTAGACCCCAAATAAACGCTTTATATTCCTTGATAGCGTCCTTCATTGCTGCTGTTTTAAGTTTCACACCAGAATGAAGAAATACCATGATAATACAAATATAAGTTGATCCTTCAAAGCTTCCTACGTATGCACCAATTCGTGGGAAAACTAAACCGACGAACAACGCAATTATAATTCCCAGCATCATGAATTGTTTGAACATTAATGGCAGAAGCTTTTCGTGTAAAAACATTTTGAATCTGCCAGGCTTCTTCTCGTTTATGTCCTCCGTTGAAACACTGTCCATGCTCATCCTGATAAAAACAACTCGACGTAAGACATTCAAAATATTACATAATATTTATTATATAACGTTATGGCCGCACTGACTAGAGTTCAAAGTTCACCTGGACACAAAGAGCAAAGGCGGCAAGGAGTAACAACAAAGAACACAAAGACTACCTCCTTCAACCTCCTCTCTTCCCCGAGACCGGGTGAGGGTTGGTGAGGGTACTAATTCCGCCCGGTTCCCCGGGAAGGCAAATACGAATCCGCCATCGTGAAGCTTATTTCAGATCATTCAGATATGTCAGAATATCCAAAATGCGACCAGACCGGAGTGTATATTTGAAAAATCCTTACAAAAACGTTAAGTTTATATGCAAATTTAGTATATATGAGTAGACTTTGTAGTTTAAATTTTTCCCACAGTAAAATTCATTTCACAATAATTAATACAAGTGCATTATTGGAAGGGGAGGCCAGGCCAGGCCAGGCCAGGGAAGGATCCAACCAAAACCAACACCGTCATGTCATGATGGATAGTTAGTAAAAGAAATAAAGAAGAAAGATCGGACTTAAATATTCCCCGAAAATAGAACAGAATCAGCGAAGTAAAACAATAAAAACTTGTGAAATAAATACATACAATTTAGGCCCAAAGTGTACCGGCGAATCAAGCGGCTATACTAAACACAAAATTAACAAGACATTTCAGCAAACTAAGCCGTTCAGTCATTTATATTGAGTTTCCTTTTGCCGGAATGACGATTATTTTAACGTTAAAAACCAACAAGGATTGTTTCAAAACACTAAAAGAATATCAAAACACTAAAATTTCTCGCTAAAAACACTTAAAAAAACGTTTAGGCGTTTAAATCTTGTCATTTCCAAGCGTGTGCCTTATTAGTCGTTTTCTGTGCATATACTTGTTAGGGACCGCCCCCCCCCCCCGGGACCAGGAAAAGCTTAAATACGTTAAATTTATCTTCGCTCTCAGGGCTAGCCACTCTAGCTGATTCGTCTATGACGCTAGGCTTGTGGCGATGCATACTCTGTTTCTCACTGAGACGTAACGGTTAGGTGCACATACATCATGGTCTGGGGGCCGTAGTGCATCTCCCCCTTAGACGGCCGTTAAGATGTGAGTTATGGGGGGGAGTTCTTCCTATAGCAACCGCCTTGCACCTTTCGTAGTTGTAACTATGCTGAATATTGCAGCCGGTTGTATAACCAGGTTAGATTGTGGCATAGGCTGGATGATCTCTTTTGGGTGTTTTTACATTCTTTCCCAAATTTTTTTTTTTTTGGCATGCTTTCCAAATTTTTCTTTTGCATCGAAAAAACACTGTTATTAAACATACATGGAACGGATATAAAAATTTATATCGACTGAAAACCACCTTAATTTACCCCTTAATACTCTCCCCAGTCTCTGCATGGCTGAGTCATGTACTAAACAATAGTACAATACCAGAAATCATTCATAAACACCAAACATCTTCATCAACCTTACAGCAGTAAAACAGCAACAAAGACATTCAGACAGTCAACTCTGCGTTCTCGTTAGTGCCTTCAGCCCGAGAACTGTCAATCAAAAGTCTGGATAAATCCCCTGGCTTTCCCTGCGAGTTTTCAAATTCATATTTCAAAATATCTGACATTGAAAACAACTCAAGATTTTCTACTAATTGTGGACTTAGTTTATTCATTAATACTGATCCATGAGATAGTTTGAACAAAGACTCCACCATTGTTGGGTATACCAGTGCAGTATGGTAATCCAGGTTACAATGAATCAAACCAAGGTCTTAATCACTAGACCACCGCATCATTTGTTGAAAGCTTATTGTTCTTTATTTGACCTAACCCTTTTCGAAGCCTGATTTTAAATTAAATAGTAAAGCCAGAGGAATCGCGGAATTGGGGAACGAGATTGATATTGTAGATAATGTAGAATACTATATATACCTTTTTAACATTATCAATCCGACAATTTCAAAATCCTCATCTCTTTGAAGGACCTCACGGTGGTCACTTTTTAAAACCGAACGTTTGAACTTCGGACCATAGATATAATAGACCATAGATTAAGATATAATAGACCAAATAAAAGACCATACCATTTTGTTCTAACCACTGGTTCTAACCTTCCTTGTCCGTGGTCATATTTCTGACGTCATAGCGCGTGTTCGAACACGCGTGTGGTGTTTGCAATCGTGACGTCCACGAGCGCGCCATCTTCATTTGTTTCAAATTTGCGACCATCAACAATAGTAACAGAATTTTTAAAAAAACTTTGTTCAAGTGATTCAATATGGTTGATCTTAAAAATATCGACTTTAAAGAAGTATTATTAACAGGATTTTCAATCGTGGGTGCTGTATTTATTGTCGCTTTGCTTATATTGTTTGGTAAGTTGAGCTAAATAGGACGGTTTGCAAATTATTTATTACAAAGCCGGTTCCATTGTTTTGAAGGCTTGTTGCTACCCTTATTTTATACAGGGTTGTTTTCTTACATATGACTCTCTGCCGTTAGCTTTCATGACTTTCCTTTGCATCCTCTCTGTGTTATTTATCCGATGATATCTGCGATGCACCTCCGGGGAGTACAAACAAATACTTAGCTTTCTTACGTTTGTATTTACAAATGTGTTTAGTACAATTATAATTACAAGCAGCGAACATTTTGAAGTGTTGCCTCAGGTTAGAGAAGTTCATATGAAACCGGCCAATCATGGACACAAATATCGTTTCAAATTATCAGAATGAATTCAAATACAAACTACTGATTGGTTTGTTTTAGTTCAACTTATTGTACCATTGTAATGTAACCAGTATGTGTATTTCTATTTTTTTCCAACTAGGCTGGTTCTTGATTTGGAAATTATTCTTAGTGAGATTTTCGTTCATACGGGAGCTGGTTTACGGCAGTGAAGATGCTGCGAATAAAGCTAATGTTGCAAAGGGTGCACAGAATGCTGATATGCAACTACGACGAAGTTCAAGGTTACGAGAGAGGCAGAGCAAAAACCAGCATGGTCAATTATGAAATATTTTTCTATGAAAATTTTTATCATGTATTGCAGATTAATTCAGAACTAATAAGAATCAATAACTATTAGCGAGAAGTCATTATAAGTGTTATTTATTTATTTTTTCTTACCTATTTACGTACTTGGTCATGGAATTTTTGCAAAATTTTTCAATATATACTTTTCACCAATTAGAAATTTTGGGCTCATCCCAGTCTAACATACTCAGCACTTCAATCGATTTAAGCTTTAAGAATTTGTCTTTGAATTTGAAGAATTTGAATTTGCATCAAGTTTAAGCAAAAATATTTGACCAAAGTTATTGTTTCAAATCATGAAAGTTTATGGATGTTTATCTAATGTTATAGTGTATGTATGTACATATTTAAGAAAAACTGCTCTGGCTGAATGCACCAAATCAATTCCATTGTAAATATCTCAATTTATTTTACCTAATTAAAACTGATGTTGTATACATTGTAGTTGTTATGAGGTCCACTTTTCAAGTCTTATTTTCTAGCATCTAATGTACTGCAAATCCTCGTATAACAACACTACAATGTCAAATATCTTGAATATTCCACATGTCATTAATAAGACTTAAACCCATTTGTCCATGGCATAATTCTGGTTATGACTGTGTTCAAATGTGCACCATATGCCTTAGTCAATATATCCTGTTGGTGAGATCACCTGATATCCCCGATAGAAACCTTATTCACATTTTAAAATAGCATCTGCTGTATCATTGACCAGTGGGGCACCAACTAAAAGCCATCATCTTTACCTCCATTTTATTTTGTGATTGCCAGTTGCTGTATACCATTAGGATACTTCTCTTTAAATCTTTCAACCACATCTGCTTCCATGAGCCTTACTCCATCAAGCTGGTTCCCCAAGGTTAACCTGAAATGTAGTTAAGTTGCAGTTAGATAATTTGCAGTTGTAATAAAAATTAGCAAGTGTCTGAAGAACTGCTTTTAAAATATTCGTTGTTTAAATAAACCTTACCAGTTTGGTTGCACATTGTGGGGTCGTCCAAACAATTCTAAAAAAGTCAACATTATTATTTTGTCATATTTTCTAATGCTTAACTTCCAATGATAGACTTTCCAAACTCACCAACTTTCCTAGTTCCAGGCGAGAGACGCTCAATGAGACCATAAATTTCATCTGGCTTGTGACTTGTTGATCTCACTTCAGCAACAAGCACATCACAATCTAAACCATTGTTCATATTTTTTGCCTTTCCTTTCACACCAATCTGCAGAAGATATGTAATAATAATTAGATATGACAAGCGGAATTAAGGAATGGTTCTGCAGAGTCTAGAGTCAATAATAGAGCTAGTCTAATACCAAGCAATGTTCTTTGCCATGGTTAAGCCAATGGCCAGTCCTTCCGGTTCGAATCAAACGTTGAAGTTGATTAGTTTTGACCCAGATCAGTTCATCGCATTGATCATATCTAAGCACAGAATTGAAACTCAAAAAATTAAACATCCGTAATCAATTAAAATCAATTCACAAAGAATACACCCTACCCCCAAAGCCTAAGGCATTCTCTTCCAAGTTCCATGGCCCTAGAATTGACAAAAAATTATATTTTTGAAATCAGTACTAGAGACAAACAATTTCCAGCTATTATGCAGAACTTTCATGTAAACAGCAACGAGGCACTGACAGAAGAGGAGACAGGAATTGAAATGCTGATAAAGTGGAGATGAACTGTAATACCTGCCAGTGACCCATAAAAAGATGTATCCTTCATCCTGAAGTTTAGGAACTGCAAGTTTCCTCATTTCATCATCTTGCATTGTTCCATAAGGAAGCTAAAAATGAAAGATAAAATGAATTTCAAATGTTGGTTGTAATAAAGGGTTCCTGTATTCATAATTCACTGTAAATAAACAAAGTCCTTCCACTATGTATATTCCTTTTCATAATTTTTCTATTTTACCTCCATATGAATATCCCACGGTGGGTCAGCCATGACAACACTAAACTTTCCTATAACGCTGAAGTCCAAGTATCTAAGATCACACTGAATCCACTGAAAAATAAAGTATCAAGTGTCAAATTCAGTATCAAGCATGATATACCTGTCTATGAAAACAAAAAAATTCACATACCTGGGGTGGAATAAGAGTAATATTTCCACCTGGTGTTGACATTGACTTCTCATTCTGCGTTAAGTAGAAAACATTGTATCTTTGGTTAAACCCCTGTTTCGATTCAGTGAATGCAATGTTTTGTTGACTTTTCACAGTTTTAAAATCTCTACAAGCCTACCTTATCTTTCTCCCCTATCTTTTTGTCTCGGTCTTTTGAAACACCGGTGTAATCAACCTCGTAATGCACATACTAAGAGATGGAAAAACACAAATGATTGGAGAAAGTTTTAAAAATAATACTTCACGAAAAATTGGCATTTCATTGAGTATCTATTATAACAGGTCAATTGAACTAGAAAGACTAATTTCTATTCCTATGTGTAGGGAGGGTCCTAAGGGATTGTAGTTCTGGTCCTGATATGAACATAATGAAACATATATACCTTGCAAGTATCCATATGAAAGCAAGTGTTTAAGAAAGAGCAATCTCCGAGTGATTCTAAAACAAGTAAAAATATTTAAAACTCAGTTTGATGCAACAACCGTACAATATGGCTGTGTAAGAGAAATAGGATTTACCATCTGTATGTTTCTGAATAATCTTCCGAAAATGAACCTAAAAAATAGTGACAAAATGTTTGTTATAATATAATATTACAGGCCTTGAAACAAAGTCTAAAGTAAAATATTATTGTTTTAATGTATATATGTACCTTTTTACAGTTATCACCACTACTTCTGTTTCTCTTGCATTCCTCACGGGTGCCATGTTCACAGAACTCCTGGACATTCGCACCTCCCTGGCTTTTAAATTTCTCAACTATCAACTGCTCCTATAGAAATATACGAGAGAGAGTTTATTTCCATGATGGATACTGGTACAGGTGAATGCAGAGCTTCATTAGGATTTTAGAAATCTAAATTTAAATTACTGTACCTTAGCAGATTTAATATTCAGTAAATCCAGAATATCTTCACCAACTTTCTTTGTCTAAAACAAAAAAACACAATTGATGCACTATTCTTCAAACTCTCTGCTTAACTAAAACATGTCTTATTTCACAAATTGTACAAATTAGAAGTTGAAATCTTACTTACCTCAGTTTGAATTGTCGTCATTGTAGAAAGCATCGACTATATCAAAAAATTAAATCAAACACAATTGAAATGGATAACTTTTAAAGATATATTTCATTAGTCAATAGAACTTAATTCCATTACCTGGATGTCATCGTTATGAATTTTTTTCTTGTCTTTGCTGACTGGAGAAGCATCCCGTGATTTAGAACTTTCTCTTGATCTGTTTCTGTTGATAAAGGTACAATTATAAAACACTTAGTCAAATAATTTTAATAGACCTAAGCTTACATACGGCAGAGAAATGTCAGAAAGAATAATGACTAACCTGTCTCTTTTTCTTTTCTTAGACCCCTGTCCAGGAACACTTGACGGCACTATGAAAATATTACAAATGGGAATTGAATTGCAGGATTCTTTATCACCTACCAAAGAAATTATTACAGACACGAAATACCTGAAGTGGCTTTCAACTCTTCAACAATTGCCTCCAGCTAATATTTAAAGAATGAAAAATCCAAGTAGAAATAAGTTTCCATTCCAGCTCCATGATTAATTAGAAGTGATTAAACTATTTTCGTGTTTATGTATTTTTTACCTTTGAATAATCCACTTCCGTCACAAGAACACACGGTATTCCTTCACTTGATAACCCAGGTTTAGTTCTACCAATTAAAAATATTTAAGTTAAATATGTATTGAGTAATCTTTCCTCTGAAACACTCTTGCTCAAATCATTTGTCTTTTCCCTAACAAATTGAGTGCTCATATGGTTGACCTTAAACTCACTTTATAAAATTTTGAATGGCAAGCTTTTCTACCAGGCCAGTAACATCTTCATGAGAAACAGAATCATCCAACTCTGAAGCAGCCTATTAGAAATTAAAAAAAAAGAGTATACCCTAATATATTTGACCATGATTAGCCAGGTTAAGTATACCATAAACTGATATTTTCGACCATGATTAGCCAGATTGAGTTCACCATAAACTGGTATATTCAACCTTCCACTGGTATTTCCAACCATGATTGACAAAGTTAAGGAATCAATCAACCTTCATTCTGATCAACCACACACATATCTTACAACCAAGATAAAGGATGTGCTCTCTATATTAACTATATTTATACTGTTTTTAAATGTTGAGCACACAATTTGCACATTTTCCAGCCAGGATTGGTCAGGAATCACTTACCTTTGAACAAACAACATTTAACTGTAAAGAATTGACAGGCATGGAGAGATTCTTGTCAGATAAATGAACTAGTATCCATTTCTCTAGCAATGGATTGGTCTTCCTAACTGCTGGTGCAGCTTCTTGCTTCACCTCTGCAGGAGCCTCTTTTGGTGTGCTTGAGTCATCCAAAGTTAAAGTTGTTGATTTTTTATCATCTGTTTTGCCGGAACCACCTGTTTCAAAACAGGACATATTGCAGTTCATGCCTCCAGAATGCACGTCAACATTAAAGATAGTATCAAGTATCAACACAATACCTTCACTTGCTGCAGATAAGATCCCTTGCCTTTCTTTCTTTCTTCTCTGTATTCTTTCTCGTAAACTATCTTGCTTCTTTTTATGTGCCTGAAGCTCAGACCATGTGTCCCCTTCCGACATGTTCAATAAAACCACAATATCCAACCTCAATCCTTACTTTAAAGGCTCTACAGTCTACAGCATAGTTTGCGCCAACGAACTATACTTTGTATCGAAAATCCTTGGTGACAAATCACAGGGTTGCTTGACCTTCTTTAAAACGTGGTTAAGAATCAAATACTGTTCGCACTACCAAATACAGTTAAAAATCAGCCGTTAAAAACTGGAATTCACAGTTATACCACAAGTATACCACCATCAGTGACCACCATGCGCTAGAATTTTACCAACTGTCCACCATCTTGAATTTGACCGAGTGTCAAGCGGTCGGCACTAGATCATAGACAAGATACGCACATATCTGAAACTGCTATATATATTGGTCAGCGGGTGCCCTAATTTGATTTCATGATAAAATAGCGCGCGAAAATTGGCTCGAAGGAAAGAAATATTATATCCCTGCAAAGGATATTGATGAATCATTCTGTGACATAGTTAGTGGATCATTCTGTGACTTAGTTGGTGATAATTTCCTTCAAGTTTCAACAATTCATCTAATGTCCCACTGGAACCTCAATTGAAATAGCTGAATATAAACAGTATAACCTTTATAACAATACATTTTGAATGCATTTGTTATACCATAAAGTTGCATATTTCTCTAATTACAAGGCCAGAGCTAAACCCGTTGGTGGGAAATGCAGCCTACTTTAGAATTTACTCTATCTATAAACGCCAGACGATTCTACTTGTCAGTGGTAGAGTACTGCTAGTTAATTAATTGGTTAAATTAGTTTCTAAGCATTCTTTCATAGGTTGATATATGGAGGGTATATATGTATATGTATATATATCAACCTTATTCCTCCAATCTGATAAGGTTAAGCTAAGCTACAAAGATGTGATGCTAGAAATATATCAGGTTCAGTTGGTGGGTGTTTAAAGTGTGGAATTTACTGTACCAGTGTTCCAGTAATTTTGCCCCCCCCCCCTAGTAAGATCACCCTTCCAGGGAGGAGGGGACATAAAATTCTTAGGAAATTGGCCCCCTTTCAGAAACTTCACCTTTCCTTTGCAATTTTTGTTCTCTGTTAACACATTATCATTGTATTGATAAACATAATGGAATTGGTCAAATTCAAATTATGAATTAAATAGTATGTCTTAGTGTGTATGTACAACATAGTGTGTATTATACCCATTCAAGGCTCACATTTTGCAATACTCTTCAACTTGCAGTCATTTTGTTATTAGAGCAAAAATTCAAAATTTATTAGGGGGGGGAGGGATCTTCTGGAAGGGCAAAATTCCTGTGACACCAGTCAGTTATAAAGTAAAAATAATATACTACAATTACATGTAAAGAAATAAGATTGTAAATATTGCTGAAACTTTACTTCCATAATAATGAATTTTAACGTTATAATAATAATAATAATAATAATAAAAATTTGTTAATAATAATAATAAAGATTTTACATACAATATTATGGCATAAGCATACGGCATATGGTATGATATTAAAACTATGATATTATACGAGGAAAGGTTGCTTCAGAAAACTATCTCTGTGAATGACTTGAGCAATTCATTTTGTAATACTCATTAAATTGTGAGTCAGTCAATACAGTCAATTTGTATCGTCCTGAGTTGTATAAATTGAAAGCGTTTACAATTACAAAGTATTTTAGGTATAATAAGACCACATTTATATTAAGTTTTGGGCAAATGCAACATCGCTGACCGTTATATATAGCAGTTTCAGATATGTGCGTATGTTGTCTATGATCTAGTGCCGACCGTGTCAAGCCGAAAGCGCTGGACCCTAATGCGTGCGAACTTCCCCCAGATCAGTGGCTTACCCCCCCCGCCACAATCTGTGTCTGTGCCCCGCCTATGTGAGTGTTGAGTAACTTAAAGACTGAGAGGGGGAGTAAATGTAGGGAGGGGGGTTCGCGGCCCCTAAACGATATATGCCAAGACCCATTTCGCAAGTCAACACAATATACTATGTTCTTCCCCCGAATTTCCATGGCCCTACCACCATACCTTTACCCCTAGGTAGCCCAGGGCCAGAGGTATGCGTGTAGTGGTGTGTACCGCACCTTTTTTGAAACGTAGAGGAAATAAGGATGTTTTAGGGCCTTCTCTGAGAGTGGCAGCCCTGATTTTCACTCCAGGTTTATTCATCTCTCAAGGTTCAAAAAGCTTAAAAAACATTGTTCACCCCTGATTTGCCGCGTCAATCCCACTTTATTTATTGTCTCCATCATTCTGTCAGGGGGGAATCCGTAATAATAAACCTTGAAAGTCGAAAACATCTGGAAAATGTAATAACTACATCTATTTAGATAAAATCATTCTGACAGCTGTTTTGATGTTGTTGTTTCGCCCAGCAAAACCGCTACACTGTAGAAAATTATGGAGGAATTAATAAACGACTTCTTGAACTCACAATCTCTTGGAGATGAACAGGAATCGCTTTCTCTGAAGGAATCAAATGTGACTTCCTTTTGCGAAGCTAATGGTCAACGGTTCTCGTTCGAGGACATAAACCCTTCTCTTAGACATAAGTTTATTCGAAGTTTGTTGGACGAGCTCTGTAATAGGCAAGATGAAAGCTCAAAATGTCTCAATTACACAGCCCGATGTCTCGAAGCCCTACGTGTTCTTAGCAGAGATAAGTCGAATTTAGGGGAAATGATCAGCGAGAAATCATGCCGTATCTTCTTGAAATTAGCCGGCCTGTGCCAAACAGCTGCTCAATTGGACGTGGAAATCGTAGTCAATGAGTCCGTGGTTGTGATCGAAGCTCTGAAATGTGTTTGTAATCTTGTGTTTCAAAACGCGGAGTTTCGAGAATATACAATCAAGTATAATTGTACAGAGGCGGTTTGTGTGCGTTTAACCTGGTTCGGGCGATCCGATTTGCCCAGAGATGTGAAGTTCTATGATCTTCGTTTGCTGTTTGTCCTGACTGCTCTTGAGGCTAACGAGCGTACCACAGCATTGCATGCAAATGCTGTTGAGTTCCTTACGGTTGCCCTGGATCAAGTTGTCCCAGGCTGCGAAGAGAGAAGGGTGTTACTTAGCAAGGAACTGGAAGTGCGAGAAAATGATTCAGAGTCACCACTACCCTCTAGGTATTTGCCTCTGTAATCTTCTGTTGAATCACGGTTTGGGTGGTCTCGTACCCCGGGTTAGCCAGCCACAGCAGTGACAAATTATAGCCTACCCTAGATTGGTCTGTCCTCCACAATCAACAAACAGCTACTCTGGGCTTCCCCTTCTCGGCAGTGCTTGAGTATCCCCATAACAAATCACACAATCAATTATTTACCCCAGTCCTTACAATTTATTATTTTATTTCAAAGGTGCAATTTACCTGATGTCTCATTAGATAAAGATGCTGTTGAATTATTTGGTGAAATTCTAAAAGTTCTCTTCAATATAACAATCAACATTAGTCAGGAACAACCCGACAATAATTTGCAACAATCCTGCTATAAACTTATTTTCATACTACGGCACATGTTGATAAAATGCAAAGACCTTCCACAAGAACCTAAAAACCTCCAGAACAATATTATCAACATGCTAATCAACCTGCCATTTCTTTCCTACAATCTCTTGTTTTGGAAAATTCCAAAGATGGAAGCCAAAGAAATTTTGAAAAACTTTGAAGTTGACCAGTGTAAAAATAAACATCCTATTATATTTGAGGTGAGTTTCACCCAAAAAATGATATTTGAATGGTCTTATCACAATACACCTATTTGCAGATTTCAGCACACATTCAGTGTTTAGAATTATGTATATTTTCTACATGGTTGCCATATGGAATTAAGCTTATTTACTTTTTATTTCAGTTCTTTAATGTTGAAGCAATCCATAAATTGCTGGTTATCTTAGATCAAAGATTGGTTGACAATCTCAACCTGAAAGAAACCTTGTCACCCCTGCTTTCAGTCCTAACAACTGTCGCCAGACACAACAGGATAATTCGCAAGTACCTTCGCCAGGAAGTATTACCATCCCTGGGATATGTTGGCATGGAGAAACCTGAGAAGCTAGACACTATTCGAGGAAGATTGGTTCGGCATCTTACCTCAGCTGTGCATGAGGTTAAGGTAATGTTATACAAATTGTCAAACTCCCTGACAAATCATCCAGGTTTTTCAACTTACCTCGGTCATTTTGGTCAGAAGGCCATGGGAAGTTATCTGAAACATAATGTGCTAGTATTCTCACTTCAATCCATCAGCATTTCAATCTTGAGGTTCAAACTGCCTATTATAGTCAAGGCTAATAACAGACAGATATCATAATTAAGCTGATTTCCCACGATCTTTTTTTTTAGGAATCTGTTGGCGAATTTTTATTTGTTTTATGTAAAGAAAACGTGTCGCGACTTATCAAATACGTGGGTTATGGCAATGCCGCGGGATTTCTGGCTGACCATGGTTTGATGGCGGGTAATAACGATGAAACCGCGGGAAATTATTCCACTGATGACGAGGAATCAGACTCTGAGGAGTATGAACAAATCAAGGATCAAATTGATCCAATGACAGGTGATTAACTGTTAACAACAATTTAAACCTCTGACGTTTGCAGAAGACCTTGTGTACAGAGTCTTGTAGCTTTGGGAAAAAAAAATGAAATCAAACGGGAAAACAATTTCCTTTTTTTCCAGGCGCGCAGGTTGATCCGAATGTTGAGAATCCGCTGGATAAAATGACGGAAGAAGAGAAAGAGCTTGAAGCGGAGAGATTGGCAAACCTGCTCAGCAAGTTGAACAAGCAAGGAATTGTAAAACCTGTTGCTATTGGCCCAGATGGAAAACCAGTTGAGATCAGCAACGAGGAAGATCAGTGAGGACTGGATAGTGTCCAGACGTTTGAACTCACTGTTACCAAGCAAATTTCTTACAAATTGTAATAGACCTGTTGTAATAATATTGTGTTTGTAGTCATTAAACTTCTACCACATTTTAGACATTTCCACTATTAAATACGAGTTATTGTCTCTCGGAATTCATTCGTTTCCAGTCATGCAATTTACCTGAAGTTGGTTCAACTAATCAGCTTGAACGGGCCAACGCACATCTCCATGACACGTGTTCAAACTTCAAGCTCACTGCAACTCTTGACAGCAAAACAATTCGTCTTTGTTAAGAAAAAACCTTTGTCTTTTACCCCGTTTTAGCTCCGAAAAATTCATTTTCTTTCTTTTCTAATACACTTACCTATCAACAGCCGGACACGCTCATAGCCGGAAACTATCCGGAAAATACTCGGATGTTTTCGGACACAGATGGCCGATAATGACATAAGAATTAGAAAAAAAAATCGAGGACAAATATCCTTTAATAATTTAAGAATTACATTGCTTATTTATAAAACTATTAATTACATTAATCTACAACTTTCTTAAAAGCAATAAAACGATAATTGGAATTTTGCATTCGTCAGAGACAGAGAGTGCTCAATAATCTTTAAATAATACTGTATACCTTTTGAGCTGGAGTGCCCAAAAACTGACCTGTGTTTCGTGAAAGCTTCATTTGACATTACATAAATACTAGAATTGTTCATGCTGCGAACCCGTGTTAACTTTGTACGAATCATTTTGAGCCCTAATGTTCGCTTGCACATGACATAACTTCTGGTCGATAGAAGAATTTTGGTTGGTTTTAAACAAGAGCTATGATTTTGAAATTTTCGTTAGCTATGAAAATATGTTTAAAACAGCGTGTTTTAACAAATCTGACCTGTCAGTTTCTTAACAACTTATCCAAAGCAGTAAAATTCATACCTCGGTACGTAAAAACCAACCAGAGTAGCGAACGAGTGGATAATTTAACAGTGTCATTGCACTGGAGTAATTTCAAACTATATATATGGAGTCGTGTTAACTCGCCTGGCGTTTGAGTGCCTTATAGAGTCCCAAAGCTTTTTCAGTGACATTTGTTGCACTCTTTATCATCGTGTTCATGGCCGCTTCTTCGGGATACTGACGAGCTGCTATCTTTATATCCTCAACAAATATATTGATCACTTCTGAAAGAGAGTTTGTTACACTCGAGATCTTTGCGCGATCTTCACCAATGACTGTTCGCGATGCCCCGTCTCCGATATACACCAGCTTGTGGGCGCTCAGCACAATGAACTTACTATGCGCCACGAAGATTTTCGGCATGTGTCTTTCGCGCACGCTTTCTCCAAAGCTTTTAATGGCTTCCTTCAAAACCATGAACTCACTGTTCATTTTTTCAACAAATGATTTCATACTTTCAAAGCTAGTTTGATTGAAGATATCCGAATGAAGAGAACCTGGGTACGACATCGTCCCTGTGAGAGATGAATGCTGGTCGCCCGCAGGAGTCACAGGTGTTGCGGGTGAGCTACACTGTCGGGAGGGTTTTGGAGGTATAGCCGTCACATCTTCGAACATTTTTTCGTTAATCCTGTCGTCGTTTTTCAGCGTAATCGAGCAAAGTCTACGGACAGTTCTTGGGCTAAGTTTTTTACTTCCCTTTCTGGAAAGGCCCTCTGATGGCGACTTGATAGTGTCAATTTGATTCAATAAATTATTCGTGAGTTCCGATACGTGATCAGAAAGCAATTGAGTACGATCTATATCGGAAAGCGTCGGTGGATTCGGGGCACTATCGGATCTCTTTCGAACTCTCTTTGGTTTCGGCTGAACAACAGGCGGAGTTTTGGTTTCTTGGGGTAAGGTTTTGGCGGTTTCTGGTTCCATTTTACTCGCCTCAGGCTGCTTCGTACTTTCGGCCTGCACCGCCACGGGAGTCGGGCTCACTGCATCTTGGAAAGACTTTCTCGCCTCAGGATTCTGGGTTACGGTTTGTTGCGCGTCCACAGCTGGAGAGGGGCTGATAGGCTCTGGGGAAGAATTTCTCACCACAGGACTCGTCGGGTTGCTACGCTGCGCGGTCACAAGTGGGGTGGGACTGACAGGTTCTTGAAATAATCTTCTAGCCTCAGGTTTTTCGATTTGCGCTGTTGCAGGGCTCAACTGGTTTTGAGTAGCTTCGCTTGTTTCAACTATGATTTTGGGGTGTGAAGGAGTGTTGTCGTCTCGTGTTTCCCCGGTAAACAAGATGTAAGCAACGTTTGCAATCACTGCACCAAGGTTGTACGCCCCGCACGGTATGCACTGGGCTAGTTTTGCGATGGTATTCAAATCATCCTCAGGCTTCTCCTGATAGGCTGATCTCCAGTTGCTCTCATCCAATCGTTGAATAGCAGACTTGATTGAATAATAAGACTCCAACAAAGGTTTCAGTGCTTCCTCGATTCTTCCAGCAATTTCCTTATCGGGCAATTTCTTGGAATTCTTCAACGCACCGAGACCAAACTCCGTTAACAGACGAAGAGCGACCTTAACCTTTCCAGAAATCTCTCGTATCCCGTTTATGTTCAAAGCGTAGACTTCTGACCTGCGCCAATCATCGGTGACAAAGCTCATAAGCTTGGTGACAGCTACGTCCACCGCTTGCTGTAGTTTGTCAAGGTTGTGCATAGCAACATTATGACTCACTCGTAGCTCACGGACTTTATCCATGTGGATTTTCTCCAACACTGATTGCTCCTTTTGTTGGGAGTCCTTGTTCTACAAAAAATCAAGAGAGATCTTAGTTTTTTTTTACCTAATGCGTCGAAGCTCAAGAAACGTAATACCAGAAATATCATGGAATTGAAGATTATAATCATCTCTAACACATTTATTAAAATAAACCTCAGATATCCACACCAAATATGGAACGACACTCTACAATGTGATTAGGACTCTATAGCATAAAAATACTCGTAACCCACCGTCTTCGCAGGTTCGTTCTCTCCAATTCCATATATTTCTTGATAATCAACATAATCATCACTTTCAATTCGCTTTCTGTTTAGGCTCCCTGTGTTCCCCTTGACTCCCTTGTCGGCAAAATTATCGTAAATCTCTTCGACCCTCCCTGGACGTTCTTCGTAAACCTGAGGACGACTCTCTATACTTCCAGATACGACCGGGGGGTTGTTATTACCATCAGCTTTCTCTCCTAGAGGCAATTCGTCGTAAAATGCTTCGGGACCAATTGGTGGAACGTCGTAGACTTCTTCGAGGCCGCTCGGAAGGGTATCGTAGAGTTCTTCGGGTGCTGCAGGAGGGACATCGTAGATCTCTTGGGGTGGATCAATAATGGATGGGCTTGGGATAGTAGCATAATCTTCACCATCACTCGATACAGTACTTACTTGATGGTCGAACTGTTTGACATCATTGTGGGGTAACTGATCGTAAATCTCGTTGCCAGGCAACTGGTCGTACGTCATATCATCCGTATACTTTCCATTTAGTTCAGAACCACTTTGTCCAGTTCCTGCAGGAAAACTGTAGATCTCTTGTGAACCGTGACGACTTCCACTGTTGCTATGGTGTCCGTCGCTGGCGACATCCCTTGCTTTTGGGGGAATAACCGGCAGCAGAGTGTTCCGCTGACCATCATCACACTCGAGTGAGTTGCGTGAAGGCACGTCATACATTTCCTCAGATCCGCTCCCATGAGACATTTCACCGGAAAATCGAAACTCATCACTAGACCTCTCAGAGCTATAGTGCGAGGAGGGAGCTGCATAAATCTCGTTGGTGATCAGTCCGTCCGAAGAATTGCTATTCCGTTCCGCGGAAATCACTCGAGGACTGGGTAAGACATATCCATGCCTCTGCGATTCCGGCGCGGGGTATGCATCGTATGGAGATTTTGGTATCGCATAATCGTCGTCATCTGCGAAAGGCTTCGGTACGTCATAATCAACATCTCCGTATCTTTCTTTATACGCTTGTCCTGGAGTATCATACACATCTTGTGGCTCTGTTGTGTTATCATCATCAAATGAGATCAACTGCAGTCTATTTCCAGGGGCGACACCCTGTTTATCCCCCAGGGAACACAACCACCACCCTTCCATCCCTTCGAAATCTGTCTCCAGTACGGTGATAACGTCGCCTTTCCTGAACGAGAGTTCATCATCCGCTTCGGAGTCATTGCTATATAAAGCTTTTGCGAGAACAACCTAAAAACAAAGGAAACAATTGAGTATTGTCATCTAGACCAGGGATTGTTCTCCCATTTGCAACAACCTTAATACCGGAATTAAGAAGACGGCAGACAATATTATCAAATATCTCTTTGTTTTGCCATTGTCATTATCAACTTGGTAGTTTGTTAGGAACATTCTAGCAACATGCAGCATAGCTTAATTTGGTTATCTCTAGAGAACAAAGCATCAATCTTTGCTTGTTTGTGTCGAAATTGTGTTTGTTGCTAAAGGCGTGATAACGAGGGCATACCAGCCATGACGTGATATTCACCGGAATGCAGACTATCATCATTCATGTCGTTCCGATGATAACAGAGCTTCAAATCTATTTTCTATTTTTATAGACGTCCGCCCAAAATATTTATCTATTTATCTTTCACATATTCCGTATGGCTTTCAAGCGCTATCTTGTTAAAAATATAACAGATTATATTGGACCACCGTGGAGGCTTAAGTACTTCTCTCTTCAATCTGGAGTGTTTAGCGTGTCGCAGGATGCTAGCTTTCTCCATAGAATTATTAATATATGTACACAAAGTGTTTCCAATTGTTCCAAGTTGTTTCTTCTGAGACAATTTGGATTCAGATAGCATTTTTCGTGAGCAAATGGTGATCAACTTAATCAATATTGATATAGACTAATGAAAAAACTGACAGCATCAGAATCTCTCAGACTCAGTTTAAAAAACGCGGCTAACACAGCTAACATTTCGTGAAAACAATCAACACTATACTAGCTGTGGTCTAACATCATGGGTCGTGTGTCGAGTGGATCGACGAATATTCTGAATCAAGAAACATGTATGTTCGGGAAATTCATCATCGTAGGAAAAGGTCGCGCAAACACTGCAAACACTTGATCATGATGAACTAATTAGACAGAATAATTGACAATTAGAATGAAGCACGTTCGTATACACTGTATCTCAATTAAAGTGTTACCACGCAAACACCCACTAGTGTGGAGAATCCACCTTATTTGTCGTGATCTAGATTATCCAATCTTCCGCAGCTAGAAGCTAAATTCTATATTAAATATCCGCCTGTTAATATCACAAAAATGAGGTGTATTAGATTGTGGAGATGCGTTCATAGTGGGTCGTATACACTGGACTGCTGTCTCTCATTATTTCAAGACAAAGCTAAAGATATCACTATTGAATTCTGACGTGTAAATTACAACAAATTTAGATACAGATTTGAATAAAGAATGACAACAACATGTTATCAATCAGAAAACAAACATCCACATTAGCCTTGTCACAAGATGAATTCCCTCCGGTCAACTAAATTGAAACATGGTCAAAATGAAAGTTTCACGAGTGTTTGTAAACGCGTTCATGCAATTATCCGTTTTAAAAGAACGCGCAAATCTATCCTTTTGCAGACTCGTACGATTTTATCATATCAAAGCAAAGATGTGTCAAATATAACCAGATATACATATCGTTCCTTCACAACATAATATCGACCTTTGGCATCAGTTTAATCATAGTTGACAACACAGTGTCTTTGAGTCGAATATAATCTCAGCATTACTAAATACGGTTAACGTGAACGCTTAAGACCACAAACAACACGAAACAAATTAACTAAACTGGCAAACAAACAATAATACACATATTGTGATCTTACCACGCAACCAATTTGATAACGATCATGCATTTCACAGGATTCTCTTTGAACCATCAAAATTTGTTTGCGCGACACGAGTTGTTGGTTCGACCACAATAAACTACTTGACTGACTAGCAGCACTTGGAACGCACACATATATTAAAATATTTCCTTGTAAGATAAGCTGGTACTCAGCCAACGGGTATATACTCCCATGGTATGCCCGTTTTTATTCCAAAGAAGTGTTGATAAGTTCAGCTTACACATCTTTTCACACTAATATATGCCTCGCTAATACACATGTGTAACATATTAGGCGAAAAGCTGTTTTTCATGTACAGTAACTCAATCTTCCTTTTCAGAAAGTGAAGTTCCTTTTAATATTAATATCAACTTGTTTATCATTTCCATTTTTCCTATTTCCGTCTGTGTGGAAGCCATGGAAGACAAACGAACTCTACTCAAGGAAAGTTGTTTGAATTGGTAAAAGGGAAAATAAATTGTAGACCATGAAATGATGGCAATTCCATGTAGTGTGGAGGGTAAAAATCGACTCAAGGAATTTAAAAAGGACTATCATGTGTCAATAAAGGAAAAATAGTTTGAATGTTTGCTTGGTATTGTAGTTTTTTTCCAAAGGCGAGGCATGAGTAATTTCTATTATTAACAATAAATTTTCCTTTAGCAATATCAGAGCAATGAGTGGCAACGAGGAGTTTGTGTGTTTAATCAAATCCGTTTCCCGGAGAAAGAAGAATAGATGCACTTGTTAGTCACTGACTCCTGTTGAAAACACACGTTCACAGCTGAGACTTCCAGGAATAGATAACATAAACCACAGATACACTGATACAGCAAACGACAGAACGTAGCAAACCAGAGCAGTATAACGACAGAAGACAATAGCTGAGCTGCAAGAAAAGCCTGGGAAATTTCGCGACTATCAGCCAATATAGGATGAGTTCACGCCTATCCTGGAGACACGTCCTGTGTTATCCGACAACAGGTGGAGCTGAAGTGTTTCCCAACACTTTGGGTCGGTTGTGGGTTTCATGCTCTTGACTACATTAAAACACCTAACTACACACACTATTAGCAGCCATAGCAGATAACCTCAAAGCTTTTATTGGTTACAACTCTCGACTTACAATCCCAACTATGTCTTTATACAACTTCCCCCCCCCCCTCCCCTTTCCTGACTGAATCTTTGAGTTCTTTACCCGTATAGGAAACAATAAAGAGATATAAGTCATTGCTATTTTAGGTACTTATTTGTTCCTACGAGTATTGGCTGGTCTGAAGTGTTCACAAGTGTTGCAAAGGTTCTTTGTACTGGTCTATATATATTCTTATAGAAGTATGGATGGGGCATATACACACGAATTGAAAGGCATCGCAAGTAGAAATCAAAGCGAGTTTCAATTGGCGGTTGACAGCCAAGTCGTCACAGCCGAAATGCTACGAGAACGTCACTGTCTGTCAATTGTCTTAAGTCGTCTGCCCAAGAGAGGATTAACTGTTTCTCCAAGTAGATTACGTGAACAAAAAAGAACATATCTCTTCAAGTTAGAATTAGAAGTTTAAATTTCCAGCTGGTTCAAGTTATAGACATGTGTTGATGTGATGTTCTTTCGCTTGTTCTCTAGTTGAAAAATTACCTCTGAATTTAAAAACTAAGGAAATCCACTATGAGCACCATAACCAGGTAAAGATGTATGTAAGAAGGTAAGAAATCATAATATAACTGGAACGTAATGGGTCAAATTTGCTTTAGCTAGTAAAACCTGGCTAGAATTATATATATGAATTGTTGAATCAAAATTGTTAGATTAAAACCACTTCTACGGTCATTAATTGTTCTACGGTCATTAATTGTAATCAATTTACAGATTATTTCATTTGGTTCACACTTCATATTTCTTTTTGTCAAAATGATCAAGCTCCTGTGTTATAAAGATAATCTTCAAACAAAGAGTTCATTTCCTATCCTTTATCAAACCAATCAGTTACTGGGTTCAGCGTAAGAAGACAAATGTTTTTGTCGCAAAGTGTTAAAACTGTTTAATTCTGGCCCTAAATACCGTGTGAATTGTAAAGTAAAACTTATACAATTCGAGTTAGGGAGAAGATTTAAAAACGTACATTGTCTTTGCACGTGTTATAATATTATGATATTTCCTAATCTTTCCATGCCGACACGTTTCTCTGTGGGAGAACACCAGAGTTCCCTGAGAAACCCACGCCTGGCTAAATGAGGACAACACGTTGGCTGTCAGAGGTTGTACTCCCACCTCGACTTCGCTCAAGAATATCTTAATAATAGATGAAAGAGAGATTGCTACAATTAATGAAACAGAACACGAGATTCATCGAGAAACTTCCCATATTCCCATGACCGAAAGGTATGTCAAAATGTTTGCAAATTGCTGATGCATACTGTGGGCGTTGAGGAAATTGCGACGCGCAGCTAGCGCGCATTACATTAATTGCAATAATTATCATTTGGCGCGCGACAATAAAACACTATTGCGTTCTCAATGACCAATATCACCCCATACAGTTTATCATCGTATTCAACACGCATGGCTGTAAACATAGCGATATATTACAAAGACGACAGATCCGTAATCCCAGAAAGTATCGGTAGCTCTTAAAAGAGTGGGGATATAAATAAGCAGATCTAAGAGTTTAGTTAAAAAAAAACAATAACAAAGAAAAAATGGTGGTAAAGTGGTGATGATACATGTCATTTTCACCTCTGCATTCGTGCTGACGATTTCCGTTTTCTCTTGAGACCTTAAGACCTCGGGTGATCCGGTGAAACGGAAGAGGGCTGGAAATAGTTGTCAATAAGAACTATCAATCTAGTTTTCTGACGCGAATCGCTGCGAATATCTTCTAAAATTTGATATCCAAAGGAAAAGAAGACGCAATCGTTCGTATTCAGACATCTATAGAATCCAGAACAAGTGAACAACGGCTTTCGGGATGAGAATATTTTCCTGCTAGTTTCAGGCTTTTCGCTCAACGCGACATGACATAGCTGTCAGACCGAAGCTCGTCGTTCATTAGTGCATCAAAAGCAAGTTTTCCAGGAGTCCAGAACTTTGCTTTTCTTTCGAGATCTCGTACGGAAACCACATGGAAATTCAGTTAAATTTCCCAAAGGCAAAGATGGGGAACCAATGAACTCGCTTAGCGCGAAAAAACTTATAATAGGGGACAGCAAAGTGGTCCTTGATATCGTTGACAAAAACATTCAAATGCCACTGCAGCTGAAGGTCGGCAACAAGTTCAAACATTTCAAAGTTCAAACTATTAATACAAACTATTTTCCGGGTGTTTAGAATTGATTGCCAAAAACAACCGCAGACGGAACAAACAGAACGAACTCTTTTATTTGTTCCTATTTAAGATATTTAAATTTTTCACATATCATTGAGCTGCATGATGTCCAGCCGTGTATGAAGACGGATTATGTTCGCTTTCGGGTTTATAAACAGTGGTTTAAAGTAATACTAATGAATTGATGCTTTCTGTTTGGGGAAGATACGTATCGAAATACTATTGTGTTTAATTAGCAGTTATTTTTATCAGTCGTCCAATAAAAGATTAAGAAGTTTAGTTACAAATTATTCTTGTCGTTTATTGAAATTCGTCCAAAATTATACCAACAATGCCATGAGCTTAAGTCTTATTGATATAAAGATTAAAACTCAGACATGCAGACAGACCACTGATTTATTTTCATTTAGCACAAAATATTTGTGGGACATTTTTAAAATTCCGAAATATCCGTGCAAGTTAACTCCTATCGCCCTAGGAGACATCATATTACAGAATTTTGTGATTTTATAATTCTTAAGATGAGAAAAATTGGAACACAGATGCAAAGTAAAAGTATGTGAGCTAAGAATAGGTTTAACCCCCTGTACAGAATTTATCACAAACGCCAGACGTAAAGTATTAATAAAAACTGCACCATGCAGCTAAATTATGTTTGGATTTTATCTTTTTATATATCTTTTTAGGTTGGACGTCAATTTCAATTTGAGCTTCACAATTAGTCAAGTCGTTAAAATTCCACGCAATTTTTTTCCAATGTAGCAATTTTCTTTATGCACAAAATGCTAATTTTTGTTCGTATTTGTGTTCTCTATACATCTACAAAAGGTACATGCACGCAGTCATGATAATCTATAGCATTATCCATCAAGCAGAAAATCGCAGGAATTATTCCTACGGAACGTAAAATGGCTTGACAAATATTCTTTGTAACAGACTATTAGTATCCTGAACCGACACTTTATCGAGGGTCAAAGAGTTGACGGAACTTGGAAATGCCTTTCAGAATATTTCGTCAGCCTAACACATTTACATTTTGCCAGAACACGTTTTGCCGCTTGCTCGATGATTTTATATACGTCAAGTCTAATCTATTTTAAATCTGACGAAAATTTCAACGTGGTTTATCATTTCCACCACGTAGACGATCAGGAAAACATACAAATATATTTGAAGTGCTGGCATACGCTATTGTGTGAACTTTGAAGTACGCGCGCTAGCTTATAATATTAATGCTTTCAACGTTTTGCCGACATAATAAAGTATAAAATATGTACCTAGAAGTTGATGGCTGTGGTCAATTTTGACGAAAACAATAAAATTGCAAAATATACTGAGACTGAGTATATTAAACACTCTAAATATATTGAATAGATGTTATAATTCGGATACGTTTACATATATTGTCCTCAAGGGACTGTTTCTAATCTTCTTAGCTATTTCAAAAAACAGACAATATATTATTTGACATTCTATATTATACTACACTGACGTTCTAAGCTTCTTATATGATTTATGATTACAACACTAACAACGATCATTTCCACAGGAATTTTTTACCCCACGCTTATTAATTTAAACAAGTTATTTTAGAATCGCGTGCTTTTTTTCGAAGTTGCTTAATATATATATATCAAAATTCAATATTCGATGATTTTTCCATAAAATATAGTTACATATATAGAATATTAATCACTGATATCTAGATAAAATCTAGGAAACTTTGGTCTAGTTGTAGTTGACACTTAATTCACGGGTTCTTTTGAAATATACAAAATCAACAAATAAAAATTTTCACAGGATTCTATACAAGTACAACCTGTTAAGGTGCCAATATTTTAGTTCTGATATATTGCGGTCTTAATTATTTTATTATTAAATACAAGGTTGAGGATCAAACAGTTCAATTTACTCTGTCAACTAGGATAGTTTTACATCAAACCCAATGGTTTTGTTTGGAAAAAATTACGCGCAGTCATATGTGGATATTTGGTTGTGACAGCGTCGTATTTGTTCAGGCACAGATGTTGTACAAAAAGAAATTGATGTATACTAATGTATACTGACACTAATGTATACTGACAAACTTTATCACTCCCTTTGCCATCTGCCGAGCTCATATTTTGAACAAAGAACGCTTAGTGGCTACAAAACATACCAATATGTAAACATATGAAACTTTTAACTAAGTCAAAGAAAACTATAATTTGTGAATGTTTATAGACCATCAATTGCTACATGGAATTTCAACGCATTCCATTCGTTAATTTGTACAGAATCGCTATTAGTATATCGCTGTTGAAAAATACTCTGTCAACACTATAGATATAATATTCGCAATTTCTAAGGCAGAAAACGCCACGATGATTTAGCTTTTCCCGATCAAAGTAAACTTCGATAAAAGTATCAATTATAGCAACATTACGATAAGCTAATGTTCTAATTGCCTTTCGAATGTTCATCTCACTAACACAACTGGTAAACCCATTGAATATTATATTAAAACTGGACGGATTATTTAAAGAAGTAAACACAAACCTACCGCGTAATATTGCATGTTTCTCGCTGTATATACAAACAATGCTTCCCAGGAACTATATTACACAGTAACGATGATATCTGATACTGAACACCCTTCAGTAACATCACAGAACTCAAGTAAACGTGCCTTACATTTTAAACCATAATCCATAAATACGGAACGGAAAGGCAGGGCTGACTTATGACAAATGACAGTTATGCTTTACGGAAATATTGGACTTACCGAACTCATGATTCGCCTTAGTCTCGTCTCTTTTTGCGTAATTCTAGAACAACATTCAGTCGACAGTTTATTCGCCAGATAAGAATTCCAACATATAATTAACGCTCCATAATACAGTCTTAATAGACAAACAAATTCCAAAGGATAGCGTACTGGATCTTAGAGAATTTGAACAATAATCACTTTAACTTTAGAGGAGATCTTTACCAATATATCTAAAAGGGAATTAATACAAGATACTCGTCACCAAAACAACAGCATCACAAAGGACACGAGAAGTCGTTAGCGTTATTAAAATACGCCATTACGCATATCATGTTACCTGACCATATAAATTATACATCTAGTGCATGTGGCTACATTAAACGTGTATACACTTACCTAAGACTGTTTTTCTGAACTCTTCTCCGCCCCTCAGGGCAGTGTACCGCCTTTTGATAAGAATGTGTGACTCGGTTTCACAACGTTGATGTTGAAGGTTTCGAAGCGAAGTAAACACAATAGTGAATAGAAACCGGTTAGTGTCCTAGCGATGTTCGATGACGCGTTATACAAAGAGGCTTGGGTGTATGACAGAATATACAATCATCGATCGGATTGAATATATTACTGAAGGATATAAGAGCGCCCTCTCGATGACGTAAGCGAATAACCAGTTTCCGAGGACGGCCAACGCGTTAAAGAAATTTTAATCCTATGAGGATAATGGCCGTGACCGCAGCAGAAATTTGTACATGAACAGAGGGTGCAAGTATTAAGACAACACAAAGTACGTCATGTGATGTTCATCTTAAACAATTGTACAAACGATGCTCAAATTTGGTTAACAAATTTGGTGGAATGCAAAATCCTATACATGTTGCAATTAAAAAATGGAGGTCTTGCAGGTTGTTCTAATTGGAGAATTGCAACTTGGTATGATTCTAATTAGAATGTACGGTTTCATTTTCGGCACTGTAAACCCAACAACATCAATTTCACAGTTGCGGTTGAATAAACTACATGGTCCACCTGCCTTTAGCAAGCTGTATAAACCTGTTGTTGACAATAAAACAACAATGCTTATCGCCCACAAGTTTTTTAAAACATTATTTCTTCCAACCTCCAACTATTAGCGTCAACTGAAGCACAAAAAAGCTTTTCTTTCAATAGAAATGTTCTACTCTCGCCTTGACTGAACTGACCTTGATCGAAAATACTTGAGTTGCGTGTCTGGTTTCGTGTAGAATTTAAAAAATTGTGTTTTGGTAGACAAAATAACGTCACCAGACAACTCGAATCAAATAACAAACACAGTTTGGATTTAAAAGATCTGTTTTGTTACGGTCATTTCCAAATTTATGTCAGCAACAAACAGACCGAGTATAGTTTACAACCACGGGCGTTAAAATTGCCGTCATAGGAAATGGGGGAAGAGAAAGCAGGAAGGGTGAACTTCACATAAGTTTCTACAGTCACGAATGAGTTGAAAATCATATTTTATAGCTTTGTGAAATATATCAGCCATGACATTGTGTTTATAATGAAATCATCATAAATGCTTGTACTTTAAATAAATAACCTTGTACTTTAGACTTTAGTTATAATTTCTCATGCACCTAGAAGTATAGTTGACCATCTGCCTGTTAGTTTCTATCGGTTGGAAGAGGATCTTTGCTAGTATATATCCTAATTTTTATAAACTGTTCATTTATACAAGTGAGTTCAAAATCTTTTGGTTTCCGTTTCACTTTGTCGAGATCGGCTCTAAAAACTCCGTGAAGCTGTTGCAAGAGGATTGCGTGATATATCATCAGGGAATGTCGTTTATTTATCAACCATGCTTTATCAAAACTTTTCAGAACCTCGTGTGTCAACACATGCATCATGGCTGTCGAAAAAACGCGCAGAATCCTTTAACCTTAAAACAAACACATCTATTTAAAGTCAAACTAAATAAAAATGCGGAAAGTGGTGAATATTGAGGTGCAAAAATCTGTCAACACTTTACGAAAAGGAAACATTTCATATTTTCCCGCCATCGTAAACTGTGTTTAGCGCTTGTCGCCCACCCATGCTCGTGGTCGGCTGCATGTCGTGTTTTGAGCGCCATTTTGTCGGGCAGGTACTTCACTGGCACGCGTCATTGCCGCGAAAATATAACGAACATGATTGGCTAGCAATACTGTTCTCTTATTGGCTGGAATAAACCAATCCAACGAGGGATGCAACTCGAACCAAGCCCGTCTGTAAAGTAGTATGTCCCAGGGTTTAATCCACTGGGACATGTCGCAGCTTTCGTCCAATTGGATAATGCTTTTCTATGCTTTCTAAAGAACGAAGCTGTGCGATTGGTTAAAACAAAGATGTATTGTAAAGTTCAGCCAATGAAAATCATTCTTGCGAGGAGCTGCGACACTACCGAATAGGGAATTGATAAGTAGTACAGCTTCGCCCCAAAAGCATGCAAAGCTAAAGAAATTTCATTCTCAACTATAATTTATTAATACTGATTATAGAAAAAGATAATTTTTTCAGACTTACAGCGGAAATGGTTAATACATTTTATTGCAATTGCGTACTGTATTGAATAAACCACCAAGCATTAATTGTCGGTTCTTCCTGTCGTTTGAGATTTTCATGGCTGTTTTCGGAATGTACAAAAACGCGCTTATGGGTTTAATCCCATGCCACCTTTATGGGTTACAGGTGTGAAGACTATTTTTAGCATTCCCGAAATAAAATCTCATCTGGAATGCGGAATGAGTTACGCCTATAGTTATCCATCAACGATCTTATACAAATAGTTTGATACAAACGTAATTACCAGAAAAATCTTTGATCTTTATCACCTCAAGAGTTTGATCAAAACATTTCTTACAAATTCAACACAATAAATATTGGTTGCAAGTCAAGAAAATGGTTGAAAACTCGCGAGACTTAATTGTGAGATCAGATAATTGTGTATCAGATGCCAGACGGTATATCATATGGCTGAAGGTCACCCTATTAAGCTAGTCACCTAGACGTGATTCTGTTTAATAACTTTCTTGTCCACAGGAGTGTCTGATAATCTAGATGTTTCTTGTCATTCAGGGCTGGTTTCTACTCAAGAAAATGATCCTCAAAAATAGATTGGACAGGATATGGTTTGTCTGTGGGTTCTCAAGCAGAACAAATGGCTTTAGGGAAACTGGCTGTAGTCAGTGTAGTGCCTAGTTAATACATTATCTGTGACACAGATTACTGTTATTTATCTTCATTTGCAACCTCAAATAAAAGAAACGTCTTAGAGGAACTAATTTAATATTTCTCTGACCCTGAATAGCAATAAAACTAAATAAAACTATTTGTTTCTTTCTTTTTATATTCGGAGCACTTTACTTTTAATAAAACATCTTACCACCTGTGTGATTCTGAATTATATTTTAACAATAATTTAGTTTTAACCTGGAATCATAGTTTTAAAGCTGAACTATAAGTTTGTTTGCTTTTTTGGTTTTATAAACTCCCTAAAATTGCCTGTTAACTTGCCTGAATTAAAATCGACCAAAACTTCGCCAGCAGAAGTAGATTTTCTAATCATTTTTGACCAGCATTACTGATGTTGAAAACACATCTTCAGCTGCCATATCATGGTTGCCACAGTATTATTTAAAAACCATTACAGGTTGATCATAAAGTTGCCAGTATTCTTGTGTAAGAGATGAGAAAAAGGACAAATGCTTGACCACCACCCCAGAGAAATGCAGCATAGTTGGGCATGGTAAGACGAGCACTTTGGTACACAAATGATATTAATGCACCTGGAATAAATGTGACATTGCAGTGAACAACAATTCGAAACAAATGGTACACTCTAAAGTAAGTGTTGTTTGAGACTTACTGGTTATAACTCCACCAGTCACAGGAAATAAGAAGCCCACAATTATAACAAGTATTGGAAAAAATCTGCCGTATTTGTGTCGTTGTAAGGAACAGAATGAGAAGAGTGCTACTATACAATGAATTAAGACGGATGTGCCTAGATCATACAGAAATATCCTATACCACATTCCTAAGAACAAAAAAAAACACTTCAATACAGCTGTCATTAATGTGGCAATTTGACACAAAGTTACCGTCTTTACTAGCAAGGGGGCAGCCAGGGTTGGTTATGGAAAATGCCTAGCTACATTTTAGATTTGGGGAATGGAAACTGGTATATGATTCTTGATTGCCCAATCCTGACACTAACTGCTGGTCAAAGTTACCAATATACAACTGGCCCCAGATAATTAGAATTTGGAGGTGGAGCTGTACAAATAGATTTCAATGATATACACTGCATTGACTGCACCCCCCCCCCCCTCTTCTGCATGGCAGAGACGTCTGGAACAATACTATCCTCCTAAAAGTAATAAATGCCAAAAGTTTTCCCAAGTAATTACTGTTTTATGAACCCGAGCTAATGAAATAGATCAAAACAACTCTCAATTCCAAACCAGTTGAAACAGATTAAAAAGTGAGTTCACACAACAGCGTCAGTCTAATCATAAAATATTAACCTGCGTCAAAACGTACCACTGAACGATGAATTTTCGTTCTGTGCATCCATTCTCGCGACTCCATCGTTTAAAACATTTGAAAATCTTTTAGATTTAGCTCAAAAATTATTATTTCCACATTAATCAGCATCACTCAAGTCTCAAACGTACTTTGTTAATAATTTTTATATTTCTTACATGAAAATTGAAATTATTTCGCTGACGGGGAAAATTGTGGGCATCGATAAATTTAAAACCATTGAAAAAAACACATCGCTCAGGATGATAAAGTGAATATGTTCTTATTAAATTACTTGTAAATCTTTTTGAAGCAAAGAGAAGTGATAAGATAAATTAGAGATTTGTACTTTACCAAATGGTCAAATACACAAATGAAAATGCAGGAAAATGAACAAAGTGGTGCTGTCTTGACAAGCAATACCTCACAAACAAGAAGTGCACATTCTGTTGCCACACTTGTTGAAGAGATAGTACCATCAAATACCATCTTAAAAACATCTAAACATTTAACTAGAGGTGAACGTTTGCATAAAAATGTACAACAATACTATAAACGGCAGGAGGAACTACAGAGTATGTTAGCAGATGGTGACGAAATTAACAAGGTTAACGAACCAGCTTCTAAATTTGCAACAAGAGCAGCGAAAATTAGTTTGGCTTGTAACCTCTTGTTGTTAATTGGCAAAACAATTGCATGTGTGCTATCAGGATCATTATCTATCATCTCAAGTCTGGTTGACAGTGCAATAGACTTGATATCTGGTGTGCTGATATGGTTGACAAACCGATCCATACGTATGACCAATTTCTATGAATACCCAGTTGGGAAGACTCGGCTGGAACCATTAGCAATTACAGTGTTATCTGTGATTATGGCGATTGCATCGTTACAAATTATCATTGAATCTGTTCAATCATTGGTGAAGAATTCATCTGGTCCAGATATGTCATTACCAACCATTATTATCATATGTGGTACTATTGGGATAAAAATACTTTTATTTCTGTATTGTCGTAGATACAATTCACCATCAACTGAAATACTAACACATGACCATCGCAATGACGTCATTTCAAACATAGTTGCATTAACGTTTGGTTATATCGGTGACAGATGGTGGAAACCAGGTGATGCTGTTGGTGCAATATTGATAAGTACATACATTGCATATGGTTGGTTTAGTGTTGGATGGCAACAGGTCAAGAGTCTCTCTGGTTTCACTGCCACTCCAGAGCTTCTAACAAAGCTCTTACAAGTGTGCTGTAATTTTGACAACAGGATTCAATTTATTGATACCCTAAGAGCATACCATTTTGGAAACAATTTGATTGTTGAAGTTCACATTGTGCTGCCACCTCAAATCACACTTCAAGAGGCGCATGATGTTGGCGAGCCACTACAACGAAAGTTAGAAATGTTTAGTTTTGTTGAACGAGCTTTTGTGCATATTGATTACGAGTGTGAGCATCGCCCTGAGGATGAACATTATATTGCTGAAAATGTTATGGACTTATCATAGAACAGCTTAGTTGACGTTTAAACCTATTATGTTGAATATGTTGAATATGATGTGATGTGATAAAACCTACCTTCAATATCTTCTTACTTTACTCTTGTTCTTCCCTGCCAAAATATATGCTCAACAAAATATCAAAACTACTGTACACTAAAGATCTTATTTATTTTATATTGATGATCAACCTATACTCTAAATGAAGTAGAATTTTTAAATATTTTATACACTACATGCAAGCTGCTAATAATCTACAAGCACAATGAGCCTTTCTTAATACTTGGATAAAAGAGAAGCCAGATTATTCAAAATATTGAAAGTTTAACTACATATTAAATATTGTTTCGATTGTCAATATATAGTTGTAAAAAGAAATAAATACTTTATATGGTGTACATTTGTATTCCATTTGCATTTCCTTTGGTAGTTATACTTGATACCATTTTCATTTCCTCTGGTACCTGGGCTAAACTGATAAACACTTGTTTTATCTTTCCAGGAAAGTGTTTATTATGTTGCAATTATAATGAGCCAAAATGCAAATAGGTCGATAAATATTTCCCCATTCTGTGACCACAAAATCTCCCAATATTAGCAATTATTCCCATGTATTTCAGAATTCATTATTTGTCGCTATTAGTAGCAATTATAGTGTGGGAAGACAATATGCTGTCTTCTTTGAGCCGTCGGAAGTCAGGTTTGATGAATGGAGTAATCAGAAAAGCAGCTAGACATATTCCTGTGTTGAACCAATTTACAAATTCACTGCTGATCGATGCTACGGTGTAGGATGTTATCCCAAGGACCAAAACACCGAACATTTGTCCACATGTCAAAAGTACACCCGATGATGAAATTTCAGGTACAGGATACGTCAGTTCCGCACCAAGTAGAAAGCCCATTGTGGTTAGAGCTGCTGTGAGGAATCCAAATAACGCAACAATTAAAAATATGACCTCTATTGGTGCATTGTACTTTACTGCTAATGTAAAAGCCAAACTTGTTATGAAAATGAAACCAGAACATGCCACAAATGATTTCTTATAAGTCTTTGTCCGATCAAGCCAAAACCCAGCGAGAAGCATGCCAGGGATACCGATCACAGATCCAATGAATCCTACCCAGCCAACTAGCTTTTCACTAACGTCATAATTGTCAAGAACAATATCACTTAGCAGGCTAAAAAATGCATAGAGAACACCACTAACTGCTCCAAATGTTAGCCCAGTTAACACAAATGAGGTGTTGCCTAGTAATTCCTTTAAAGACGTGAGGAATGAAGGTTTTGTCTGGTCATCTGTGCTGACTGCTGCCTGAGATGGACTTGGCGGAGTTGGGGGCACATTATCAAATAAAATCACAGCCGCAATGATTGTGGTTGAACAGAGCATTGCTTGGACAAGTATACTCTTACGTATGCCATCTTGTATTTTCGTGTGACTTTCAACATCAGGCACAAACTGAACTGCAAATAAATAGGCTGATCCCATGCCAAAGGAAAGACCACTTGCTGCTATAGAGGTGGCTAATGATCGCTCATATATACCAAACCAAATTGAAGCCAATTGTGCCGGGAGAGAAAGAACAAAACAAGTTCCCAACGATGCTAGGATTTGACCGCATAATGACAACGCGAATCCGTTTCTGCCAGCTCCAAAGAACTTGATCCACAGAGCGATCAAACTTAACAGGCCACTTATGAGACAGCCAGACTTCAAAGTCGTCTTATTAATAACGAAAGCCGCCGGTAGACCAAAAATCATGATGATTGCGAGGTTGTTGAGGGACAATAGTTGCGCGGGAAACGATGAAACAGCAAAATGATACTCTACGATGTTGCTAATCGCACTGTAGAACAGCCATTGAGTTAGATTCTCGGCTGTAAGTAAGGTCAAAATTGCCAACATCACCCAACGCCTTCTGTACAATTTCGGTTCTTCTTGGCTGGCTGTTTCGTTGAACTGTGGCAAAACATTAGCAGGTTTTGGAAAAAGTAAAGAGTCCGTTTCCATTTTTCTTACTCTCAGTTTTAAATCGTTTCGACTTCGAGAGAAAAAATCGTTCGTATCTTTGAAAGCCGCAATGAAGCGTTGGCGAGAATTATTAATCAATGATTCAATTATGAATATTCTTTCTCCTTGAACGGAACTGCGCACGCGTAGAATGCTAATTATGTATTATAAAGAATTTTGAACAATGCATGGCTAGGGGTGCATGACAGAAAAAACACCCAGTGAATTGTGATTTTAGGGCTTAGGCTGTTATATTCGTGGCTTTAAACACCATGGCCATCATTGCTTCATTCCTTCTAGTAAAATACTAGATGTTTACTTGTCATCTACTTTTCTAATATTCAAAAGCAGACACACGCAAATACAAGTACATACAACTCAATCATGCGGAAATCATATGCGCAATATCGCAGTAATTAAATATTCATGTTGTTTTAGGCCAAACCAGGAACGTAGATAAAAATAGGTCCGCTGAGCGAACAAACATGTACCTGTGAATGCAGGCAAATATAATTGTAGCCAATCTTTCTACTTTTTTTCAACATGCTATATTCATATGTGACAGAGATTTGGGGATGTAACAACCAACATTTCATATTCAGTGCGACAAAGTCTGTTTAAAAACGGAAACCCATCCATAAATCTACTCTTTTGGGATCCCAAATCAATTCTCTTACCACAAACCTATAGAAAAGATCATTCCTTTTGATCTCCTAAAACACCCTCAGCATTTAACTTATGCTCTAATGTAATAACAGTTATTGCTTTCAAATTTCAATGCCCTTTATTATTGTTATTATTAGAATGAATAATTAATAATATGCTAACAAGTTTTTGACTTGCCATAGGAGACACAAAAAATATTTACAACTTTACTTGCGTTAGCGTGGATGGGACACATTTCTAAATAAACTGAAATATCTAAATACTATATGCAATAATACATATTACATGCTATTGTTGACTACCACAGACCTACTTTTTAAGGAGGTTAAAGCTAGTCTATAACTACAATAAACTAAAGTATGTTGATTCAGTCAACCAACGACAATATCTTCAGCATGTTCTGGATATGATATATCACCAAATTTCTGCACCCAAAATGTGAACCATTCTGAAAAAAATAGTGAAGTTTTTTTATTAAAAATATTGATAAAATGTATATTCAAATGAATCCTACCACAATGAATTAATAACATTTACTTAATAACATTTCTCTTACCAATCCCTCTGTCCAACCATTGAGGACTTAGTTTGTAATAAACAAAGATGAAATAAACAGGAACTCCAGCAAATATGAAAAGGAGACAAAAGAAGGAGGGAAGAGGATTTTGAGAGAATGGAGCAATGATCAAATAAAGGGCTGCAATAATGATTATTACAGGAAAAATGAAGAATACCTAAAAAGAAAAATGATTTCTTTAATGTGATAAAAGATATTGCATGACTATTATATAATTATCTAATCCTTTTAGTACATGCATTTTTAATAACATCACAAATTCATCTAAAAATAGCAAGGTAAGGAAAGCAATGAAATCCACAACAATATGGAAGCATTAACTAACTCTGAAGGGTCGTTCTGCATTTGGTTTGGAGAATCTCATGTAGAGCAAGCCAGAAATCGTTGCACCATAAAAAACCCATGAAGCAAACGTAAAATAGTCAATTAGGGTGCTAAAACCACTGGATTCTGGGATCAACATGAGCCATGCAATGATACTCTAGAAAGAAGAAAGTTTGATGTAATTTTTGCTGGTGAAGATAATCTTCTTTAATATAATATGTAATTGATTAGCAAAAAAAAAAAAGCTTTCAACTTTGAACTCACTTGAACAATAAGTCCGGGAATAGGAGTAAATCGGGCATTGTGAATCATCGCCATGAATTTAGGTAGTTCTCCATTTTTAGATGCTGCATAGAATACACTAAAATGAATCAAAAGATGTATATGCTAAGTAAAACATTTGTTCACAGTGACTTTTGTCTTGAATCAGAAGTGAGTCTTGAAGCAATGATTTTCATACCGTCCACTAGACAAGGCAGAGCCATTAGCTGCACCGAATGTGGAGCAGGCAACAAACACTGGAATAATCCAAGCCATGACACCAAACATTTTGTTTGCAAACAACTAAAAACATGAAAATGGAAATGAGTTAAAAGAAATTGCTTGTCTAAAGGCATTACAGTACAGAAGTAGGTAAGAAATAAGAAAATTGGCAAGGTACTTACCACTGCCACTGCTCCACCTTCAATTATATCTTGCTCCGACAACACAGTAAAGTAGGCAATATTTGTCAACAAGTACACAAATGTTACCAATGGAATACCAATACCTATGGCTCTTGGAATGTTTCTATCAAAGTATAGAATGGTTCTTGATGAAAAATTTTACCACATGACACAATCACTTAGGAGTGGTAAAGAAACAACCACCATTCATTTACACATGTAGTTAGCAGTACATCAACATACTTGTTAGGGTCATGTACTTCTTCTGAAATATAATTTAAGTTATTCCACCCATCATATGCCCAGAGACCATTGTAAAATGCTTGTCCAATTAATCCAATTTCTGAAACAGTTGCTGTCCCAGAAAATGAATGTTTGCCATCTAATTCTGTTGTATATCCTAAGAAAGAGCCCCAATTACACAGTGAGTGAATCACAATGCCACCATCTTGGTTGCATTTTCAAACATGTACACCAACCATATTAAAATGTACCTTGGAAAAGTCTGACAATACCAGTAAGGATAATCAACGCAAGAGCAAGAAGCTTTGCAGCCATGAAAAACACTTGTACCCGTGCAGCCAATTTGACACTCAAACAGTTTACAATTGTGATAATAGCTAGAAATGAGAGAAAAACTGGCTGTAGCACTTTGAAGTGTCTCAGTCTAACATTATTCAAGATACACTTTTCAAAGTAAGGGGAAAATACAAAAGAAAAATAGACAAACATTCAAACAAGCATATTGCTTAGAGATTCCTTGGAAGATGGGATGAAACTATTCATCATTTGATCACGTATGGATTGACCAGAATCATATTGGAATTCTGATTATCTAATCAGTATAATTAGGTACCAACCCAACATACATACAGCTGTCATTATATCAATAATGTGGGTATTAAATTACATCAGAAATACTTATAAGGACAACATAAGGACAACAGATCTCCAAAGAGCCTCTAAAAGCACTTGCGTTATCTAAATAATTTATTATGAATAAATATTCCAGGAGTATTATCAATGCATGTGTTAGTTTTATATCAAATATTGATAACATCTCAACTTCGGAGATCTCGTTAATCAGCTTTTGACTGATTTATTGAATGAGCAATGCAAAGACAGGTGTCTGATAGAAAATTCTTGCAGTCGTGATCAAATTGAGAAAAGATTGATCCCAAAAACTACAAAATAACTAGAGGTCCAAAAGACCCACACAGATTGACTGGACATCACAGTCCCTGCCAAATTGGCACACAGATGGATAATCAATTCTTTGATTTCACCCAATTAATAATTCATCAAAACCTGGCAACAATATAAGAAATTCTTTTCATGCAACTTATATTCAATGTTATTTGATTGTCCTTTATCGCTTTCCACCTCTGATATACGCCAGTAGCAATGTGGTATTGCTACGCACACCTTTTCATATCAATCTTATCACTTTTTTTACTCCCTTCCCACTATAAAAACTAAAATAACTGAACCTAGCATAAATTAAAATCAATTTTACTGGCCCACACGGAAGCAACTCTAGGAAATTACAAATGCAAAACAGAAATTTATACAATATCAACAGACGTCGTTAAATTAAACAAAAAAAAACTTTCACTATGTACATGAGTACACGAGAACATATTCTTCTGTTGAAAGAATTTTTTTTCCGGGTTAAGTAAGGGATGAACAGTTAGGGTTAAACAATCAGATTTAAGTGCTTGTGATATCCTCACTTTTTGCGTGTTTTCGCCCAAATATTAATAGTTGCTAAGAGAAGATATGAAATATCTCTAAAAATGTCCATTTTAATAATATCATGAAAGCAAAAACAATACTACGATATAAATTTTCTCCATTGTCTGGAAGTATTTTATAATATAAACATACATGTCTAAAAATTCTAGAAATTATCTAGTTATTTTATTGTAAATGAAGAAGAAAAGAAATAAATAAATTACAAAGGCAAATAAAACAACGCACAGCAACGCGCCATATTTTCGCGCGAAAATTACTTTGTAATACATTGTTAAATAACTTGGCAAGAATCAAGTTTTTATGTGCTCTGCTTGCGATGTTAAACTTTGAGATGATTTTAAATTAGATACTTATAAATAAGATAGATGAAACAGAGGGATTAAACACTTACCAATCGCCAAAGCAGCTAACAGTTTTATAATAGTTTGAACATCAGAACGCGTCGTACAATCAGGAAAGAAAGGTGTAACAATGTATTCGCCAAAAATCAAACATATGATCGCCAATTGAGAAGGTTTGATGACGATACAGGCGGTCCAAGCGTAGAGGAAGGACGGCAGAGCACCAAAAGATTCACGCAAGTAAACGTACTCGCCTCCAGAACTTGGGATCATCGTTCCTAGTTCAGCGTATGCCATTGCACCACAAACAGCGAGAACACCGCATATAGCCCAGACTATGAGCGCCATGCCAACAGACCCTGATGCTTCAAGAACTCCCTTTGGTGAAGCAAAGATACCACTACCAATCATAGTACCAACGATCACAGCAACGCCACCGAGAAGCCCGACATCACGTTTCAAACTAACACCACTCGGCTTATCGCCATTCAACAATCCTTTCTCAGTTTCGGGGCTGCTAGAATTGCTCGGCGGTCGCTCTTCGTTTGCCATTAAACTTGACATCTTTTTGAATATATGTGTAAAAAATCTGATCCTCCGATTGTAATTTTGTACAGTTAAAACAGAGGTAAAACGAAGAAAAAACACAACGGTCCCCTTCCTTTAAGACACGTGGATTTCACAATAACGTTTATTGCCTTGTAGTATCGAACTCAGCCTTGTTTTTACTTTCGACCAATAGGAAGCCAGGGAATAAATTATAACGATAAGTGCCTTATTTAGGACACAATTCGCGCCAATTCATATCGCGTTTAAACGCGCAAAAAAAATGAAATAAAACTATTTTGCGATCAAATTACATCTGATTTAAGCCTATTAGTTATTTTTAAGCTAGCCCTGTCGTTATTTTATGCGTTAAAATGCGTTTAAAAGGAATAAAGTGGTTGGTGTAGTTTGTTTTGTTTGTGCGAACACGTGGATTTAACATGTAAATACAAGATCCACCATGTTACATCAGCCGCTTCTGGCCGGAAATTGCGCCTTAAGTATCAAAGTACAAACTGCGCTCAAATTTGGCCCGGTTTGTTTACAGTATTTTCAACGTTTTCAGCCTTTTCACATATTTCCACGTGTTTCTGGTTGCTAAGATTTCCGAGAATAGAACCTAAATAATAATTTACCCCTAGCTTTGTATTTAAAAGCCCATGTTTTTTCCCCTTTTCTACTATTTCTGAACAGAGCTTCATTTTTCACATAGTGTATATTTCACATAGTGTATAATATGTATAATATAAATGGCTCGAGCTCTACAGTTGCACTAATTGAGTAATTGGCTCAGTTGGGGGGAGGTTTACCCGTCCACGTGAACAGTCGCTCTGACCTCAAGCACAAAGAGTAATGGGAAGACAGAGACATCTTATTCATAGACCGTATTACAGCCACTGAGCTATATTGCACTGTACTGTCTCCAGCAGGCCGGGCACTTAAAGCAGTGTGCATAGTGCAAGCCCATATCATAAGCATGATTTTTTTAGATGTAGTGGGTAGACGAATACACTACTTGAGACCGTTACATGATTTTGTATCTCACATAAAGGTGGTATGCGATTGCTGCCGCAACACGCCGCAACACACGAAAATGCATTCTCCCTCGCCAAATTGCAACAAATCAGGCAAATTTAATAATTAAAACAGATGAGATATATATACACTTACCGATCGCCAAAGCAGCTAACAGTTTTATAATAGTTTCAACATCAGAACGCTTCGTACAATCAGGAAAGAAAGGTGTAACAATGTATTCGCCAAAAATCAAACATATGATCGCCAGTCCAGCTGGTTTAATGACGATACAAGAAGTCCAAGCGTAGAGGAAGGACGGCAGTTCACCAAAAGCTTCACGCAAGTAAACGTACTCGCCTCCAGAATTTGGGATCATCGTTCCCAGTTCAGCGTATGCCATAGCACCACAGACAGCGAGAACACCGCATATAGCCCAGACTATGAGCGCCATGCCAACAGATCCTGATGCTTCAAGAACTCCCCTTGGTGAAGCAAAGATACCACTACCAATCATAGTACCAACGATCAAAGCAACGCCACCAAGAAGGCCGACATCACGTTTCAACGTAACACCACTTGACTTCTTGCCATTCGGCGGTCCTGGTCTGGTTCCGGGGCTTTCAGAGGAGCTAGACGACCGTATTTTGCTTGCTGTTAAACCCGACATCTTAACTACAACCACCACTGCCACGAAGTCTGAATCGCAATTTGAAACCCCCCAACGTTCTTAATTTTAATTAAGAACGTTGGTGGTTTAAAAATTTTTTGGTGACTTTTCGTTGGTGGTTTAAAAATTATTTTCAAATGGACATATTACACATATTAAAGTAATGAGCTCATATATGACCTGAATTCAAAGTCAAATTTCTTTTCGGCGTCCACTCTGGAATCTCTTCAAATTTGAATGGAAGACAGTTTATAAGGTCAAAACAATTATTTAGAACATTTTAAGGTTGAGAATTACATTCAGAGCCAGAAAAATTATTTTCAAATGGACATATTACACATATTAAAGTAATGAGCTCATATATGACCTGAATTCAAAGTCAAATTTCTTTTCGGCATCCACTCTGGAATCTCTTCAAATTTGAATGGAAGACAGTTTATAAGGTCAAAACAATTATTTAGAACATTTTAAGGTTGAGAATTACATTCAGAGCCAGAAAAATTATTTTCAAATGGAAATGCAGTAGTGAGTTCTGAATTCAAAGTCAAGTTTCCTTTCAGTGTTCACTCTGGAATATCCCCAAATCTCAATGTTTATAAGGTCAATTATTTAGAACATTTTACTGCTGAGAATTTGCTTCGTCCTGTACTCCTTTCCTCTTGTTAAACTTTCCTCAATGGTTGACCTAAGTTTCATGAATTCAGGGTACATATGATATGAGACCCAATATATAAAGTACATGGAATAGTCAAAATACAAATAACTAAATTTATATTACCTTCAATAGTCTTCATTACTTCATGTATGAATAAATGCTCACAGAAAATATTCTGCAGCAAGAAAGCAAATGGTCAGCTATGATCAATTAGATAATATTTTCATGGTTTGATGTCATAGTTTGAGCCATAATTCATCGCATCGCCACTATCGTGCACACCCGCTTTCTATCATCAAAGATCTCGGACCTGCATTCGGCCATTGATTGGAAAACACCAATGTCATGTTTCATTGAACGTTTTATCAATGAAGTTCCCAGTATTTCTTTATTTTACACGAGGAAAGTCGAAAATCTTACATCGCTCTTTGACAGCCGCCATATTTGTTTTGTGGTATTCATAAATGACGTCATAAGTTTTAAGCGCGAAATACGTGCCAAGCAAAAAAATCTCCTCTTAATACATTCATCATTGTACCCAGGCTTCATTATATGTAACCTTAGACTTTCGAAGCAGCGTTCAGCTTTGTTAATTTTAAAGAATTTCCTTAGAAAAGCTTAATTCTATCAATGAAAGGGAGGAATATTTAATATATTCTTTTCAAATGCTCTTTGTCTCAGCTTAGCATCTCCCTCCCAATAAAAAGTATCATTATTTAAATTGTGGGCACTGTTTCGAAGATGAAGTCTTCCACTGTTTCGAATGGGAGGCCGGGAGGGATAGTCGATGACGTTAAGCCCGGCGCACACTGGAGGAAACAGCTGAGCTGAGCGTCACTCGTGGCTGTTAGCTGACCTGTTTCTTCAAGTGTGCGGTGTCTTATTAGAAGAATATTCAACATGTTGAATAATTTTGTGCACGAGTGAACATTTCCTCACAGTGTGCGCGCGTCCTGAGCTATCAGCTCAGCAGTTGGAGCGAATGCGAGTGTGTTCTTTTCATATTTTGAATTATTTTTACAACCCAAGTACAATAACTCAATAGTTGCCGAATCAGTACTAGAAAACAAATTTGCGGTTTTTGGCCCGATTATCCCTGTCTATACGAGGTAAGGTGTCTTGAGTGACCCGTTTACTCATTTTTTCGGTGCCGTTAAGTCTTAATGATTTGTTGACTGCTAAAAAGTAATGAATGTATAATGTTTCTTAACTTTAAATGTGTTTGAACCTGCTTTAAATTTAATTATAGGCGAGTATCACTTGCTCCAACTGCTGAGCCGATAGCTCAGGACGCGCGCACACTGTGAGGAAATGTTCACTCGTGCACAAAATTATTCAACATGTTAAATATTCTGCGCTCATGGCACGCGTGCCAGAAAACGCCGAATAAGACACCGCACACTTGAGGAAACAGCTCAGCTAACAGCCACGAGTGACGCTCAGCTCAGCTGTTTCCTCCAGTGTGCGCCGGGCTTTAAACCTCAATAATTAACCAAATCTAATTGATGGTCTTATATGGTTTTAACTGTTTAAAAAACGGAAATTAAACATAAACTTAGTGTCATAGCAATATCAATTTTCAAGGCAACAATATGATTAGGTTCTGGTCTTTGTCAGTTTTTTAACATTAAAAAACGACCAGACGAGACTAAAATACGCAATAATAAACTCTCAATTTTTTATGTCCTCGCACCAAAAAAACCCCACCTAACTGTAAAACGGCCTTTATAAAATAAAGTCTGTGATAAGTTGATAACTTCATGTCTCTACCAGTGTTCTCTGTTTATAATATACAGAGCTCGCTCGCTGGTCTCTACCTGTTTCCTAGGTGTCTCGGGTTGCAACCTGGCAACCTAGCTGCGACTGCGAGAAAACTTGCTTTGACTCGTCTTTGCAGCGACAAAGGATCATTAGGAAAGACGAGCTCACACAAGTACTTTCCACTTTGCAGTCTAAAGCTTAGCACCGCGTGTTGATGTATGTATGAAATAATCCGGAAACCTGTGTTCATATCACCATTTATAATTCTGAGCTTTCAGTGGTGAACTCGCGGGCCAGGTTTATCGGCCGAAATCTCGGAAATAATCAAAACACATAGTTACATCGCCACCAGTTTCTGAATTATTCTTATAGTAATTTTGTAACCTGACACCCAGACGTGAAATGCACATTCCCTCATTAAAAGTTAAAAAAACAAAGGGGGATTATTCACTTACCAATCGCCAAAGCAGCTAACAGTTTTATAATAGTTTGAACATCAGAACGCTTCGTACAATCAGGAAAGAAAGGTGTAACAATGTATTCGCCAAAGATTAGACATATGATTGCCACTCCAGCTGGTCGTATAACAATACAAGAAGTCCAAGCTAAGAGGAAGGACGGCAGTTCACCAAAGGCTTCACGCAAGTAAACGTACTCGCCTCCAGACCTTGGAAACATTGTTCCTAGTTCAGCGTATGCCATAGCACCACAGATAGCGAGAATACCGCATATAGCCCAGACTATGAGCGCCATGCCAACAGATCCTGATGCTTCAAGAACTCCCTTTGGTGAAGCAAAGATACCACTACCAATCATAGTACCAACGATCACAGCAACGCCACCAAGAAGGCCGACATCACGTTTCAAACTAACACCACTTCTAAGCTTGTCGCCATTCGACAATCCTTGCTTGGTTTTTAGGCTACCAGAATTGCTTGGTGCTACAGCTGACATCTTAATTAATCGATCGCTATTGAATCAAAATTTCAATTGAAAACGCAGCTTGGACGCATCACACAATAATTTATACAAAACTGAAGTGCCTGGCTCAGAATCTGGGACTTTGACACCTTGATTGACACATTGGGTCTGGGAACGAGGAAATTAATCTATATTACTCAACCTCGTTCACGAGCCCGCGATTCCTCTGGCGAGAAACTCGAATTATCGTCGGATTATGAATTAAAGATTCTAGCACTATAGTCATTTTTATAGTCTAATAGTCTTGGAATACGAAGTCTTCCAAAAAAAGCTAGGAAGAAAACCGCAATATTTCAGAATGTTACAGGATGTCCTCCAACCCCCGGTTTAACCAAAGTGGTTTGCCGCCTAAATAAATTCTCAGAATATTATTTCAGGCCTTTTTTCGTTGATGAAATAATTGGCCTTTTATCGTTTTTGCGGGCAGTATCGTTATCAATT